ATACCTATCCACTGCTACACCAAGGAAAACTTATTCTGACGCCTGAGTTATGTTGTATAGTGCAATCCCAACAACATCTTACATCGTCAGTTTACGGTGACGTAACAAATATATTAAATAAGAACAATTCTTGGCTATGCGAAAGGTCCATTTGAACTCCTCGCAATGACCAGGCATCTGAGATTAATAATAAAATACTGTCGAATATCCAGGGGGAAAGCAAAGTTTATAGTTCAATAAATAGAATGGCCGATGTACAAGAAGCCACTAATTACCCGATAGAATTTTTAAATTCTTTAAATATGCCCGTACTTCCTTCTCATGAAATTTGTTTAAAAATTGGCATTCCGATTATTCTGCTCCGAAATTTAAGACCACCACAAATTTGCAATGGAACTCGGCTTAAAGTAACCCAGTTGCAACAAAATGTAATCGAGGCTCAAATTTTAATAGGTTGCGGTGCAGGAGAAACCATCTTTATTCCCAGAATTCCCATAATACCAAATAATTTTCCATTCCAATTTAAAAGAACGCAATTCCCAGTATCGGTGTGTTATGCAATGACAATAAATAAGGCTCAAGGGCAGACCTTTCAGACCAGTAGATCTCGGTGTCAGTTGTTTTTCACATGATCAGTTATGTCGGTCTTTCCCGGGTTAGCAGTCCTAGAATTTTTTATGTTCACGTTCCGGACGGGACAAATTTCAACGTAGTCTACCCGGAAGCTTTGCGCTGAAGTATTTTCATTCTTTATGTACTTAAGACTCATGTGAAAGCGATCTAAACAATATTACCAATACATTAACATAATAACATACAAGGAGTTACACGCTGATGGTCTCGGGGCACAGTGATAATAATAATATTCTGCGGTTCCTTATTGCGATATTTTTAACAGTATTATATTTCCCTACTAAAATACGAAAGTTAATCTGTCTGTCACATCAAAACCACGGAACTCTGAGGAAGGACATATGCTACTTTTTTACGAAAAACGACGATAACGCGGATGAAGTCGCGGGCAAAAGCTAGTAATAAGTAAGTTCTTCAACTTCACGTCTCTCAATCCTCAATGTCCGGTCTCCACCAAAATCTGGTCCTTCCACTCCCATCATCCTCTCTTTGTTTGTCCCCACGCATCTATTTTGAAAATAACATTCTTTGGTCATAGATCCGTCAGTCCTTTTGTCACTGCCCAATCTGAAAATTAATAAACTTTAATTTTCACTCCTATTTGTTCTACGTTACTTCCTTAAACTGTAGGATCGATTGTGTTCTACGCCCAGCGTTGCCAGATTTTTTTTGCCAAGTCGGGATTTAGGAACTTGTTCAGTGAAAAAAGCGGGATTCTTTCGCCGAAAGCGGGACATACGAGGAATAAAGGAACGTATACAATCAAATGTTTTTCAGATTATACATACATTAGATTTACCCTATCGTTAAATAGTTGAGTCTTTGTTTGAGAGTTCTTCATTACGCGCCGGGCAGGTGGCCAGTCCACACTTGTCTGTGCCATCTGCCCGCACTTTCTCAGTATGCTGCACGCACGGTCGAGTTATTCCCGAAAAGTAGGATTGAGACTGTCCCGCGGAGGACATTTAATTTTGATTTAAGAATCGGGACGTCGCGTCGAAATTGGCACGTCTGGCAACGCTGTCTACGCCACCAAACGTTTTTTCCTACTTAGCTAAAGCATGTGAAACGAAGGTAGCTCGACAAATTAAATAAAAGTTTGATTCCGACGACGTAGCCTGTAAAGGCTACGAAACGTCAATAAATAAATAAAGTTTCGTGCATTAACCCGTAAAAAGTAGTTTTATTTAATGAGTGATGTGCGTGAAAACCTAAGAAACAAATATGTGAAACCTTTTTTTTTTTGTTGTTTAGGTTCTAAGAAGATTTTGCGCTGGTTTTTTTTTTATGGCTATTCGAAATACGTCACGGCCACTTGGTCCATCTTTATTACTTACACGTGTATCTTAAATATGAAGCGATGCTTTAAAATCGCAGAAATAATAGATCTCAAAATATTATATTGCTCACGAAGTTGGTTTTTGTAAGTTCCCTTCTTTTGTAATCGTTGTTGTCAATTGTTTCTTAGAGCTGTTGTTTTATATTTATGGTTTAGTTTATGAAAGCTCATCCAAATATATTAAATGATTACATAATGTAGGAAAATGTCTGAAACGAATTATTTTAATATCTCTTCAGGTTCGCCTCAGACTACTTTTAAAAGGTTTCACATTTAGAATTTAATGTTGGATGGTATTTTATTATAGATCTCGACACAAAGGCACAATCGACTTTTCCTATATTTCAATTATGGATCTCATTAAATATCATTCTGGTAGAGTCTCCAAGCCGGAAATTCTTGGCCCTCTTAAATAACAGCTTGTGCCTGTGGACAAATACTGATAATTCATATATGTACAGCGATGGCAACGACAACAATCCAAGACGGGATTCCACATATTTCACTTCCCTAATGCACTTCTTTTGTGCAATAAATGCTCTATTCCTATCCGTGCTATTGCCCCACAGAATCCTTCGGTCTTTCTCTCGCTATTCCATCCATAGGGTAGGCATTAATAGGCTGATGATGATGATGATCCTTCGGTACCGAAGGATAGACTTTATGTAGGCATGATAAGACAAAATACATTTATGTAGAGTTACCTGTGTTATGTCGTTGATATATGTTACGCTCAAAAATCGAAAACGCTCAGTGAGTGGAAAAATAGCTCACAACGCGTTGTGGTCACAGTAAAACATCCACATAGCGAAATTCGTGTTATGGCTCTAATGAAAACGCGCACGACGCGTTGTGGCAATCACAGAAAGACCAAATAGCGAAATTCGTGTCGTGGCTGACATGCTATTCGATCTCAACGCGTTGTGGCAATGAAGAAAAGCCATGACGCGTTCTGAGCATTCATTGTCTTAACCATATCACGACGGACAGGTTGTAAGTTGATAGAGGACGTGCAGCACTCAGGAATGTTTTGTGTGTTGTTATGAGCATTAATCTATCAGGTCTCTACCAGTTAGGAAACAAGGAAGGTACATTCGAAAGACTTTATGCACGTAATGAGTTTACACTTTCTGAAACCAACTTTATTAACATTTGTGATGTGCCCTCAACTTCGTCATTAACACTACGCTCACCATCTATGTTATCATCTGGATCATCAAGGGTTTATAATGTGCCATTGCAAAAGATACTGTATTGATAAAAAGTGCAAGTGTCGCTCCAAGAATATAAAATGCAACTCAAAATGCCTCAGTAATAGTTCCTGTAAAAATAAATAGCAATCAAATAGGTACTTATTTTTCACAGTTATAGTATTTTCTAATATAAGTAATTGAGTTAAGTACATTGTTGTTGTTTATTGGTGATCGATACACATTTATGTTTGTGTTTGTACAATTTAAAATTCTTTCAATTAATAGTTTTATTACTTGAAAGAATTTTAAATTGTCATAAAAAATAAAATTCCTAATTATTTTAAGTGAATTATAAGTAATTTACAAATTATTAATATTTTGTGTTCAGTAATTTATTACATAACGCGTTGATTTTTTTTAAAATATAATCTCAATAAAAAACAAGTATCGTTTTATTTTGATTTATATAATTATATAACATAATATTTAATAATGACAAACACGTTATGCAATGATTTTATAAAATAAAAAATATTTTTTTGTCTTTGGATTTTTTTATAGCCTAGGCCTACTAGGATCCATATCGGAAAGTAGTGTGCGTCGTAATTAAATAATATCCCATACGCGTCATGGCTTTTCTTCATTGCCACAACGCGTTGAGCGCGACGTCAGCCACGACACGAATTTCGCTATTTGGTGTTTCTGTAATTGCCACAACACATCGTGCGCGTTTTCATTATAGCCATAACACGAATTTCGCCATGTGGATGTTTTACTCTGACCACAACGCGTTGTGAGCTATTTTTCCGCTCACTGAGCGTTTTCGATCTTTGAGCGTAACATATATAATAAAAATAAGATTACCAGGAACAGACAGATTCTGTCTGTCCGTCTGACAGACAGAACCTGTCTGTTACCTCTTCATGCTTAAACTGTTTTAGATGATATTTGGTACAGACATAGTTTGAGTAATGTTTTATCCCGGATTTCATCCTTGAAGGGGATAAAAAGGGGGTGGAGTTTTATATGGAAAACCAATTAATCCTTACAGACGAAATGACGAACACGCACTACTGCATACTGTTCGATTTTTCTTTGTTATCTACCAATGCCAACCCCGCAACAGATCGAACATGTGTATGATTTTATCAGGATTGTATAGAAGACCACATACCTCCATATATCTGGTTTTATTGGGTTATTTCATTATCTTATCTGTTTTACATTTTATCGTGGGCTTAGAGTGCAATTACACCAGGAGTTGCCTATAAAATTCAGTGTAAATGAAGTGGGTCAGTACACTCGTTCTCACCGTGATAGCGCAAGACCATTGATTCTAGCTAAATATCTAGTGCGTTCGGCCTTGCGATAGTCTAAGCTAAGCAACTTTCGCAATAGTCCGTCAAAGGATGGTTGACCAAAATTGTTTTAGTCTCGTTCTCCTCTGTGCTTCGGAATGCACGTAAAGCCTTTGGTCACGGCTGCATTTGCAGAAGTAGTTGACACGGTCTAGGGCAGGAATGGCGAACCTTTGCATTTTTCTAAAGAAATGTTTAATGAGGTCATAGACGTGCCATCAAATAATCTTGACCTTTTGATTATTGGGATTATTGGGGAATCATAATTATAAATACTATCAACTCAACAACTCACCTCGAGGAGTTGTATGGTGCAGGCGGTTAGCGCGTTCGGCCTGCGATTGTGGAAGTCACGCTACTTTCGCAAAGTTTGGTCATTGGATGGGTGATCAAAACTTATTTTCTCGAGCTCCTCCGTGCTTCGTTAAGTCATTGGTCCCGGTTGCATCTGCAACCTTTAACGCCCACCAATCAACACTAGCTCCCTATTCTATCCATATGAAAGACCTGTGCCCCAGCAATTATCCAAATTCTGGACAAAGTAGATGTCTGTAGAGGCAAGCTCTGGTGAATACACTGGATTACGGAGAACTTCCAATTGACCAAAGCTGGTTGGAGATGTGCGAGTTTCTCCATCATTGTGTTGTGAGGATCTCGATGGCGCAAGTGGTTAGCGCGTTCGGCTGCGATCGTTGAAGTTAAGCAACTTTCGCAGTGGTCGGTCATTGGATGGGTGACCAAAAATCTTCTATCTCGAGTTCCTCCGTGCTTCGGAAGGCACGTTAAGCCGTTGGTCCCGGCTGCATCTGCAGTCGTTAGCACCCACCAATCCGCACTGGGCCCGCGTGGTGGGTCATGGCCCAATCTCCCTATTCCATCCATAGGGAAGGCCTGTGCCCCAGCAGTGGGGACATTAATAGGCTGATGATGATGATGATGTGTTTAGTTCTTCATAGTATACATTTGCAGTAATGCTCATCCGGTTTAGTAAGAAGCTGTTTCAAACTCAAACTCAAACTTATTTACTCAGTCTAGGCTGTTACAAGCTCTTGTGAAAGTCTGTGATTAATGACACTGGCGCTAGACCACCAAACAGTGACCATCACTTTTTTAGGGGTTAGTTTTCGTTTGGGACATTGTTTAGGTGTTGAACTAGGATCGAACCAACTTGCTAAGTGCATGCGATTGTCATTGATTCGTCGCAAGTACCCTAGTATCCCATAACACAAGCCTTAAAGTGCTTACTTTGGGGCTAGGCTAATTGGTGTGAGTATGGGAAATATTATCATCATTACATAGACAAAAAAATCAGAACCTTTTCCGCCTCATTCTAAAACGCGGACTAAAGTTAGTCTTGATTTAAAATTAATGCTTTCTCTGTCTTATTTTTGGCAAACAAAAGGGACAACATCAGTTTTTGACATAATGTCGGCTTGGTATCTAATTTTTCTGATGGTGGTATATCAAATTTATTCATTCTTTATAAATTCTCCTGTATCGGAACTCATCATTTCAAGCTTTCGCGGTGAGCCATTTTGGCTTATCACGGATATGTTGCATCCAATCTTAAATACGGTATACTTTTGTGGGGAAATTCTACGGACATTAACAGAGCTTTTATATCCCAAAAACAATGCATCCGAGCTATATGCGATGTCCCGCAAATGACACCATGCAGGCAGCTATTTCCCAAATTAAAATTACTTACTTACACTTCCCTCTATTTATATTTCGGAATTTTGTATATTTATTAAGACACATCCTTATAGTTTTAATTTTAAAAACACAGATACCTGCAGATTAGCGAGACATCGTGGTAGATTGATGAAGCCCAATATGCGTACTTAATATTACAATAAAAACTGCTATCCGAATTGTATAAAAATCTATGATAAGTTACCAGGCTTGATAACGGAGCTTAGTTTGCATATATTTAAAAGGAAGCTTAAAATGTGACTAATTACGAAAAACTTTTACTCAGTTAGAGAATATTTAGAAACGAAAATTGACTTAGAATAGAATAAGCAAAATGACATAAGTACCTATAAATTTTAGAATTAAATTAAGTTTGACATTCACATGACCTGGAGGCCGACTCTATTTCAACGAAAAACGAAATTTCGCACATCCCTTACTCTGTTTCTATTTCATTTCGAAAATTCGTTCGTCCGAAAATAGTTTGACATTTAAATTCTCTAAGGCTACTCTAATTCAGAAAACTTTTAAACTAAAAGTTGAATTTGACAGATAATTGTTCGAAATTTTAACCTCAAATTGACGAAATGAAAAGTGTTACCTTTTCATTTTCGTTTAAATTAAACCTAAAATTACTACTAGAATATTTTAAATTAAGGCTGTTTAGCGTGCCGAAATTTCGTTTCGGGGAAAGAGAGTAGAGCTCCTGTCGTTGGCAAAATGGACGAACTAAATGTAAATCACCACCAAAATGTATCTACTCTGTATTGAGTGAATAAATACTTTTTATTAAATTTTATGAATTTCTTTTTTATTTGCATTAACGCTAAAGATATTACAAACGCTAAATGCTATAATTGGCCACTAACCCTCAGGCGGGCCATGTTATTTAATTTGTAGGGTTTGCAAATGCCAAAAATTCTTTATATAAATTGGATGTTACTCTTATGAATAGTCAAAATAGTTTTTCTCTACCACCCGTACCCAAAAGATGACAAGCGGAACCCTGTTTTTATGCTTCGCTGTCTATTTGTTCATCACAGGGGTCTTTTACTTGGAAAGAAATAGGTAGATAAGTAAAATGGCAATCTCATCCAAATCTGTCAAAAAAGACATCTCATATCTTGCCCTGAGGTTAGTAAATTGAAATTGTATATGAATTTTTTTACGTGCTAGCGGCGTGCGGGCGGCGTGCTCGCAGGAGTGCGGGGCAGGCTCGTGGGCGCGGCGCAGCGAGGGCGAGCGCGCGCGCTGCTGCTGGACGTGCGTGTCGTGCGCGACGCTCGCCCATAATATTTATTATTTACTTATAAAAAAAGAAATCAGTAAACTACTACACCCCCATACAAAAATATAGATTAAAAACGTTTATAAAATATCTTAAAAAAACTTTATTAAAAATAAAGCGCAAGATCCTATACGATAGACAAACATCACTGATGCGTGGCGATGGAACAGTCTTTTTAAAAACAATTATTTTGCAGCATGGGATACTTACTCATTTATTTACAGGAGTATTTACTAATGAGGTAAGGTATTTTTATGAGCCTGAAGGTTAGTTTACAAAAGATATGATGAAATGACTAGAGTTAGAATGCTTATGTTACGAGTCCGAAGGTTAGTGTATAAAAGGTATTATAAACATTAGGTTAGTAATATATTGTTTTAAACTTTCATGGTCACTAACATTATAGCTATTAACGGGATTGTTCGGGATTGATGAGATCGAGCGCAGTAAAAGACGACGTCAGAGGGAAGACCGATATGTCTGCCAATAACATCTACCCGCAATTACTTCAGTTACTCCGTGATCATGGCGCTTGCAACAGTGCCGAAGTATCGAAGACTCATAAAAAACAAAGTACATGGTAACAATCCCGTGAATAGCTATAATATTAGGTTAGTACTTAAGATGTAGTTATTATTATAGGTGAATAATATATTATTATGGAACACCACGTATTTTACTCCTATTGTATTATGATTTCGTATACTAATAAAACATTTTAAATTAAAAACAAAAACCTTTATTACATTAAATCGAACAAAAACAAAAGAATGACATTACTTGGGTATCACTCATACCGAAACACTAAAGATTAAAGAACGCAATTGGCTACGAAAGCGACAGAAATTACAAAAGCTGATAAAAATATTGAACTAGCCGAGTCTGGTAGTGTAGGTGTGGTTGGTTCAACTACTGGAGCGACTGTCGTGGTCACGGGGGAGGTGGTAACCTCAGGAGCAGGTGTGGACGGCTGAACCACACTGTCTCCAGTGGTGAGGTAAGAGTTTACGTCGTCCTGGACAGCGGCAGCCCACTCTATCGCGTTGGAGGACGAAACAGCACCGTTGTACACGGCCTGGTAATCGGCAGCCAACGCCGCTTGATTTTCGTCTGCCCATTCTTGAAACTGCGAGCAAAAGGAAACTGTCAAAATTGTATTTGTTTTAATAGATTTAGATTAGATAACTGTAAGTATTTAAACCCGGGAGCCCTTAATTTGCGGTTGATTGAGACCTTGCAACTATTGATTTTTGATTTGTTCACATCTGTTCCTTTCTGAGGACCTTAAGTTTATAAAAACATATGGATGCAATTAACATAAATGAATGGATGTCACTAGATTTATTTCTAGACAACCCATCACTAATGCATTTTATATTCACTAGACATTCATTTAAATTAAATTTAATCAAAACTTATGACATCGATTTTGCATCGATCAGTGGGATCTTGGACAGCTTTTTTTATTGACTTATGAGCTCTTTTGAATCCTCCAATATCTTTTCCTACCGCCATATCATTCAGGACGTCTTTTAGCTGATTAAAAGAAGTGGCGCAAGAAACTTATCATCATTTGACATAAAATAATTTTATACCTATATTTGATATTATATTTCAATATATAAATGTTTTAAAATTAGATTAACTAGCGCTTACATACCATAGATATAACTCGTGTCCTATGGAAGAGCGAGATCATTTTTTTAAACGTTTATGCAGGCAATTTCTTTTAACTCTTTGTAACCCTTTTTAAGTCGTAAAAAATACTTTCATTTTATTATACAAGTAATTCATCTATGAAAAAGTATAATTTACCTGAAGTCTCATACTAACCTCCTTTATAGCCTCATATGTTCTTAGTCTCGAAGAAATGTACGACAGAGCGGTGGTTGTTCCAAGTCTGTAATTAATTAACTGATTTTATTATTATTATTTCAAGCCACTCGATCCGGGTATCAAAGAGGATTCGAACCTGCTCCCTCCGCTACCCGCGTAATAAACTCATTTTGAAAAACAAACTAAAGTAGTCATTATCTTCTTCGTTCTACATATAAAATCTTTTCTTTGCGTATGCCTACATTATAACAGCTATAATTGTATACCAAATTTCAACACAATCCGTTCAGTCGTTTAAGCTGTGCGTTGATAGATCAGTCAATCAGTACCGGTTGTCTTCTTTAATCATACAGATTTCAAGTTTTAGGATGAATAAATATTATTGGCGTGAAAGAACTCAGAAAACACACTTGATAGATTGGAAAACAGGTGTAGAATGCCCGCAAACAAAGAACGCAGTTGTGGTGGTAAACTTGCTTGTGGTAGACTTGCCCACACCCTTACCAGACTTAGATTAAAACAAAAAGAGTAGATACGGCACTAGCCTCACAAAAGCGATCCACACAAATTGTGGTCCACGACCCTAATCGCTTTAGTCACAACTTGACATGCAAACGACGTACATGTGAACGCCAAAAAGAAATAATAATAATAATAATAAATAATAATAAATATTTCCAACACTCACACCAATTAGCCTAGCCCCAAAGTAAGCACTATAAGGCTTGTGTTATGGGATGCTAGGGTAACGGATAGAATACATAAACTGTACATATATAAGTATATTTTTATAGAAAATACATATTAAACATCCATGACTGGAGTTCAAATGCTCGTATTCATCACACAAACATCTGCCCCCACCGGGACTCGAACCCGGGACCTCTCGAGTCGGCAACACCATGAAACCCGGCGTACAAACCACTCGACCACGGAGGTCGTCAAATTGCTAATATTTTGTGTTTATAAGATAAAACAATGCCTATGTATGTTTTTAAAAAGTGCTCAAATTGCTCAAGATCTAAAAATAACACCCACAGCATTACTTTTCATTCGTAAGTAATATAAAATATATTTTTTCATAAAAATTGCTGTTTTTTTTAATCTTATTCGGTAGTGACGTCGAGTACTGGTCGCGTGATTGGTCGGTAGTGCAGTGACGCGGATCTCGCCGTCCCGTTCGCGCTGCCGTGGGATCAGTTTTTATTTGATGCAAGTATGAGCGTACCGTATCTACCCTAAGTTACCAGACTAAAACTGCGCAAGATTATAGGAACCCGGAATGATCATTGTCCTCTAAACAAAAACCTATACACAATAGAAGATAGATAGCTCCCTATATAGAGGATGCATGGAGACAGAAGAAACGCCACAGCATGTCATCATAGAATGCAGGAGTGTAGCAGACCAACGAGTACGACTTCTCCAGTCACTAGCATCGCTTCTTTCTTTCTGGACTAACCTAGGTTAGCTGAAGTCAATCGGAATGTTCCGAAACTCGCAAAACGGTCCAATAATTAGGACTAATTGCGGAAAACGCCCTGGAAAACTAAAACTAACTATTATTATCCGGATCTTTCTCGGTCAAGTTCAGGTACAATACCAATCATATGTTATACTTACGCAGCTGATACATTTCGCAAATTATCCTGTATGTATTGGAAGACGATTTGAGTATTGTTCTCGTTGCCACTGACAGCTGAATTGAAGGCAGTCGTGTAATCTTGACGCCGGATGATAAAGTTGTCGGGCTCAATAATATTGTCAAGGAACCTTAAACAAATCGTGAAGTTTAAAATATCATACAAAATCTTCTGTGCTATGCTTTGCTGACCTAATAACTGTGTTCCGCTTAAGTGGGTATCTAATCTACTCAATATAAAATAATTTTAGGATTTAGAAAAATAAATCCGTGGAAGAGTTCCACAAAAAATAGTAATTCCAAATTAACTATTTTGTATAAGTTTACCATCATAAAAATAATTTAGGATACAAATTGTAAAAACACCCGTTCCCCAAAAATATTACCTCCCTTATCCTTCCCGAATTTAGAGAGAATCAAGTGTGATGTTACATTCATTTCTTCACTGGGTGGTTAGTGACTGTGACTTCGACCGCGTCAAACAACTGGTTTCTAAATCTAAAGAAAATATAACTAGAAAAAATTCCACGCGGACCAGGCAGCAGACAGGACTCGAACCCGCACCCTTCGCAATCCGGGCGAATGCACTGACCAATTATGCTACCGCGGCCCTCCATATTGGCATATTTTCTTTACATTTAAAGCATCAGCTGTAACAGCTTTGAAAAAAAAATACAACTGGTTTCTGTTTTTTTAGGGGCATTATTTCTTATTTAATGCCATAAGTTTGAATTTTAAAAAATAAATAGTCACTCACTTGTTTAGCGCTATTGCGTCAGGGGTACAGCCCAAGATCATGATTATTTGTATCTTTTCACCATTGACAGGATGGCTTATGAATCTCCTCCAAAGAAAATCGAAATCTTCGTAGACACCTTTCCGGAGAGCATTGCAATACACCCAATTGCGACTGTCTACTGGAACTCTGCGAAAAGTCGAAAATACTCACGTTTATTATTCTGAGGAAAAAATAGAAACGTTAGAATAGCAGCTAGAAAAAGATATTTTTATCGTCGAAACCAACTATAAGAATAACATTCAAAACCAAAAATCTCATCTCACATTATCAATAATTAGCAAATACCTATTAAGTTGCACAAATTGATGTCAACAATTATTAATAAAATTTAAATGCGAAAATACAAACGTACTTAGTCCGATTTGAGTATTTACAGAATAGGCTTCAACTTACTCTGTACTATTAATTTTAAGCTCTTCAAACTGCTGCGTTGCTGCTTCACGGCATTCGTCAACTTCTAGTTGGCACATGACTGGTGCCAGTTGGTATCGCAAGTAGGATGTCATGAACGACTCGTCATCACGAGGGTAGTACGTCAACCGTTGCATTACTGGAGTCGCCCATTCAATAAACAAAGCCTTGGAAAATAATGTGGATATTGAACTTTCTAAATAAAGTTTCCGATTAAATGCTCAACAAATAAAATGAGCGACAATGGAATAGTAGTAATCATATTCTTTCAAAGGAACTCAGTGTGTGTGTATGTAAATTAAAGGAATTCTAGTCTGGCCAAGGCTCAGTTAATTATTTCCTAATAAAAAAACTTAGTGGTGTAGTACATCTTAGTGCCAAATTAAGAAGTCTTATTTGTACACGCTCAAGTTTTCATGCTCATGTGAAATTAAACACAAAAATAAGAAATAGCAAAGTTAACATTTAGCTGCGTATGTGAAGTAATGGATAATAGTTCCCAAGTCAATGTAACAATATCTCAACTAATTTATCTGCGAATAATCAATTAATATGCTGTTTATTTGACATACATAGTACAAGCTCAATTGCATTAGGACCAAATAATTGTCGCGATTTGCCTGGAATTTGGATGTTATTATTGATCACAATCTGTCATAATTTAAGATTCGATTGTCTGTGTGTATTTTGTCGGCAGTGATTAATGGAGGAAATGGTTATAAAAGTCACTATATTCTTTATTCTTCTTTTTTTTGATCCTGTTCAGACTTACATTCAGTCGGCTCTCCGTAGGAGTTCCCATAAACCTATTTCTGACCCAATTGAATCCAGTGATCGCAGCAGCCCACGGTGCATACTCGGTTTCATATTTCATGAACGAGAGAATATTGAAAGCTCTGGTGTAGTTCATCAAGCCGGAGCGTGCGAATTGGAATACGTCATTGACAATCTGAGTGAGGAAAATAACAATAAACATGGTATTAAAACCCGGATAAGAAAAATTTAATTAAGATCCCAATTGTTTCTAAGATAGAATCAAGATAAGATCCAACTAAAAACTCTTTAGAACATACATAAAAAACTTTGCAATCTCCAAATGGAAATGTTGTTAATACATATTTGCGTGTGTGTGTCGCTAGGATTATTCTTTGGGAATATTTAGGTATTTATTTTACTTTCATGGTAAACTTATGAGAAAAAATGGGAATTTTTTTTAGTCCCAATAAAATTCCAACATTCTCAGTAACAGCACAAGGTGTATAGATTTAAGTATTATAAAGTGTAGTGAATAATACAGTCACCTGAGCTCTGTTGAATTCATGTACCAGTGTCCGATTCGGTCCTCTCAACAGCATTATTATTAAGTCCCAAGTGTAATCATCATAATTTACTCTATAAAAACCTGTAGTAAAGAAAACGTTATATTACTGACCCTTTTATATGCCTGGAAAATATCCTTATGCATTCAGCCACAGGGGGAGCAAGAAGATGGTATCTGCGGACTTCTCCCTGCTCACTTCTCTCAGCTCTAAGAGCTCGATGAAATGGGCAAGGCCCTACCCAGTAAAACCAGACATTACTGCATCGGTCGCCCCACGTGCATTCTGAAGACCGAGGTCCCCCCAATACAAGCCGAGAGTGCGGGTGTAGTTGCGACAATCGTCTTCGACTGGCTGCGCATCTATAAGGTGATTGTCCGCGTACGGACCCACCTTGATGATATTACTGGCCTTGGTAATTTAAGTTTTCTACAAGCTGTCCTATGGACCACAGAATTGAATCTTTGGTCTATAAAAATATAAACCTATAAAAATACCTACAATCTAGAAAATCATTGCTGAAATACAGATTTGCATAGCAATTAAATAAATATTTCCAATATCCCACCAATTAGCCTAGCCCCAAAGTAAGCATTATAAGGCTTGTGTTATGAGATACTAGATTAATGGATAGAATACATATACTGTACATATATAAGTATATTTATATAGAAATACATATTAAACGTCCATGACTGGAATACAAATGCTCGTATTCCACACATAAACATCGGCCCCCACCGGGATTCGAACCCAGGACTTCTCGAGTCGGCGACACCATGAAACCCGGCGTACAAACCACTCGGCCACAGAGGTCGTCAAACAGGATAACTAAAGTCGTCAAATTAGATAGCTGAAGTTTAATATTTTATGTAATATTCAATGTAAATAATATGTTCGTGTTTAAATTATTTCATACCTGTTTGTTGTTTGTTGAAAATTACCCACTCATCTCCGATACTTCCACGGTTAATTCTTGTAATAGAATCCTTTATAATATGACTCGGCTTAGTGTCTTCAAAATCTGGATTACTGGCTGTGGCAAAAGTTATAGGAACTATCCAATTCGTATTAGAGGTAGAGTATCCGCTGTTTATATTAAATCTTCGCTGTAAAACAAATATGTTAAAATATTTACTTTCTTCCTTAGCAAGATACAGTGTGATGTAGTCACAACCGTCCTATTTATGTACCTCCTCCATATTAAACCAAACCTTATTGGGAATTTAAAAACATTCGTTTGTGATTTAACTTTTAATTCAAATGTCATAATGCGTCAAGGCTGACACAACGATGTTATTCCGACAGAAATCTTCAAATTGATAAGTATATTTTTCGGTATACAACTACAATTAGTGGAATGTGTAAGTAAAGTGCAAAAACTCAAAAAAATACAATAAAGGAAAACCGGAAACTAACACGACTAAGTACAATTAAATATTTCATAATTTTCATTTTTTGAATCCAAACCTACTGGATGTTTTTCATTTTATATTTGTTTCATAGTTACTTTACCTAGCACTTCACAAAATATTATTTAAACTCAATAGCTGAATTTAAATTAATGTTTATACCTGTAAAATAGTCATTTCTCCAGTCTGATGATTGACTTCTACATTAAGTACAGGATGTCCACCTTGATCACTCCAAGTCCTGTAGTAATCTATGATATTGAAATCAGATCCATATTCCGCAATAGCACCAGTTTCTACAGCTGAATCTTGGAGAGCTTGGAAGAGATGGATAGGAAGAGCAGTATTGAACTCTCTGAAAAATCATTCATTCGATTAATTGAAACCAAAAGAATGTGAGCGGCTGTATGAAATTGTGAAATACCTTTCTCTTAAGTATCTCCTTAAGCCTTCCCTATGATTGTTGAAACCCATCAAATGTTCTGTCATTCTGATCACTGCGGCACCTTTATTGTAACTAATCTGAGTGAACATAGTTCTGACTTCTACGGGACTGCCTAAACCAGGGTTATTGAGTGGGTGCGGATTGTTCGCAGAGTCAGTGAGCAAAGCACTGTGAACTTGTTCAGGAATAAAACGGGTAGCTAAGCCCAATTCTGGATCAACCTGATAAGCAACGGATAATTAACAACTAGGAAAATAATCATATGAGTTTTAACTTATCAAACACTCTTTACCCAGTCAGTGAGGTAGTACTGGTAATATCTGGCAAACCCTTCATTAAGCCAGAGGTTGTCCCACCAGTCGCAAGTGACAAGATTTCCAAACCACATATGTGCAATTTCATGAGATAATATATAGGCAATCCTCTGCTTGAAAAATCCGTCGGTGTGATTTTCATGATACATTAAGTAAGCTTCCCTGTAAAAATAAAAATAGGTTTTACTGTTATAGATACATCAGAAACACTTCTAATTTGGCAATACGAAACTCAGGTAATTTCCCGACTTGCATATAGTCTTTCGCCATGGCTACACTTCGCTACAATATGTAAATACATATTTTACGTTTTTCCAGACAAAAATCCCTATGTGTGTTTTTAGATAGTACACAAGGAAATATTAGAGAAAATAAAAACCCATAATTTCATTCCTAAGTACAGTTTTAAAGAAATTAATGATAAAATATTTATTAATTACTTATTTTGACAGTAGCTGATACCGCAGTCATGTGGAGGCTTTAGAGCAAGATGTAATCTATTTTAATGAATAAAAGCGACTACTTTAGTGCTGTCTATTGGCGGCTGTTACCAAGGGAAGTTGGGGCGGGGACTTTTTGTGGCATTTTGAAATGCATTATTGGTGGCGTATAACCTGTCTCTATATTAACCGCTGATATTAAAGTAACGAAAACAATAAATCTGCATCATATGAAGATGTGGATTAGGAAAACATTTTGTTCAATATTGAACTCTAGTTTCAACTTGATATTCATGCAAATAATGTTTTGATACGTATATACGATATATTTTGATCCTTCTTATCAAACTAGATAAAATGGGCAAATTAAACAAATTGGATAGCCTAGACAAATCAAATTAAGACGTGTAAAGAAACAGTCAGCAACACATTTTTTCTACCTGTTGTGAGACTTCCGCCAAGCAAAATAAAGCACATACTTATTCTGTTGAAGAAATCTATAAATTTTTGATAACTTGACCTCTCGCTGAATATCTCAAATAATATGGCACTGATCCGCTATTCTTTAATTGAAAAAATAAAAGCCTTTGTTCTTGTGCATTCTCTTTATATTGAACCCTAGGTAGCTTCGTATCCTGCGCAGTCTAAGACCCACTTGCACCAAAGTTTTTAATTCAAATAAAGGCTTAATCGTGCTTCAAACATCATTCCATCCTTGTCAATTGTTTAATGTCAAATGAGATAGAATCAGGTTTAAGTATGGTGAGCTTTTTCTTAATTCAAATAAGAACTTTAATACTACTACTACTTTAATAATACTTTTGTAATTTTTATCTTTAACTGTACTGTATATTGCGATACCCTGACAGGGTTCATGTTAGGTACTATGAGCATTTTGTAACCATCGATGTAACCACATGATTGCAATAAATTGAATTGAATTGAATTGAATAAGAACTTTAGTGCAAGTAGACTTAAAGTCAACTAACATTTAGCAACCTAATATGAACAAACATTACAGTAGTATGATTTTACCTGTAAACTAGCAATCCCCAGTTCTCCATAGCACCCGCCGAAAAGTCCGGTATAGCAGCCTGCGTCATCTTTAAATTTGGATTCACAGAATAAAATTCTATGTCCGTTTGCCTGCTCATTTCCTCTAAGAGATCTTGTCCAAAATAAAACGCGTAATCTCCTTGATTATCCTCCATAGCAGCGGGTCTTGCTATAACTTCGTACAAGAGGTCACCATTGTTTGCCTCTTTGGTTTTACTCGTGTATTCGGCAACTATGACAGCCAGCAAGTACGTGGACATTACAGGAGTTGTTGAATAAATATCATCTTTGTAACCACTGCAATGTAATTTATCATGAATGAAACTTTTCTTTTTACACTCACACCAATTGGCCATCTGTAATACATAATCTAATAATATGCTAGACAACGGGTAGTAGTAAGTATCATCATTATCATCAGCCTATTAATAGCCCCACTGCTGGGGCACAGGCCATTCCTATGAATGAAATAGGGCCCAGTGCGGATTGGTGGGTGATAACGACTGCAGATGCAGCCGGGACCAAAGGCTTAACATGCTTTCCGAAACAAAAAGCAGCTCGTTATAGTAAATGTTTGGTCACACTGCTAATGACCGACCACTGTGAAAGTTTCATAACTACTACGAGCGCAGCTCAACGAACCCGTAGTAAGAATATAATAATATGAAAAAGATCTTGCCTAGTCATTAACACATGACTACAATAATTTAATTTATATGAATGATAGTGCTTACAGTGCTCTTTCAATATCTCTTGTACATTACGGCCAGCAAAAGAGACGAACGTGTAAATACGTAAGTCCATCAACACCTAGTTATGGTCAAGGCTTCTATAGTACTTTTTTGAAATAATGCGCGAAAATTAAAACATATATATCTAGGCAAAACTTATTATTTTAAAATACAACAAACTGACTGTTCAAAATCAATGACGAACAACAACTCTCAGTCAATCAGTTTTCGATTTATATGTGAGGCCGAAATTTAAATAAAACCTTTTCTAATTTACCTCCTTGGTTGCCATGTTTTGGAGAAAAAGATCGGTTTTTAAATTACATATCAGAAATGAGTTTACTATGTAATTATATGGCTACTAAAATACGAGAGGCGGATTTTCATACAACTGTAGCCGGCCGCTGCTGCGTCTTAAGTTGTTTTTTTAGCATTTTATTAAAATAAGTATTTGGTACCTATTTACTTACACAATGCTACTGGTTCTGGTGTCGTTACGTTTGGTGCAAAACCAGCTCCCAAAACTCTCTGGTCGTGTGATCGTCATATCAAATGTGGCCTTGAAGCTCGGCTCGTCATAGCACGGGAACACGAACCGTGCAGTAGTCGCTTGTAAATGAGTCGATGCCATCCAACTGAAACACCATTAGAACCGTATACGATGACACATGATACAACGTAGCCTAAAGGATCGGCTACAATCTTGTCGCTATGACAGCTTAGAGCAACGTACCCTTAGAATAATCCCCTGTTCCTTAAATCCCTAACACATGATACAACGTAGCCTAAAGGATCGGCTGCAACTTGACCGGACTTTGACCCGTCGGTCACAAAAAATACCCCAAAATCGGTAGAGCCCAAACCGACTCTATATAGAGACAGTAGAGACTAGGAAAATTAATTTTAAGTTTTCATTAATAAATTTCCTATAAGGAAATAGGGCCTTTTCTACAGCAAATTGACTTCCTGTTTCTCTATTGAGAACAGGAATAGTAATTAAGGTATTTTGACAAATTCAGGTCTCTATTGAGCCTGAATCTAGGTTAGTTAGTTAGGATTTTAATATAGTTTAGATCACTCTGCGCCTCTATTGAGGGCAGACTTAGGTTAAGTATTGACAAAACTGCATTTATTGCAATCTCACTACAATTGTATTTTATATTAATTTATTCAATTTAAATTTACTGTGATATTGACAATCTGTACCTCTTTTAAGGGCAGGTTTAGCTTTAGGTAATAATTACTTTATTATTGTTGTGTGTGTAATTTATACAAATTGACTGTGATACAGACACCCTGTACCTATTTTTAGGGCGGGCTTAGCGTAGGAACTAAACTTGTTTGAACATATTAATAATTGAATTACGTCTATTGACACATTTATTATTCTAATTTTAACTTTAATTTATTTAATTTCGAATTTAATTTAATTTTTTATTTTATTTTATTTTATAAATTATTTTACAATTAGACGTAGGCAAACCCACTCAGATAATAAACAATAACAAAGAAATAAGCAAAATGTATACTAGTAGCCAACCTATTTTTGCAAGGTTAAGATCCAACAATTTTGAAAGTAGACGTGCAGACTCCTCTCCCCAGGGGGAAATAGATAGTGATAAATCTCAAGCTCAGCCCACGATGAAATCGCCACAGAAATATAAGAACGTAAGGGAGTACGAAAGAAGAGCGAATGAAGCGCAAAGTAAAATAAAAGAACAAATGGAACCAAAAGGAACAAACAAGTCAGTAACAAGAGAAGGAAAGGCAAGGATTACGGAAGAGACGATTGAAATGGTAAAGATGATTAAAGAGCTAGTAAGTAGAGTAAGCGAGTCAGAAAGTAACAAAGAAAGAAGAAGAATGCAAGAGGAGGAAAGAAAAGAGAGTAAGAATGGCAAAGATGAGAAAGAAAGTGAGAGTGAGAATGAAAGAAGGAATAGTATGATAAAGATGTATGAAGGTATGATAGGAAATAAGGAAGAAATAAGAGTGAATGGTAATGTCCTAGCAGATATTATGGGAATACTGCTGGAGATTAAAGAAGAGGTAAAAGAGACGAGAGAGGAACAAAAGAAGTTTAACAAAATTTTAATAGAAGAAAAGGAAGAAATGAAAGTTAGTAAAAACAGGATAGAGAAAATGGAGAAAACGATGAGCATGCAAGTCGAAGAAAGCAAGTACATGAAAGAAGAACAAGAAAAGCTAAAAGAGATAATAATAGAAAATAATAGAGGGATAGAGGAAGGAATGGGAAGATTGGAAGTGATAAAAGAGATGCAAGAAAGAGTGGGAAAGCGAATGGAAGAAGAGCAAAAGAAACTGACTGAGCTGGGAACTAAGATAGAGGAAGAAAGAAAGGAAGAAACGTATGCGGAAAAAGTGAGAAGCGTTCCACCCCAAAACAAAACACTACATTCAATCATAGTGGCGTCGACCGACGAAACGCTCACGAGCGACCAGGTATTCGACGCGGTGAGGAAGTCGGTCGACGAAAAAGGGGAGTGGAACGAAGTGCGAAGAGTGAGAAAGGCGAAAGGGCAAAAGGTAATTATAGGGTGTGCAAGGGAAAGTGAGGCAGAGAAATTGAAAGAGAAGATCGAAAGGAACAAAATACTAAAAGTGGAAAGGGCAAAGAACAAAAACCCATTAGTAATAGTGAGGAACGTAAGAGGAGAGAGAAAGAAAGAGGAAGTGATAGAAGGGATAAAAAGAAAAATTGGAAGAATAAACAGGGAGGAAAGGTTTAAGGAAGAGGACATGGAAGTTATATATGAAAAGGCAACTAGGAATCCGCATGTGGCGCACGTGGTGGTCAGAGTGGCTCCCACAATTTGGCGGCAGCTGACAGATGCGGGGTCTCTTCAACTACAGTGGGGAATCTCCGCTGTGGAAGATCAGACCCCGTTAATCCAGTGCTCCCGCTGTCTGGGCTACGGCCACATCAAACGGGTCTGCACGGAGGCGCTGGACAGCTGCAGCCACTGTGGGGGGGACCACTTATACGCCGCATGCCCAAACAAAAATTCCGCTCCTAGTTGCCTAAATTGCAAAAGGGCTGAGTTAAAAGAGAATGAACACAACACCTTTAGCAATGACTGCCCACAGAGAATACTCTGGGATAAAATTGCAAGAGTGAAGGTGGCATATTGCTAAGGGTGCTGTGGGCAACAACAGAACGGGGAGAGGAAAAAAGGAGCAGAAAGAAATATATAGGGTAGAAAAAGGAATTTGGATAAAGACAACAAAATATATTGAAAAGAGATGGCATTGGTTCCACTTTCTTTAGGAAAGAAGGGAATCAATATTAGGGATAAGACTGCTGAAGCCCCTTCGTGGAACAAAGCAGGGAGTGCGAGTGGAGGCCAAAGGTAACCACGGGGCCAAAACAAATGGAGGCAAAAAATTATTTTTTGAAACTCCACTTGCGGAGGCATACCGGGCTCTAGAGGCTACCACCCAAACTCGGAAGGTAAAAAGTGACCACGGAGGGACTCCAGCAGTAAAAATAGAAAATACTGCAGTAACAATTAGAGATAGAGATATTAATAGAAATAAGCGAAAGACAAATTGAGTAGAATACAATGCGCGTAACATAAATAAGAAAAGTAAAAATAGAAATAAGTAAATATTGTAAATAAAATAAAGCAAATGTAAATAGGATAAGTAGTATACAAACGACAGTCTAAATAAAGACAAAGAAATGTAGCAAAGAAAATAATGTAATATAAAAAAGTGAATGTAAATAGATTAAGGAGAAAACTGTAATCAAACAAGAAAAGGAAATAATAACTTAAGAAAATAATTGTAAAAGTTAAAATGAATCTAACAAGAATAGTATCTAATGTAAGAGAAAACTAAATTATAGAATAGAAAACAGCAGTGACTTATAAGAATCTAGATAAATTATTAAAATTGTAAGAAAATAACAATGTAATAGAAAATAGGAAATGTAGAAACGTTAAGTAAAAATAATAAAAACGAGAAAAGAAAAACTCGAATATAAAAATACGAAGTAGAGAAAAGAAAAACTCTAGAAAAGAAAGAAAACCAAAAAAGCATAAAAAAGTCCTGCCACTGAGTGGGGAAGCCGTTAAAAAAAAAAAAAAAAAAAAAAAAAAAAAAAAAAAACCCCTGTTCCTTAAATCCCTAACACATGATACAACGTAGCCTAAAGGATCGGCAGCAACCTTGTCGCTATGACAGCTTAGAGCAACGTACCCTTAGAATAATCCCCTATTCCTTAAATCCCTAACACATGATACAACGTAGCCTAAAGGATCGGCTGCAACCTTATCGATATGACAGCTTAGAGCAACGTACCCTTAGAATAACCCCTGTTCCTTAAATCCCTAACACATGATACAACGTAGCCTAAAGGATCGGCTGCAACCTCGTCGCTATGACAGCTTAGAGCACCGTACCCTTAGAATAACACCCTGTTCCTTAAATCCCTAACGATATATCGTTGTATAAATTCATTCAAATTTTCCCACTTGGAATTTTTGATTCAAATCAAAAAAGAAGAAAAATTTGATTTTCTAAACTATCGCTACCGGTTGGGATATATGGATCTTTTTATTCCAAACATCCCTACTGATCCGTAGTGGCAGGGATAATTGGATATTTGTTGGATGATAGGAGATATTGGATGTGCTACAAGTAGGGACAAATATTCAAGGGTTTTTTTATATGATTCACTAAGTGTCCCTGAATAAATTTATAGAAGGAACGCTAAAATGTCAACAATATGCATCCGGTCCGACTTATTTTCACATATAAGCTCGAAAGTGCATTGGAAAGAGATGGATATTGCCCTTTACTTTCGTCGTTTTGAAAGTAGGACAACACTAAAATAAATAGTTAAAATACGTTTAAAGCTCACTAACTCAGTGTTAAAACTGTCTACAATTTGAAGCAAACAAAGTTTATCTTTTAAACACTTTTCAATATTCAAATTGAAAAACCAAATGTACCTACTACAAAATCATGGACAACAGAAAAAATTCTGATGAAAGTGTAAAACTGTATCACTTACACACGTTTGACTGCGCTTTGGTTAGAACACTACTCGATCTAGCCAAAGAGTTATTTTATGATTCCTTCTATGGACGCACTGAACGGTGCTAACGAAATGTAAGAATTCCAGAAGCACTCATGAAGCTAACGTTAAACCCCGCCTATTGATTGTCAGTTAGTGCCGCTCTATGTATCATTATGCAAATAATTTGCCCCTGACGGGATTCGAAGCTAGGTCCTTAGAGTCGGTAACTCCTTGTACACCGATCTACCACGGAAGTCGTAGCCATATTTCAATTGGGCATTTATTTGCGTGCTCATAAAAAATATCTGATAACGAGAATTTAATCCTTTTTAGGGTTCCTTAGTCATAACAAGGAACCCTTATAGTTTCGTCATGTCACCCTTAACCGTCCCCGGTCTTGCTTGGAGACTGTTAACACTAGAGAGCTGCAATTTTGTGGAGATAGGTACATCAATCACGTCGACAAAATGGTAAAATTATAAAACTAGTATTTACGGGTTAATGCACCAAACTTTATTTATTTATTGACGTTTCGTGCATTAACCCGTAAAAACTAGTTTTATTTAATGAGTGATGTGCGTGAAAACCTAAGAAACGAATATGGTAAAATTATGATTTCTTTTATGGTAGTTCCTCTACTCGTAACCTATCGACGTTTTTTTTTTCCATCGTCTACCCTATTGTGTGGGGTATCGTTAAATAGGTGTATCTTTTAAATTTTTTATGGGTTTTTAGATTATTTTTCGATTTAGGCATCCGTTAGCAAAATATTGAACTTTAAAATGTTATTTTTTGTTCGAGTAGGGCCTCCGCCCTCTAAAAGCTAAACTATTGGCTTGAAAAACCTGGAAAAATTCATAATAATAGTGCTTTTAATGAACTTTCAAGAAAAAGTATAACAGTTAAGATAAATTTTTATTTTTAGTCGTTAAACTTTGGTTAAAGAAAATATCTTACAAACTTACTTAAAACATTAATAGTGACACAGATAGGCACCTACGAAACCCAACACTGCGCCTGTCATGACACGCACTTGGCCGGTTTTTATATGTATTATATTCCATATCTTATTAAGATTCTATAGATAAGAGCTCTTCATAATTCAGAACTACATAATGATTGCTGTCCAGAACTTATTATTATAATGAATACAGTATTAAATTTGCGACATCAAACTTACGTTAGTGCCATTCTTACCTTGGATCGTCAGTGGCATTATTCCTATACCAATTTCGATAGAGACCTGTCATGTCACTTCTTAATTCAGCTTCGAATTTAATAGCCAGCGTGTATATGATTCGATTGCTTACATTGTAGGCCAGTGGTTCGCTCGTCAGTCGAACTCTCAAGAAGTGATATTGTGGTTGTAATTCGTATGTTTGGTAAATCGGATTGTTATCCCGTTTCAACTCTAACGATGTGATGTTCATATCATGGGCATGAATAATGATTTCATTAACGTTCCATTGAGTAGCGTAAAGCCGAATTTCGACATCACCAGAAAACGACAGATCGGTCATGTTGACGACCAAATTCACTTTATAATTTTCCGGTTTCGTCGTTGTCGGGAGCCGGTATGGGTTATTGGTATCTCTTGACGATACTTCGTTGTAAGTGTTAAGGAATTCAAAGGGTCCATCCTCCAATCGCTCGTCTCCAAATATAGTGGTTCTGTACGAAAGAGGTTCTTGCGGGAAACCACTTGCTGAGAGACATGCCGCAGCAAATATTGTTACTATTAATAACGCCATCTGAAACCATTGATGTTTTAAAAACTATCATAATAGCAAACTGTTTAAATATTGTGTTTATACTTGCTAAGTGTCCTTAATATTTACGATGTAGATATATATCTATATATAGGTACTTAAAACAACCTAGTAGAAAATGATGGCAGTTATGACGAACAAATAAAATATAGTCAAGATTATACAGCTTTTTTTCAGCAAATACGTATACATATATCCATATAAACACTACCGCTTCTTTTGTTTTCACTTACCTTTGATTTTAAACACTAATACACCACCCACACCTTACAACAGTATGGTGCGGGTTTAAATGTGTTACAAAGAAAAATGTATACGGATATTTGATATGAAAAACACCGATATTGCTCTGTTATCATCGGGTCATCAAATCGGTGTAATAAATACAATAGATTATATCTTTAATTTCATTATCTGCAATATAATGAAACCGCTCACGATGATTAGATTTTTTTGTTAGAATTATTCTTAAGAACAGAGGTACGTACTTTAATAGCGATATAATATTTATTGGATGTTAAAACATCCTTGTATGATCAAAATATGCGAACTGCAGTTGCTGGTTATATAGCTGAGTTATAGATTAATAACGCCTAATGTAGCATCTTTATTGGGAATGGTATAGATCGTGGACCCTCACAGTATTTTTTTCCATCCATACATACATGAGACTTTTTTAGTGGCTTCCTTTTGGCGAGTCCACCAAACCCTTCCCTTCTCTATGACTTCATTTAAAACTACTGCATTTGGAATGAGCATTATCAAAATATGTCGATCAAACGAGCTTCATATTCTTGATAGATACATACTTAATTTTAAATGCATTAACAAAATAATTTGAATAATATTTAGATGTGAAATATTGTGCTTCAGTGTGTGTGTATGTTTGCTGTCTCTGCCCATGGTCCACCTACATAGTTCACCGGGGTGTACCAAGGGCAATTATTTTTTCCTTTAATGTACCTCGAATTATCTGGGTGTACCAGCGGCTGTTGTTTTGTCCCGTGGTTCACCCATCTAAATATTGATATTTAGTTTTCAGAAAGCACTGCCCGTAAAAGAATAGATGAAGGAAGGGACAAATAAGTTAACTCATTTAACCCGTTGGAGCTCGTTTTAGTTAATGAAAAATAAATATTACTAGTTTAAATTCTAATTACTTATTTCGCATATAAAAGAGCAATACACTTTAAGACACTTTAACAACTGGCACGGTTGGAAGACTCCAACCGTCACAACTGTATTGGAAAGTAATGGTGAGAGTACCGCACCTTGTGGGCAACCTCTCGTAGCCAGTGCTCGCAGTTGATTCTCTCCTTGTGGTCTTATTAACCTGTTAGATAGCACTTATCCACTGGACGATGGTCTCATCAGCTCCGTGTCTAAGTAGGGCTGTCGTAATGCTGATAAAACTGGTTTTGTCAAATGCTCCCTCTCCGACGAGACTCGTCACAATGTGAATTTTAATTTATTTGTGGCTGGCGACTTTCATGAAGGAAGATCTTTGGCCGAAAGGTGTTGTATTAGTATTGTATAGTTTCTCAGATTTTTAAATTATTATAATTGATAAATTAGAAGATATCGGCCTCCATCTAAATTAGATATTCAAAATGCGATCTATTCATTCCAGAATCAAAATTTTCACCTGATCAGTTACAATAAATTATTATCAAATTTTTGGCTCTAGCCCCTCATAAATCAAAATTATTGATAACAAATCACTCCGTCTCCTATAGTATCTAATATTTTTAACGATGCTATTCTTATTTTTATTGATGAACAATTTTCCTTTTCGTGGTCCTAAGAATAAAATAAAATAAAAATCAATCATCACATGGCTTTATATTTTATTCGTTTTTGCGCTTTTGCCCCAATATTCACATACTGCTTACACCTTTGGGCTGGAGCTTCCAAATACTAATTGGATCTCCTTCATTATATACAAAGTCGCGCGATTCGGATTATCGATGATCCCAAGCTCGCGGAAAATCTGGAACCTTTAGAATTGCGCAGGGACTTCGGTTGCATAAGCGTATTCTACAAACGCTTTCATGGTAAGTGCTCCGAGGATTTCTGCAAGTTAATGCCCATATCACCATTTTACCACCGCATTACCCGTCACCGTCCAAAAATGTTTGTTTCCGGAGATCATTTATTCCAGGGACAATAAAATTATGGAATGGGAGCTAATCCACGGTGTTCCCTCAGTACTATAACATGGGCTTCTTCAAAAGAGGCTTAACTAAAGTGTGCTACGAAAGTCAGAGGCATAGCTGTGTCACTGGTTTTTACGTAGTATTTAACTACTCATTTTCGGGTTTTTCCAGGGCTACTGTTACCTATTGACAGTTTGCTCAGGGTGACACACGTCAAAATTTTAAATTGCTTATTTTCTAAAGACACTTGGAAGCAAGCATCTCTTCCTGTTCGTTTCGGAGGACTAGGTACTCGCCTTAATTCCCATATTGCCCTTCCCGCTTTTTTGTCATCTGCATATGGTACAGCCCAGCTTTTTAATAAAATGCAATGTCTTTCTTTAGACGAAGTCGAGCTGGCTCACCTTGCAGAGGCCAAAAAATGCTTGGTCTAGTGCCTGCCCGGGAGTAGATGCACCATCCACCTTATTTTCTCAGAGGCAGTGGGAGCACTCTGTTTGTATCTTCAGAGTGACCTTTTACCTTATTTTCTTCTATCTTCCAGGCAGAGTCTGGTTACAGCTGCAAGCTCTTCTTTTCATTTAGACTTGGGATCAAGACCAATCATTTCCATCGCTCTTGTTGCGGTACTCGCATCGGTCAGTCGAGAGACCATGGTTCTCTTGCCAAATGAGCGTTGACCGAGTCTCTCGTTACGTCTGAATCAGTGACGTCATCGGCACAGCTCGTGTTACAATCAATGTGGCAGCGGTCCTAGAGCCTAGCGGCATCTTTCAAAACGATGGCAAGAGACCTGACGAGATGACGATCATTACTTGCCATATAAGTAATACCTCCCTGTTGCAAGTACGGTGGCGCGGCGACCTCTGAGCTGAGCGCTCCAAGCGGTACTAATATTTAGCTCTGAATGAAAACTATATATTTTTGCCTTTTAGTATTGAGATTATGGGCCCATGAGGATATTGTTGAGGAATTGTCTAAGAGACTAACCGAGGTGACTGGAGATCAAAATGCTGGTAGTTACCTTGGTCAGCCTTGCCATCCAACGTGGCAATGCTGCCAGCCTATTGGGCACCATTCCTGATGGCGGCGCACACTGGTACGGATTTTGAAAAAAGTGGACATCTATGAAGTGTGGGTGTGAGTGCGTGTATGTGTGTGTGTGTATGTGTGTTTGTGTGTGTATACGTGTGTGTGTCCATGCAGCTGCAATGCTTTGCCTCGTAACGAGATGGCGGGCGCCGCGCCCCTGGCACTACATTATTCAAGTACTTCAATGTAAATATAAAATAATTATCTTTACTAAATTCTTATGTATATGATACAAATACCTGGTTTCATTAAAATATTAGAAGAGAGTAATAAAAACCCGATCATGTTGTAAAATATTTTATTATAATAAATTATAAAAATATTTTCTTTTATACTATTATGTACACACACATCAACGACACCGAAATCACAAATTAAACAGCCTTGTTTTCATTAAAAGGTATAATATAATAAAATATTATTTCAATTAGTTTGTGATTTTATTTAGCTGTCTTAATGTTCTGCTTGGTATGACGCCTTGTTTATATCAATATTGTTTATGCGAAAGAAGTCACTAAAGAAATAAAGTTAGAATATAAATTTAACAATTAAAGCAAATGAAATGGCTATGAATGATAAGAAACTAGTGTTAGCTGAATCAGGTAGATCAGGTAGATCAGGAGTCGTTGGTGCCTGAATGTTGGGTACAGTCATTGTCCATGGAGGAGTAGTGATGATGGGAGCGGGAGTACTAGATGTCAGTGGTTGATCGCCAACATTTAAGTAATTGTCGAAGTCTTCAAGGTTGTCGTCAGCCCACTCTATGGCGCTGATAGAGCTCTCGGCAGCGTTATATACTGCCTGGAATTCAGCTCCTAGGAGAGCTTGGTTGTTGGTTGCCCATTCGCGGAACTGGAAACATAGGAAACGAAACGTATTTCAGTGACTTATCGTGTGAATAATTAAAATTCCCTAAATTCTAGCTTTTGTCTACAACTTTGTACGCTTACGGACTTAATAATCTTGTCCCTGTGGAATAAAAAAAATGATAACCTATGTGTTTATTCAAGTACCTAATGTTCTTCTTATATGTCTCCCCAATCTGGTAAGCCATTTTAGCGTGATTAAGTATCCAAACATACTGATATCACTTAAAGATATATGTATGTTCAAAGGCACTGTTTGGTCACTGTTGGTAGTTTAAAAATGTTAGATATTGCAATCCACACAGACGCGCCCCACTATTCCTCCTAACCGTTTATAGTAAATGTGTGCCAGCTTCCGCCAAATTTGGGTGTTATCGGTACACACTAATTATCGATGATAATAATAAATAAAAAAAATGATGTGGTGTCGTGGGACACCAGGTAGGAACGAAGTTCCTTCGGCTAATGTAGAATCGACACAAATTGCAAACTCGCTTGTGTATGCGACTGTCGCGCCTGCGCACGTCTCATTTAACGGTTTTATTCCACGCACTTTTTTCCACGGATTTTTTCTTACGGTTTTACTATCACATTTTTTCAGTTCGGGCGCGCAGCAAAATCCCTATCCACCCAAATTGCAAACTCGCTTGTGTATGCGACTGTTGCGCCTGCGCACGTCTCATTTAACGGTTTTATTCCACGCACTTTTTTCCACGGATTTTTTTTACGGTTTTACTATCACATTTTTTTCAGTACGGTCGCGCCGCAAAATCCCTATCCCCTCCAAGCCTGCCGTAAGGAACTTCGTTCCAATAATATGATAATTATCTAATTATCTTTTTATCACTAATTATCCTTCAACCAAAAATTGTTGCGGCGCAGCTTCGTGGATTGCACTATCTGTAATTATCTGTTATTTTATGAGCGAGTTGACAATGCAAGAACACTAAGCCCTCAAGCTAAGACTACAAATGTACTGGAAAGATGAAGAAATTGTTAATAAAACTCCAGATTAAATTTGATGCAAGACAGAATAGCTGCAATGCCGCAGCCAAGGGAAATTAGTTAAGTAGGCCCGGCCCACATTAAGAAAATTTAAGAAGAACTGGTAAGAATTAATTTACCAGTTTTTATTACACTGTTTTGTGAAGTTCGTACGTAAGGAGGAATCATACTTCTTTTCATTTCATTTGTTTTATCCATCAATGTAATTGCTTGTAAAAATATTATAGAACAATTAACTTTAGGTTTTTTAAAACATGGAAATAATTCCATTAATATTAACGCTTTCGGCCTCCATCGTAATCGTAACTGTGTTTTCTAACCAGTTGTCTAGGAGGATTTTTTTTATTTCGATATCTATTAGTCGGCCACCTGGCGGCCTATTTTCTCACTCAAAAAACAGCAAGGAACATTTACATTGAAACTAACCTCTCTAACTTTCTCCGGAGTCCTGAGTCGAGACGCGACGGCACTAAGGCGTGATGCCAAGGAACCAAACCTGAAACAAATCGTCGATATCACAATATACTTAACCCTGTACAAAAGATAACTTACTAAATAATAATAATAATATAATAATGGTTTATTTATCTTAAAAGTTACAATTGCTCTATATACTAATTAGAGGAATTAAATCTTAAATATTTTTACATATAAGAGGTTAGTTGACGGCTGTACTAGTATTAACTGTGTCACAACCGACAGCGACTCCTTCCATGATATTTTGTCATGGGGATGCACAAAAATTAACCTTATTTAAACCATCTAAAGTACCTAACTAACCAAAAATAAGAAAATATTTAAATTTTGTTTTGTTTTATACCGACTGTACTTTTGCGCGCGCGCGCGCGCGCGCGCGTGTGAGTGTGTGTTTGTGTGTGTACGGTGCATGTTAGTGAGTGTACGGTGCATGTTAGTGAGTGTACTGTATGTGATATATGATTATGCATGTTTGTTCTCATGAGTGGCAGAGCAATATAGTAATACTTATGGGAATAAACCAATACATAACCAACAACTGTTCATAGTCATCATGATTATAATTGTCGCTCCCCGCGTCGTGTCTCCAGTATAATTCCGTCCAATTACTTGCAAATTTATTACTTGGCAAATAAATGTTGGAAACAAATACGCCATAATTGGCTTTTCGTGACAAAAGGCTACTAGTTGGGAAAGACGAGACAGTGCTTATCCCACATCTGCGTGACAAAGTTTCGGTACTAAAATTGTGCTAAATTTGCGTTCGAACTTTGAATTACGTTTTTGCTCTTCTACTTCAGGAGCACATACAAATTTATCTTTATCCCGCAACCTATTTTAGCGTGTCAAATCATTGCCAGTCAAGCTACCGTATGGCTACCATCTAGCGTCTACAAACACACATCTCGATAATTCACTACAACAGAACTTACTCAAATTCCTAATGCTAATTTTAGCGCATTCGGTACTAATGCCATCCGAAAGTTCGTCGTGCACATGTGGGTGAAACGACTGAAACGCATTGAATTGTGAACGAACCGCAACTTTTTATTACATGTCGTTACACGCTAAAGTTTTGACAGCTAGTGGAGATTTAAACGTATCATGATTGAACCACACTCTAGTGAACTTCAGTCTAAACATAAAGTAGATTTCAGTTGCCAAGTGAAAATTAGCGCGATAACGATTTCGTATAAAGTTGAGTTGCAATTAGAATCGCACTAAGATTGAACCATAATTGAACTTTGGCGGATCGTTCGAAATAATAAAAAACGCGATTGGCTTGCTGGAATGTTATTTCCCGACATGAAGCAAAAGCATGAAACCCCTAAAATATCTTGTTCATCTAATACTAAGTAATGTGTTTTATTCAAAATTGAGTTTTTATTAGTATCATAAAAAATATACATATATTTATAATCATTTTAAGATTTGAAAAATTCAACAAAATTTGATTAATATTAGACTTGCAACGAATAGTATATTCGGCAGTATACCGAATACCGAATATTCGGCGAGGCCCCTGACCGAATAGCCCAATATAAGACAAAAGTATTCGGCTGGATTTTAGCGCCAAAAACTTGCTGCTAATCTACCGTCCTCAAGCTAAATGCGGCTAAATGACAAAACCAACTTTTGAGATATGGCCAAAAACGGCGCGTAAACTTTAAATTATTGCTGTTATGTAACCATTCATCACATGACTGAATGAATTAAAAACTGTTAACTTGATTAATACAGAAAATGATTAAATTATGAACCTGTTTTATGTACCAATGACTATTTAAATGATTATATAAACGAAATGAAAATATGAATAAATACGTAATCAATCGATTTTAATTTTTCATCTTACCAATTATTTCTCTATAACAAAATATATTACTTAAGCATTAGGTATTCGGCCGAATAATATGTAGATATTCGGTATTCGGCCGAATATAATAAAAACAGCCGAATAGGCCGAATACCGAATAGTAACCGAATATTCGTTGCAAGTCTAATTAATATACTTAATATGGAGTGTGCAATATTTCAGATCCGTTGATTAATGAATAGGGTGGTCGTAATGCATCAAACCACATGCTCAATTTTAGTAAATAACTAACTTAGATATAAAAATAAGTGACACGGGCAACAAGGGTTTGCTTGCCCTGTACCTAAATGTGGTAGGAAGCGATATGTTTGTTCAATGTTATTAATCACCGAGCAAATAACGATATGTTTGTTCAATGTTATTAATCACCCAGCAAATAACGATATGATTGTTCAATGTTATTAATCACCCAGCAAATAACGATATGTTTGTTCAATGTTATTAATCACCCAGCAAATAACGATATGATTGTTCAATGTTATTAATCACCCAGCAAATAACTTATCTTTTAGCGCATGGTACTCTTTGTAGCGTTGTCTTATTAATTTCTGTGTTCATCATCATCATCATCAGCCTATTAATGTCCCCACTGCTGGGGCACAGGCCTTCCCTATGGATGAAATAGGGAGATTGGGCTATGACCCACCACGCGGGCCCAGTGCGGATTGGTGGGTGCTAACGACTGCAGATGCGACCGGGACCAACGGCTTAACGTGCCTTCCGAAGCACGGAGGAGCTCGAGATAGTAAATTTTTGGTCACCCATCCAATGACCGACCACTGCGAAAGTTGCTTAACTTCAACGATTGCAGCCGAACGCGCTAACCAGTTGCGCCATTGAGCTCCTCTTTTGTGTTAACCATAAAATAAAATAATAATAGTAATCAAAACGGACACTTACGCATCGATAACCGCTGCAGTATTATTTTGTATGTATTCGAAAACGATGGCTGTATTCTCTTCGTTTCCAGTGAGGGCAGAGTTAAAAGCAGTATTGTAGTCTTGCTTTCGAATGATGAAATTTTCTTCAACGATATCGTCCAAGAACCTGAAAAAAAATATATTAAAAATATATAGAATGGAACAGACAAAGTTCAGATTTTAGATGTCGTCAAATGTGCAAAGCAATTAAAAAGTGTGTATAATTTAATAAAATGCTTAGTCGCACTTAGATACTTTTTTTATTTTGGCTTCTTTTTTTTAAAGGTAGGCAAATGACTGTACCCCACCTGATGTTAAGTGGTGATAAAGTCCAAACGCGATGATAGCTCGTACAGCAGTTATAAACTGCTACACCAATCATCCTCACCTTGCCGGCCTTCAAAAATGCTTCTTCACGCCTCTCTTAAAGGACCCCAGATTACAGGAAGGAGGGAACACTTGCGCGGATAAAGAATTCCACTTACGAAAAGTGCGACAAAGAAATGAGTCACCAAATTTCTTTGTTAGTGTAGGATTAGTGGCCACAGTAAGTCGATGGCAACGTAGGCCAGCGCGCGTGGTCATCTGAAGGAAAAGTGATGGAGGGATAAGGGAGAATAACTCCTCAGAACTGTGGCTTTCTCCGTTTTACACACATAATTTCGCCAATGTCCTGTAGTCAGAGAGACACGAGAAAGACTGCTCGGTAGAAACAGATTATGGTAGTATAAAGCAAATAACCGAATATAGTTCTTCCTTACTTAGGCCCGTATTACTGAATGACAACTAAATGTTGATCTTTACTTGAGTACAGTTAGAAAGGGATGTCGCTATGTGCTATATATATAGCGACATCCCTAACTAGATCAATCACTGAGAATCTTTCTATAATATAGTACAGTCAATCTGTAGGTTGAGTGGGGAAAAAAAACCTAAAGGTAAGTCTTGTTCTTTCTGTTGCCAAATGACGGCAGTAAGCCTCGTCGTCAGAAAACTGTATTTTAAAAAAAATGTTTATACAAAAGTTGTTGGTAATTATGTACGGAACAACTTTTCCATTTAAAGTTTTCCATTAAAATGATATTTTCAGGGTGAAAAAGTGAAAAAACACTTTTTTTGAGACTTTAGCGCCACCTACAATGCGCATTTTTTGTTGTACGAGATTGCAACAATGACATAAATTGTAGTACTCAACGCCCTCTACAATTATGGTCGAAAAAAAAGTTTCTAAAACGCATACAAAACAAGAAAAATGTGTTACAAAAATTTTTTGAGGGTTTTTTGAGTTTTTCAAAAAACGCCTACGAGTTGAACATGCCCATCTCCAAGGTGGCTTACTGACGTCATTTGGCAACAGAAAAAACAAGACTTACCCTTTAGGTTTTTTTTTCACTGAAACGATTTTTTTTTCGACAGATTGACTGTACTAATACGGGCCTTAGAGAGTTAAATTTATTTTTGAATTTCTCACTTTCTTTGGGTTAAAACAAGACATCGCTTTGACAATGCTTGTCTTCTCTGTCTTCTTGTCGTCTCTGAGTGCGGCCGGCATACGCCTATATTTTATTTATTCGTGGTCTCTTTTCAGATTACTTATTACCAAGACTGAGATGTTGGTAGTCTTAAAATTATTAATGAACTACCACCGTCTCAAAATGTAAGCGAACATATTCTAGTTATTTATGACATTAGTGTGGTAAGTTGGTTAATAAATCCGCACGAATGTCATACTACGTTTTTCAACACATTTGCGAGAAAGTAATATACATAATTTAAGTTAAATGAATTTTCAAATGCCACGTGCGGGTGGTGAAAATTAGAACTACATCTTTCGTCTCTTTTTTTTTTAATATTCAAGTCAGGCAAAGGTAGATAGATCAAATGCAATCCGACGAGGTTCGACTGAAATTTAAAAAAAAAGTAAATAAAACATGCGGTAAAATTTTACCGCACTCTGTTGTATGGCCCGTAATTTTGAACTTTCGAACAATGTAATATTGTTACAAGTAACTCCGTAAATGCATTTTTCGAGCAAATGTGTTGAAAATATTATTAACGTTGAATACATCCAGGTCATAACAGGACCAAGTCTATAGCGATTAAATATAATATTTTATACTTCTTACAAATTCAATGCTGTCGCATTCTTTGTGCATCCCAAAATCATCAAAATTTGGATCTTCTCGGTGTAGACGTTATGTTGCAAGAACCTATTACTAAGATACTCGAATTCTGACCAACCGCCCTGACGGAGGGCATTGCAATACACCCAGTTGCGGTTATCCACTGCCACTCTGTAATTAAACGTCGTTAATGTAATAAAACTACTAAATTTGATATTATTGACAAATATACATTTAATTATTTAATTTTTTCCATACATCCTTTCAAGTAATGAAAAACTTTTAAATGTCTTTTTTGTGTCACTAAATAGGCCCTGCCAGAATAATAGCGCTGGTGCAATACTAATGCTGAGGCAGGGTCCTGGTTAGCCCTTAGATTTTTGAATTTGTACTTGTAATTTTTTTGATTTTTTCATTCTACTTAAATATGTACTTGATATTATCTTATTTAATTGATTTGCTAATGTTTTGATTTTATTATAATGTAATATAATTTCATTAATGTAATACTAGCAAACCAGTGAACCAAATGTTCACCAAAAAAAAATGTATTTAATTAATTGAGAACTTCGGAGATTTTGTGTGGTTTCGTTTGAAATAGAAATCACGTGATTTCTCGAAAACCGGAAGTGCTACGTTACTCACATCCGGTTTGTAGTCTTATCAGGCTATTCTCAACTTATAACTTAAACATTCTCTTTATCTATCTCTTACGGTTTGGCCGCTGAAACAGCACCACGGACGGACGGACGGACGGACTTGTCTAATAGATAAGAGATATTTAAATCAATTGTAAGTAATTTTATCTAATTTATAGTATTCAATTTGTTTTTATTTGAATGTATTTAATTTAATCCAATGTAACAGTTAATATCGATAAAATGTCCTTTGTTTTATGTAACGAAATTTTTTGTGTATGCATGTTAAGTGTTGCAATCTTGATCGATTCGTCAATTAATAAATAATAAAATAAATAAATATTTCCAACACTCACACCAATTAAGCCTAGCCCCAAAGTAAGCACTATAAGGCTTGTGTTATGGGATGCTAGGGTAACGGATAGAATACATATATTGTACATATATAAGTATATTTATATAGAAATACATATTAAACATCCATGACTGGAGTACAAATGCTCGTATTCATCACACAAACATCTGCCCCCACCGGGATTCGAACCCAGGACCTCTCGAGTCGGCGACACCATGAAACCCGGCGTACAAACCACTCGGCCACGGAGGTCGTCAAATATTAATAAATTAGTACTTTGTTGATTGTAATATGTAATGTATACCGAATAAATAAAATAAAAATAAATGTGTAAATGAGGGTTAATAAAATATATTCTATTCAATTAAGACAACAATAATAATAACTCTTAGATGCATCACAAGCGCCCAATATGTTTCCGATCAAGTAGTGCTTAACACCGCGTAAGCATTAAGGTACTTCATTTACAGTTAATTAAAATTTAATAATGTTTTAAAACATGCTTTTAACAATTTTTAATAAAAATTATATGTCTATGTCTTAATCCAGATGGAATATACTGTACTTCCAGGGCCCAAAAGTAAACACAGTTTTGTTGGTTGTAATTTCGCATTTTTGTTGTTAAAAAGGTTTCTGTTAACCACATTATTAAAAAAAATGTCACACTTATGCACTGGTAGTTTTTTAGAAAAAAATATTGAAAATTTTTACTTTTCTTATCAAGTGGTGATACTTCACACTAGGTTAGGTTAGGTTAGTGTTGTGACCATAACGCGCGAGCCGAGCGAGCAAAGCGAGCGTGCCGCGGCAGCGGCCGGCGAAGCGCCAGAAAAAAAAAACTGTTAAAAAGACCTTTTCTACAAAAAAAAAACAAGTATCACCTTTTGGGCCCTGGAAGTACAGTTTTACCCAACTAAATAAATAAGTTTCAACAGTATAGATGCACTGATTTAATTATTTATGACATTTCGCATCCTTTTCAGACTGCGTCGTCAGAATTATGGTTTTATTTATTTTGTCGAGCTACCTTCGAAAGACTTTTATTGAGCGTTCGGATATTTCATTGGAAGATTTTTAAAACTTCATTGTCTATGTGTGAATTTATTAGCTAATATAATTAATGAAGTACGTTATTTAATTCTTTATTATATATTTTGTGGTTTTTTATTCGACCCTAACTACCGTAAACTACCACCAGTTCCAAAATTGGGAGACCTTTCTGAGAAGAACTTACGAAACAAACTCAGAGAGGCTTTCTATCTCCTTCTTATAGTATACACAATATATAACTTATAGTCTTGCAGTGTGTGTTCAGGGTTGGGATTTAATCTGGTTACCCAAGCTGGTGATATATACTAACCATGTTCCCTATTAAACTTTGGATATTTCTTTATCTCGATAAATTAAGAATTATGATCTCAATAGATCCGGTCCGCGTGGATTTTTGAAGTTATACTTTTTTAGGCGCGTTATGAAAAAATTATGTGAGTGAAATATTAAGATGCGCGCGCATCACTGTAACACAAAATTTCAACAGCATGAAGTTGGTTGGTCTTTTGTGTTTACCGCACATTAAGAAAATCTACCAACAAAATAGAAATAGAATCTCTATTTAGTCGGTGCTAACGATTGCATTGTGAAGGCCTATCAAAAGTATTTATTAATCTGGAACAACGGAACCAAAGCGCGATTCAGGAGACTACAGCGCCATCTCTTGACCATTGGTGTAGCAGAACCAAAAACCACATCTTTATTTTTCAATGTTACTTTTATGTTATTATTGTAATAAAGTAACAGTTATAGGTATTCATATTTATAATATTTATCCACATGTTTCTAGTTTGTATATTCGGAATACGTGTTTGAGTTTCATACAAGTGCAAATCACATATATTCTAATAAATTATATTCAGTAGCGATTTTAATTGAATATTTTGATTATTTATTTATTTTTTCAAATTAAAACTGAACTTTATTGACGGTGTCCTTTTCCAGACTTTTTATTAATTTATTGTAATTAATTATTTGCATGCAATTAAAAACTAATTTTAAAGGATGCCAAAGAAGGATAACTTCTCACGCGCCTACATAAGTACACGCACCCATTTTTTTTCTAGTTAAAGGAGATTGCTCAAATTGGCCCAAATGCACAAAAAATAAAGTAATTTATAATTTAATTTACAGTCATTAGATTTCAACGGACAACTTTGTATAATATATTTACTTTAAAAAGGACTTTTAATTTTACCGGTTTGGAAAACATACGAATCATTTTTAATGGCTATGGGCTATATGTTTTTAACATTCAGCCAAAGACTGATCGAAGTTGTTTATATAACATAAAAACAAATCTTTTTTGTAAAGATCGATAAAATAAATCATTTTTTTTATTACACTGTGGTATTAATATCCATAACTATATTATCATTTTCACTAGATGCAAATGTGCTCAGACAATTATTATAGATGGTAGGCGACATCTTAAAATCTATTGCCATACATTTTTGCATTTGCATAAACACATTATAATCTGTATATATGTTAGACTTTAAGGTATCTATCTATAGGCCTACGTTGCCTGACTATAAATTAATAAATAAATGAAATTATAAGGTGTGATACACTAAAAATCTAAAATATGGTTATCTTAAAAACATAACTAAAATAATTAAGCTACTGAATATATGGCTATAGAACCTAAATCTCTTAGCTTTCTTTGGTTAACGAGATTTTAAAAATTCTCTCTAATCTGTGGCTCATTCACAATCATCACATTTTCTGTCACAGAGTACCTTATTATAACCGGAAATGACACCTGATTTTAAAAGTTACTCTTAAGCATTAACTTTAAAAACAGGCAACTATCTGTTAATCTGCATGCTCTATATACCTGAATCTAATCCATAATTTCGGTACTTGGCTTGATTTCCCTAGTTCACTATATAACTTATTTGTTTTTTATTATTTTAATATGTTCAGTGTATATGGTTTATAGAAGTTTTCAGGGGCGTCCGTCAATAATATTCGTTTCTACAGTAATTTACATATAATTTCGAATCTAGAAAACAATTTTTCAAGATTATTGGTCTTTAGGCCAAACATGTACGGAAGCTGAGCAATCTCCTTTCTTAATAGTATTTTGTACAATTATTGAAGAGCTCGATGGCGCATGTTCGACTTGCGATCGTTGATTTTGAGCAACTTTCGTAGTGGTCGCTCATTGAATGGGTGACCAAAAGTTTACTATCTCGAGCTCCTCAGTGCTTCGGAAGGCACGATAAGCCGTTTGACGCGGCGGCATCTGCAGGCGTTAGCAACTACTAATTCGCATTAGGCTCGCTTGGTGGGTCATCTCCCTATTCCATTCTTAGGGAAGGCCTGTGCCCCAGCAGTGGGGACATTAATAGAGGTGATGATGACGATGAAAATAATAATTGTTACATACTCTTGACCATTTTGAGTCAGATTTGTGAACTGTTCCGTTGCGGCTTGCAGACATTCATTATTGCCAAGTCGGCACATCACTGGAGCAAGCTGGTAGCGCAAGTAGGACCTCATAAATGTCTCATTAGCAGGAACATCGTACGTTAGTTGGCCCATCACGTTTGAAGCCCATCCCATGAACATTTGCTGTGGAGAAATTCATATTCAAAAATTATATTTGTATATCTTTTTTAGATGCTCCAAAATATAGTTTACTATCTTAATATATATAAATCTCGTGTCACAATGTTTGTCCTCAATGGACTCCTAAACCACTGAACCGATTATAATAAAATTCGCACACCATGTGCAGTTCGATCCAACTTGAGAGATAGGATAGTTTAAATCTCAAATTATAGTCGCAATTTTAATTTATTGCAAATTATTACTTTTGGGCGGTACGAAGTTCGCCGAGTCAGCTAGTAATTATATAGGATGTTACAAAAATACAAATAAAGCTTAAAGGGCGTTGAAGTACATCATATAAGGAATCATCTCTAATTTAAATAAATAAATAAATTTCGGTGCTTTGGGCGCTGGTGGACACAGGCATTGAGAAAATTCTCTATGGCTGTGTCTACCATTCGCACAGCGGTGATCAGGAGGCAACTAGGCTCACAGAATACCTCAGTGAGGCGGCTGATTAGGCTCAACAGAAGTACCCATCGGCCCAACTAGTGCTCTTGGGGGACTTTAACGGACACCATCAGGAGTGGCTGTTCCCATACCGAGACACCAACCACATTAGAGAGACGCGTAAGCTCGCTTTGGCGTTAAATCTCACTTAGCTGGTTCAAGGCGCTACGCGGATACCTGACGCTGAGTCGCACATACCTTACTGCTTAGACCTTCTGCTGACAACTGATCCAGACCGGTACTCAGTGACGATATCGTCACCGCTTGGTAAATCCGACAATTGTCTGGTGAAATCTGTATCCGTATATTCCCCATCTGACCCAAGCCCTAGAGGTAGTCGTCGGATATGGCGATACAAGTCAGCAGATTGGGACGGGATGCGGTCATTCTTTGCATCCTATCCTTGGCAGCCAGTCTGTTTTTCTTCTGGCGACCCTTCGACTTGCGCACATGCTGTGACAGATGTGCTGCGTCTGGGTATGGAGTACTTTATTCCATACTCCGATGTATCTCTATTCGGCAAAGCTCGCCCGCCCCTGGTTTGGACCTCAATGTGCTCACGCTGAAATGCTGAAGCATGAGGCATATCTAGCCTGGACTGATGCTCGACAATGCAAAGCTAGGGATACAAGCCAGAAGAAGAAAGCATTTAACAAGGCTGCCAAGTTATGCAAGAAGGCTCTACAGCGGGCTCGCTTCGATCACATAAGCGGTGTAGGGCACAAGCTCGCTTCGTATCCCGCGGGAAGTAAAGCGTTCTGGTCCCTGGCAAAGTCGATCGAAGGGAACTTTTGTCGCCCCTCACTGCCTCCACTGCTGAAGCCTGACGGATCGCTAGCCCATACCGCTGACGAGAAAGCGAATTTATTTGCTTCTCTTTTCACGGAGTATTCGCGCCTCGTTGCTGGTAGCGCGTCGCCTCTATCACCTCCTGGCTGTTTGACTCAAATGTCAGAGTTCAAAATTCGCCAATCTGAGGTACGAAAAACGCTACGCAATCTGGACGTGCATAAAGCTAGTGGTCCTGATGGTATTCCAGCCATTGTCGTGAGGTCTTGTGCGCCTGAGTTGACTCCTGTCTTGACGCGCCTCTTTCAGCTCTCCCTTGCAACTGGTAAAGTGCCGAGTTCTTGGAAGCTTGCTAACGTACAGCCTGTACCCAAGAAGGGTAGTCGTGCTGACCCTGCTAACTACCGGCCTATTTCAATTACGTCCATACTCTGTAAGAGTATGGAACGTATTTTGAACCACCGTTAGATTCTAGGTACGCCAAGACCTAGACTCTAACGACCTCCTCAACGACCAACAATATGGCTTTCGCCGTAATCGGTCCACGGGTGACCTTCTAGCGTGCGCCACGCAGATATGGAGTGAAGCCATCGAGAAGTACGGGGAAGCTCTAGCAGATTCTCTCAATATTTCCAAAGCCTTCGACAGGGTCTGGCACGACGGTCTTATTAGCAAGTTATCCTCATACGGCCTGCTTGCTGGGCTTTGTGCATGGATTTCAGACTTTCTGAGGGATAGGTCTATTCGAGTTGTAGTGGATGGTTGCTCCTCGGATCTTTAGCTACTCGGTATTACATTGTCACCAACCCTCAACTTTGGCTCATACATTGAGTCCAAGGCCCAATTAGCAGCCAAGAAGTTGGGTATATTCTCGAAGGTGCGACGATACTTCAAGCCGGAACAGTTGCTTACATTATATCAAGCACAAGTTCGGTCGTGCATGGAGTATTGTTCGCACCTCTGGGATGGATCCGCTAAGTACCAACTTGAGGCGTTGGAGCCAATTGAGAAACGAGCGATAAAGCGGTTGCATTTCGGTGAGTGCGCAGAGGAATTACATGAGCTAATTCCTCCCGCCCCTTTCTACTACCGGACGAGCAGGGAAACGGCAAGGCGACATCGATCACGGTGGCAGTTCCAAAGACTCGCACTAAGCGATTCGCTTCTAGCTTCATCGTGCGGACTGCCAAACTGTGGAATTCCTTGCCTGAGCCCTTGTTCCCCGAGCACTACAATCTAGCGGTCTTCAAAGCAAGAGTGAACCGGTTTTTATTAGGTAAGCGCGCTCCATCGTAGACCATAATATTGCTTTCCATCAGGCGAATTATGGTCAAGCGCTGACCTATTACCGAATAAAAAAAAAACTTAAAACATTTGCATGGAGTTTTACTTGTTAAAAAACAGTTATTTTTAATACTTAATTAATAAAAATATCGATCATTATAAGACACGTCACTAATTCGAGGATCATTAAAAATAAATGTTTTTATTAAAGTTAAAACTTCATGAAAATATTTTAAGAAAATTAGAGAAGATTCCTTATATGATGTACTTCAACTCCCTTCAAGCTTTATTTGTATTTTTGTAACAGCCTGTATATTTGCGGAAACCACAACTTATATCATAATGTAAATGTATACTTTATAGGTACTTCATGAGAAAGTTTACTACTTGTCAAAGGTAAACTACATCAAACAGTAAGACAAATACTTGAACTGCGTACTTCAGGAGCTAGTTAAATAAAATGTTCTTTATTATTATCCGTCGTTGTTACGATGTCATTCTCAGTCAGCTGAGTATCAGGGGGTCTAAAATAGCGTCATTTGTATGAAACATCCAAATAAAAACATTATTTACGAATTCTTCAATTTGACAATTTCATCTTAGTGGTAATTTTATGCATTCTTATAGAAAGCTGCCAAATCAGACATTTAATTTCGTACTATTCATTATTTTGATGTTTCGTAAACTAATTATACAACTGTACTGTTTTAAAATTTCAGAAATCAAATATAACAATGATTCGGAAATATATTCAAAAATATCAAAGGTACCTGCTAAGCCTATCAAATCATGACCTTCCATACTCATCATTCATTCTGAGATGTGATATGAGATGTTCTCGAGAATCGAGTGGCGTTGGTAGGTGCCCCACAAGCCCGGTTTGGAATTCCTGGAGGCCTATGTCTTACACTGGGTGTCTCTCGGCTAATATGGTGATGATGATTCTGAGATCATTCTCGGGAATATTCTAGTTAGAAAAAATATCATCATACTAACGTTTAATCGACTTTCTATGGGTGTTCCTATCACCCTGTTGTTGATCCAGTTGAAGCCAGTAATTGCAGCCACCCAAGGAGTGTACGCGTCTTCATTTTGGAGGAATGACAGAATGTTGAACGCCCTGGTGTAGTTCATGAGGCCACTCCGAGCAAATTGAAAGACGTCGTTGACGATCTGTTAAATGGAAACAATAAGCCGTTACCAAAAACCTTTCGTGCACTTGATTGAATGTCAATAATTTATACTAATAACATAAAGAGGAAAGATTTGTTTATTTGCATCGAATAGGCTCCCAAACTACCGGATTGACTAGAAAAACTCTTTCACGTTAAGAATCCTACATGATCCCTGATAAACATAGGCGAAAGATTTTTTTTTTAATTTGTGAAAAATAATGTCAAATAAACTTATACGCGTTAGGCACTGGGCAAAATGATGTACAATTTTATAGAGGTGGTGTATTCACACCACGCAAGTCGTCAATGTATTTTAATATTACTTAGTTCCCTTTGGAATGACTTTTTCAAACCCTGGATAAATATCAAAAATACCTTCTTTTTGAGTATTTTTTTAATCTCAATATCTTTTTTTTAAAGACAAACATAGACAAAGCATTACGGGAAATAACATCCTTTTTAATTTTAATAAAAGAGTGATTTTTATTAAATTATCTTACCTGGGCTCTGTTATACTCATGGATGCTGGTTCTGTTAGGTCCTCTCAGTGCCATCACGATGAGATCCCATGTGTAATCGTCATAGTTAACTCGGTAAAAACCTGACCACAAAGACGAAAGGTCTAAGAAAATTGTGTTTTTTCTAATTTTGACCGATTTTGAATACCTGATATTATACCTAATAAATAATATTGTTTTGTCAATAATAAACATTTTTTTATGTAATAGTTTAACGGCCTTGAATTAAGTCTTGATTTATTGGTAACAAAAGCAAGAAAACTTGTTAACAAAGACGTTTATTCTATTGTTTTTAGAATGAGGAGGGCACAGACATGGGCAAGATTATAATATATCTGCAGATTACACGCATAGACATCTTCTCATCGATAAGTACAATAATTATTTTAGAATTATTGTTTTATCAGTGTCCACCACACATACCGACGACCTCCGTGGCCGGGGGGTTCGTACGCCGGGTTTTATGGCGTCGCCGACTCGAGAGGTCCCGGTTTCGAATCCCGGAGGGGGCAGATGTGTGTGATGAATAGGTACGAGCATTTGTACTCCAGTCATGGATGTTTCATATGTATTTCTATATAAATATACTTACATATGTACAGTATATGTATTCTATCCGTTAACCTAGTATCCCATAACACAAGCCTTACAGTGCTTTCTTTGGGGCTAGGCTAATTGGTGTGAGTGTTGGAAATATATATTTATTTATCATACACAGTTTTTCTCAAACATGATTGGTTTGAACATTGTCAACCTTCTTCGAAATAAATTGAAATTTCTGTACTGGTCAAATACAAGCGAGTAGTAGTCCATCCATATCTGTCGCGCTTATATTCAGCAAAATACATACTATACACAGCTCTGTCGTAAATCCAAGGTCCTATTTAAATTTCGAGCTAGCTTGCAAATAGAAAGCTGTTTATTGAAACAAAAAACAAATGAACACTTTCAAATGAAAAGTTCTGCCTATATATTACTTAGTTTTGATTTTTAATTGCCGCACATTGTTTGAGAAAAGTACTTTACAAAGCCTTGACCTCAACCAGGCATTAATGGTCTTACATATACGTTCGTCCACCAATGCCTCTTGCGGCCGCTGCAGTAATGCACTGATAATTACCAGTTTGCTGCTTATTGAAGACTACCCACTCATCACCGGTGCTGTTGCGATCGATGAAAGCCAAAGTTCCAGAAATAATATGAGTAGGTTTGGTGTCCTCGAAATCGGGATTGCTTGCCGTAGCAAATGTCACAGGAATGATCCAGTTACTGCTAGCCGTAGAGTAACCACTGTTAATGTTGAAGCGACGCTGAAAATAATGATACCGTTTAATATGGACCGTAATATGGGATTAGGGGTTTGATGGCGCAAGTGGTTAGCGCTATCAGCTGCTGTTAAGCAGCTTTCGCAGTGGTCGAACATTGGATGGGTGACCATCAATTACTATCTCGAACTCCTCCGTGCTTCGGAAGGCACGATGAGCCGTTGGTCCTGCGTCTGCAGTCGTTAGAACCCACCAACATCCCTGGGCCCGCGTGGTGGGTCATGGCCCCATCTGCCTATATAGCGTCGCCAAAATTTATTTTTGATGACACTATTACTAGTTAACTACGATGAAAACTATTTACGTGGCATTTAGAAATGTCATGGTTCAAATGTTATGTTTCATCAGATCACTGCCAGATATCTGCCAAGGTGCCAGAGATCAAAACCTCAGAACCATTGGTGGTCAAACGCAGAGTATGGCACTATGGGTCGGCAGATTGGGAGGATATGCTATTATACTTTGAGTCCGTCCCTTGGAAGCGGCATTTCTTCACTGAAAAGGACCTATTGGCCAGCGCCGTTGCTCTTACTGCGGAGATCGTAATGGGAATGGGGTATTACATTCTACATACTGATCTCATCACTAAGGGCACATGTAACCTGGTTCAATCGCGACGGCGTTGATGCTATTTCGCGTAAGCTGGCGGCATATGGCCCTTGGATCAAAGGCCGATTTTTATAGGGATGTAGGCAAATGACTTTACCCCACCTGATGTTAAGTGGTGATAAAGTCCAAACGCGAAGATAGCTGGTATAGCAGTAATAAACTGCTACACCAACCATCCTAACTTTGCCGGCCTGTAAAAATGCTTGTTCACACCTCTCTTAAGGAACCCCAGATTATATGAAGGAGGGAACACGTGCGCGGGTAAAGAATTCCACTTACGAATAGTGCGACAAAGAAATCAGTCACTAAATTTCTTTGTTCGTGTAGGAACAGTGGCCACAGTAAGTCGGTGGCAACGTAGGCCAGCGCGCGTGTTCCTCTGAAGAAAAGGTGATGGAGGGATAAGGGAGAATAACTCCTCAGAACACTCGCCGTGGTATAGTCGGTAGAATGCGTTCAATGATGCCACATCGCGGCGTAATTGTAGAGACTCGAGTTTCTTAGTTACCTCTTCATCGCCAATGATGCGGGCAGCGCGCCGCTGCAACCTATCCAAGGCATCGAGTAAGTACTTAGCTGAGGCATCCCAGAGGTGCGAGCAATATTCCACGCAGGACCGCACTTGCGTTTTGTACAACAAGCACAGTTGATCTGGCATGAAAAATCGCCGCAACTTGTTCAGGACTCCGAGTTTGCGTGAAGCTGTTTTGTTCACGGTTTCGATGTAGTCCTTTGGATTGAGGTCTGAGTGAACTTCCATACCGAGCATGGTAATGTTGCTCTGTAGCGCCAGTGTTGTGCCCTTAAGAGAGGGAAGGGAAAGGAATGGCGATGTTTTTGCCGTGAAAGCGCAAGCCTGAGTTTTCTTGGCATTGAACTCAACCAAGTTCCTAGTACCCCATTCGGAAATTTGATCCAAAGCCTGATTAAGTTCAACGACAAGATTCTCCCGTTTCTCCTTGGTTTCTACCTGTCCAGCCGCTGCGTGTCCAAAGTATCTCACATGCACTGTACTATCGTCTGCACATCAATGAATATTCGCAAGTGGAATCAAATCATTGATATGCAGCAGAAAGAGTATAGGGGAATATTCATTGCTATGCAGAAAGTGCTGGATACTTAAGGTTACAGGTTAAAACCAAAGAGAAACGGATGAATCTTGTGACTGAACTCAATCAAGCTTAGGACCACATTTCCGAATGGGGTACCAGGAATTTGATTGAGTTCAATGCTAAGAAAACCCTGGTTTGCGCTTTCACAGCAAAAGCTTCCCCATTCCTTCCCCTTCCCTCTCTTTGCAACACTGGCACTACAGAGCAATATCACCATGCTCGGTAACCATGGTAACCGTGATCAGAACAGCTTCACGAAAACTCAGAGTCCTTAATAAGGTGCGGCATTATTCACGCCTAATCTACTGTGCTTGTTGTACTAAACGCAATTGCGGTCCTGTGTGGAACATTGTTCGTACTCCGCTAAGTACTTACTATATGCCTTGGATATGTTGCAGTGGCGCCCGCTGCCCGCTTTGTTGCCGAAGAAGAGGGAACTAACAAACTCGTTTATTATATGTAACGAAACTGTAACACAACACTCATACGTACACACACACTCAATCCCACATTTTATTACATATAACGTATATGCAAAGATAATTTTCTGTATTTTTTAATTTTACTATTTCATCTATCGCAATCTTGTTAACGTTCATTGCGAACGAGGTGCCCACGATACAGGACCTCCTAGTGTAGGACTCATAGTTATAAGCTGACTGTATGATGTAAATTTTAATATATATATATTTGTATTTATATAAATTTGGTCCAATCAAATTCACGAATCGCACTGTTGAGGTGATAGTTACAATTTTGACGACCTCCGTGGACGAGTGGTTTGTACGCCGGGTTTCATGGTGTCGCCAACTCGAGGGTTCAAATCCCGGTGGGGGCAGATGTTTGTGTGATGAATACGAGCATTTGTACTCTAGTCATGGATGTTTAATATGTATTTCTATATAAATATACTTATATATGTACAATATATGTATTCTATCCGTTACCCTAGTATCCCATAACACAAGCCTTATAGTGCTTACTTTGGGGCTAGGATAAAATTGGTGTGAGTGTTGGAATTATTTAATTATGACATTAGTCTTGACCGTGAAACAACTTATATAACTATCTGGAGCTTTGCCAATCTCACAGTGGGTATATGGTATGGATTTATCAGACGTCTTACCTGGGAGACGGTCATGATGCCAGTTTGGTGGTTCACCGCCACATTGAGTACCGGGTGTCCTCCTTGTTCAGTCCATGTTTTGTAATAGTCTACGATATTAAATTCTGGACCGTAGGCAGCGAGAGCTCCGCTTTCGTTAGCAGATTCACCAAGATCTTCAAAGAGATCAATGGGGCGGGCAGTTTGGAATTCCCTAAAAACAAAGAAATATAAAATAGCAGTAGTACGTAAATTTTAAACATTTATTTGGTTTAAAATCTACAAGAGTCGGAAATTTGGGTAACATTTTAATGTTCAAGGAAACGTAGAAGAATTCATCAAGATCCCACAAAGTAGGGGGAAATGCACTAATTCGCGGATGTCTTGATTCCTTTGCTTTCTCTCAATTGATATTAAGTGATAGCTTATCTTCTTATAAATTTATTTAAAACTAACATCACTATGAAACGGAAAACTACAAAACACATACAAAAACTATCATATATCATTTTTATAGGCAATCTACCCCTCCCCCACCCCCACGAGGCTTTCCGGCCTGCAGACAAGCTTCTTCACGCCTCTCATCTTTTCGAAATGACAGCTTGATCAAAATTATTAATAATTAATAATATTTAATGCTTATTAATATTAATTACTTAGATTACATGCCATTTTTTTCCTCTGACAATGTATTTTTCAAATTTGGAGTAGGTATTCAATTTTCCATTAATATATGCAATACACGTACAGTACCAGGCTATTTATAAGTCGCATCGTGCTTTAGAGAGATAATCGGCTAGTTTCGGCTAGCTTCGGCTTTGTAGAGCGTCATCTCTGTAACACGAAACACTAACAGTCCGGTATCTATAAAGCTCTATTTTTTTTAGAAATCAATACAAAAAGAAAACATGTAGGTAAAAGACAACATATATGGCAATTACATGTTAATTTAATTATTTTAATGAAAAAACCATAATTTTTATTTCCACCCAAATAACAAAATACAAAAAACTAATAGATATGCGAAGCCTCTCATAAAATAATCACTGCCGTCATCATCCTTATTTTTTTTTCACGTAATATTTATAGTTGTTTTACAACTCTGTATATATATTTTAAGAAGAACGCGACTGCTCTTTAGCGTCGTTGAACTACGACTGATAAGTCAGCGACAAAAGGTCAGGTTGACAAGGGTGACAGAGACGGTGCTATACGAAGCCGAAGCTAGCCGAGTATCTCTTTCTAAAGCTCGATGCGACTTATAAATGGCCGGGTACTGTATGGTTTATTTAAGATAGTCTGGGCCTGGTGACCTGTTAATACAGATAGCTATTGGTATAGTTACCTTTTACGGGCACCAGTCTCCCACATAATAGGTTTATGTATTTGTATTGTATTTGTATTGGTTAAGCTAATTACAAGAACAGCCAATATTTATTTGGAAATTGATATTGTCACAAACGCTCTCGAAACGGAACCGCGAAAGTGCTAGAGACCGAATTTGCCAGACACCGCGTGCGGGTCGCAATAGAGGTCGAGTAATGCGGCTCATTCTAAAATGAGCCTTATGCAGTGCGGCGTAAGGGTAAAAGTGCAACGACATCTGCACTTGTTTACAAGTTATGCGCGTTACCTGCGTAGGTATAAGTAGGTACCACGTATAGCGGTGGGCGTTTAAACGAAAAGCGCTTAAATAAGCGCGCTTAAAATATTAAGCATGTAAGCACGCTTTTAAGTATAAGCGTTATAAGCTTTTCACTTAAAAAGTGTGAGTAACCTTTTCACTTAAAAAAGTGCAAGTATATTTTTTACTTAAAAAGTGTAAAAATCCCGCCATCTATGTCTTTGCCAGGAGACTACATACTTCGATCCTTCTAGTCCACTACAGTATCAAAAAATGGGTACGCGGAATTCCTTGGAACTAAATATTTCACAATATCACAGACATAGAACGCGCGACCACAGCGCCGCGTCGGCGTGCCATCTTTCGTGAGCCGGTTAATACAGCATGCGAATTATTATAATGCGACGTAAAAAAATGCACTTTTTTAAAATTTGGTCGGATAACCAACGCTTTTTCGTTAAAAGCGTTTAATTAAACGAAGTCGAAAAGCAGTACCTTGTCACTGTGACGGGGTAAGAGCGGGTGGGTGTTGTACGGTGTGTTTGCATGCTTGCTTGTGTTAATGCGTTTCGTGTATTGGTTTCATGTGCATATAAAATAGTTAAAAGTATGTATATAAAATCAATGAACTTTTAAGTACGCCTGGATCACGAGTATATTAACTCCAGACTTGTAAAGTTCGAAGGAAAGTTCATTGACTATTATAAAAATGTTTATTATAAAATCTAAATTCAATTGAAAATCTTTCGTTTTTAATGCCAATCAATTCATTAGGTTTAAAAAAACTTTTTAAGAAAAATTTCATAAATAAGAAGAAAAAACGCAATAAAACACTTAAACACATTAAAAATGACAATAAACTTTTCACGCTTTTTTAAACGATATACTTACCTAAACGAAAACACAACACACCGTCGCGCTTTTTACGCATGCTTTTAAAGGTTGAAGCCAATAAGCGTTTAAACGAAAAAGCTTTTTTTCAAGCCCGCTTATTTTAAAAAGAACCACGTTTAAACGCTTTTAAGAAATAAGCCGTTTTTTCCATCTCTAACCACGTAATCGGGGGTGTTAGCTAACTCTCAATTTAACGGGTACTTTCTAGAATGAGTCGATTGGCCTATATAAGCGCCATCGGCGCCGCGCAGAGACAGTTGAGTTTCAACAGGGATTTTGGAACGAATACAAAAGCGATCAAAGTGCAACAAAAGTGTTCAAGTGCGATTCATTAGAGACTTGTATAGTGAAAAACCGTGTTTAGTGAATGTATTGTGATTACCATTGTGTGTTAACTGTTTGGTGAATAAAGTACTGTCAAGCGTGAACTGGCATATAATTTCGAACCCCATCCGACACGTAACAATATAATAAAACTTTGGTCAGGTGACCAAATGAACCTCCGCAATCGCAGATCGAGTTTTCTTACCACTGTCATATAATTGATGCACTGATTTATCAGTAAACATACCTATATGTCGGCGAATGTCGTCTCCGACAACAAATGTCATCAGTCATTGTACCATTGCTTTGTGAAACGTCAAGTAATGACAATGACAGCTGTCATCACTTGGGAGTGGTCTATGCTAAGGGTAGTATATAAGGGGCTACGCTTCATTGGAAGGGGCATTCGGCATTCGGCATTCAGACGTGAGCCGCGATAGTGAACGGACGTTAGCAGAGAACTCTCCGCGCTTCACAATGCAATCCGTTTGTACCTTGGCAATCATAACTGATTTTGTAAAGTAATAAGAAGATTCAAATTAAACGTTAGCTTGGTCACTAGACTACAGTTTTATTTTCGGGAAATATCATTGAATAACCAAGATGGCGGATCAAGAAAAACCACGTGGCCAACCGCCTATATTACCGCTCGCCCATCCGACATGTATAATTGGTTCTCCTTATACAAAATAACTTGGCAGCTTAAAAGCCTTTATTTACCTATTTCTCAGATATTTTCGTAGGCCATGGCGGTGATTATCGCTACCCATTAAATGTTCTGTCATTCTGATGATGGCTGCTCCCTTGTTGTAGCTGATTGTAGAGAACATGGCGCTGACAGCGCTAGTACTGCCCACTCCTGGATTTGTCAGCGGGTGTGGATTGTCAGACGAATCACTGAGTAGTGCCGTGTGGACCTGTTCCGGGATGAAGCGGGAGCCAAGACCCAAATTCGGATCTACCTGTTTTAAAAAGGGGAATTACCTATTTCTTTAATCTGACATTTCTGTAATGTCTTAAAGTTATGGTTAATAGGGGTGATGACGGGGTACAGTAAACGAAATTCTATTTAGTCCGTCAGTTAGATGATCAGAAAATAATGGACACGTATTTTTTCTTTAAGCAATCAACCAAAAAATGACAAAGTTATAGCGCGTCAAAGTTTGGGAGTAGGGGCTCGTGACGTCACTTTTCACTTATAAGTGTACTCAAACGTGACGTCATGCGACTTTTCAAATCAATATGTCACTGCATTGTTTATATTATGAGAAAAAAGAAAAAATACGTGTCCAATACTTTTTGATAATCTAGCTGATAAACGAAGAAAAAAAATGAGTCATCATCCCTATTGTCCATATGTTTCGAATTTCCGATAATGATACAAATCAACGATAGGACATATTAGGAGACTTGGAGGCGTGTATTTCCGGACAAAGTCTTACGACCGCACTCAGAGAGGTCAAACATTTATTAATTGACCTTAAATTAAAAATAATTTTCAAAAGTATGAAACAAGAGCTGACTTTAACAAACATTAAATGAATTTGACGCATCTGAATAAGGCTATTAGACGCAACCAATTCTAATATTAGTGTTGTTGTTCAAAGGTTGTTGCTGAGGCTCAGAGGGCGGTGAAGTTTATATGTGTATGTTTTACAGTCCAGTACACTTAGCACGAACCAATATCGAATTCGTTACGTTTGCGAGTGAAAAACGGCATTGTCAAATTTTGAATAGAAACTTGAACAGCAACGCCACAGTGTACGTAACGAGAACTAAAAATCAGTACACATTTGATTTACATCTATTCGAATCGATCGAATTCAACTGTTCGAATTCAACAATGGTTCGTGCTAAGAGAACAGGTCCAACTTTGATTCTCCGCCAATCCCGCCGCAGGAATATATGGCGCATATAGAACAAATTGAAGTGGCAGTGGGCTGGCCATATTTGCCGAAGAACCGATAACCGTTGGGGTAAAAGAGTGCCGGAGTGGAGACCGCGTTTAAGCAAACGTAGTGTAGGACGTTCTCATGCACGATGGAGTGACGATTTGCGCAAGGTGGCTGGCAGAAGCTGGATGCGCAAGATCGATCTGAGTGGCGTACATTTGGAGAGGCCTATGTCCAGCAGTGGACTAAGTGGGCTGTTGATGATGATGCTGTGATGATGATGGAACAAGTGCACGTATTATCTAGGTACTACTTCTTACCCAATGAGTCAGGAAGTACTGATAGTATCGAGCAAAGCCTTCGTTAAGCCATAGGGAATCCCACCAATCGCAAGTTACTAGATTACCAAACCACATGTGGGCAATTTCATGGGACAGAATGTAAGCGATCAATTGTTTGAAGTAGCCATTCGTGTGATTTTCATCATACATCAAATATGCTTCCCTGAAAGCAACCCAAAATTATTTACATTGTTTTGTCCTTACATAAAAACATATTAACCATTATATTGTTTAATTTCATGATCACTAATATTACAGCTATTAACGGGATTGTTACCATTTACCTTGTTTTTTATGAGTCTCCGATATTTCGGCACTATTGCAAGCACCATGGTGTACGGAGTAACTGAAGTAATTGCGGGTAGATGTTATTGGCTGACATATCGGTCTACCCTCTGACGTCGTCTTTTACTGACGTATGTGCGAAAACCGCAAAAATCAAAAAAGTGTCGTTCCGCGTTCTGATACTGGAGTATTGTGTGTCGGGAACAGGTGCGAGTGTATAGTGAGAATGTGACCAGTGGTAGGAGTGTCGAGCGCAGTAAAAGATGACGTCATAGGGTAGACCGATATGTCTGCCAATAGCATCTACCCGAAATTACTTCAGTTAATCCGTGATCATGGCGCTTGCAACAGTGCCGAAGTATCGAAGACTCATAAAAAACAAGGTACATTGTAACAATCCCGTTAATAGCTATAATATTAACCATTCTGGAATAGTTAATATAAAGTAAAAAAAACTTTTATTAAATATTATTCAGGACTAGAGGGCGTCCGTGTCTTCGTCCGCGTTAACTTTAGTGTTTTCAAAATCCCCCAGGAACCTAAAATTGTTTTAGGGTTAATCGCTATCCTATGTCTCAATCCAGGTTATAAACTATATACGTACCAAATTTTATCCAAATCTATTTAGTAGCTTTTGCATGATTAAATAACAAACATACAAACTTTAGCATTTATACTATTAAGTGGATATTTGCCATAGTATTGGACAACGAATAACTGTGTTAGGCAGAAAGCCTTTACTCTCGTCCGTCTAATTTTCACTATGTATTTTTTATTGCTGCTGTTGCAAGTCCTTCTAATATTATAGATTTGAAAGTTTGTACGTTTATGTGTTTGTATGTTTGTTACTAAATCACGCAAAAACTAATAAATTTTGGTACGCATATAATTTATGACCTGGATTGAAACATACTCTTTTTTAATATATTTACGAACGTACCTGTAGGATTCTTAAATAACCAAAGTTAACGCGGGCGAAGTCCGAAGCTTTTCGTACGCAACTTTATACTCTTGGGCTATTATGGGCCCAAATTCGACCTTTTTAATTCTTCTTTTTAATCTTATTAATTCTTTAATTCTTCTTTATCTGTCAAAAAATCTACTGTGTGTATGTGAAACACACTATTAATTTATTGAAACCTTCTAATAAAATATGGACTCGTCCATAAGCGAAATTCGCTTAATAAGAGGTACTAAAGTTTTTCCTTCCTAATATAATATATAATGATTACTTACCTGTATGTGAGTAAACCCCAATTTTCCATAGCACCTGCACCGAAGTCAGGTATAGCAGCCTGTGTCATTTTTATGTATTGATGGACACCGAAAAAGTCCATATCGGTGTGATTGCTCATTTCGGCCAAAAGATCTTGTCCCATTTCTAAAGCATATTCTCCTTGGCCTTCCCTCATCGCCCCTGGTCTGGCGATAACTTCATATTGTAACACCTCTTCATTTGTTTCGGGATTAGTACCATTCACTGGCTCCGATTGGTATTCAGCCACAATCAACGCTATTAGATATGTTGACATAATAGGTGTGGGATAATAAATATCCGTTTGGTATCCCCTGTAATTATATGGAATAAAATGTAAAGAAATAAATACAAAAGCTATTTTGAATCCACCTTAAATGTTTAGGCTATCGTGCGAATGAAACTTGTCAGCTTTAAATCGTAGTAGTGAAATAACATACTTTAACAGTTAAGAATAATTATACACATAAGAATTTGATTGATTCTGATTTTTACCGATAGATTGAGTTTTATATACCCACTATATTCTGAATAGATCATCACAGTAGTGACGTTGGTACGTATACCAAGATTGGTCAGAGAAGTCATTAAAATAAATAAATATTTCCAACACTGTAAGGCTTGTGTTTTGGGATATAGGGTGACGGATAGAATACATATACTGATAGATATATAAGTATATTTATCTAGAAAAATATATATATCCATGACTTAGGTACAGAAAATGTAAATGTTCCTATTCAATATACTACCATTCACCCCACCGGGATTCGAACCCGGAACCTCTGAGTAGGCGACATCTTGAAAACCGGCATTCATACCTCTCGGCCACGTAGGCCGTCAAAATAACAAAACGTAGTAAGTGTTTACTTCAGTTACCCCGTCGCACTCATAACAGTGACGAAATATCGGTGAGATGCTCAAAACAAGGTACTGATAGAAGTCTCGCTCATTAATCTAATGTTCTTTAATAGAGACTATGTAAGTTTTAAACAGGACTGTGATTATTCATTCATTCGCTTCAATCGTTGAATCGATTTAAATTAAGTTTTCTATAGATAAAGTTAGATTCCCGGAAAAGAACAAAGGATAGCTTGTATCCCAGAAATCATCTTTGACGGAGATGAAAATGGGCATGGAATTCTGGATGGGAAAGTTGCAGGAACTTGCTAGTCCTTTTTAAAGAATTGTACTTATTACTCACGGCAGATCACTGTCTACGGTCATTTGTTGCCTTGTGCACGACCAGCTATGGTAGTTCGCAGGGCGGGTTATGGATATGTTAAATGTCGCCTTGAAACTTGGCTCGTCATAACAGGGGAAAGCGAATCGAGCGGCCGTAGCTTGGAACTGCGTTGATGCCATCCAACTGAAACAGTTTATTAATGTGTCTCTCTTTCACTGTCATTCCAAAATTACAAATAAATTTTAACTTAATCTGTATCCATTCAAAATAAACATAAAGATCGATAGTTGAATAATTTTACTATTACCGATAGGTTAACCCACGAATACCACAGTATTTTTAAGACATGAATTTTGAATAAAATTTTAAAGAGATAAAATTGATAATTTTAATATCTTTTATTCAGACCCACCTTTCAGCATCAGTGTAATTATTTCTGAACCAACTTTGATAAATGCCATACATGTCATCCCTCAACGGTGCCTCAAAATCAATGGTGAGTTCGTATGTGATTGGAATGGTCCAGTTATAGAGCAGCGGTCCAGCCACGGGTCTTATGCGGAGAAAATGAAATTCCGGTTCAACTGTGTACGTTTGAACCACTTCTTCTGAATTTAGTTCTAGTTTCACAGAATTTATGTTCAAGTCGTGAGCATGAAGCACAATTTCATTGTTAAAATACGAAGAGGCCTGCAAGTATATCTTCACGGTGCCAGAGAAATTTCTCGGGTCGGGTAGATTGATAGTCCAATCGACATTGTAATGTACAGGAAAAGTCGTTCGAGGTAAGCGGTATGGATTGTCAGCAGTGTTATAAAGAGTGATACTGTTGAATGCGTCTACTTCTTCGAAGACTTCACCTTCCAGTTTCTCGTCCCCGAATATGGTGTTTCTGTACGGAAGTGGTTTGTCTGGGAACGCGTCGGCTGCTAAACAGGCTGCAGTTAGAACTATAAACCCTAGTACGGTGGCCATCTGAAATAAAATTAATTCTTGTGTTTGAATGTTTTATCTTGTTACGAGTACAAGACTCGTCTACGTCACTCATACGTCACGCGTACATTATGTGTTTCCCAAGTGCAGGTGGCTCGATTGAGCAATCGTGTTGAAAAGTGCTTATTAGACAGATTTAGTTCATGTAAAACCTTCGGACACTTTTGGGAGTTGCTTGAGCTTCAATCGTGGAAGCATCTTGACGTATAGTTTGTAAGACCGGATCATCGGGATCAATTAGTATAAGTAATTTTGTAAAACATTTAAATAAATAAAGTTATAATTTAAAGTTTAGTTTTTAAAACCCTACTTGACGGCTCAATTCCGTAATTGGCGCAGTCGGTAGGATAGTCGAGTCAGTGCGAGCATCATACTTCGATCAGCCTGATAGTCGTGTCGTCGGCGTGTCGACTATCTCTACGAATCTACGCGAAGCAGTCGTCAGACGGGAAAGAAGAATCAACTTCGAAAACCGGCGCTAATCCAAAAATCGATGGCCCATCATCACACTAAGCTAAGCATCTTGCTCCTGTGAGTTTTATTATATAAGTTACGTATTCCTATTGGTTGCCAGCGGCCCCTTTCCTGTCTCCCGTAGGACGTAATAAGTTAATTAAATAAGTTTGTTTTAATAGTTAGAAAGATTTCTAGATATTCCTATTGGTTGACAGCGGCCCCTTTCCTGTCTCCCGTAGGACGTAATAAGTATTTTTTTTTTATATAGTTAGAAAGATTGCTAGATATTCCTATTGGCTGACAGCGGCCCCTTTCCTGTCTCCCGTAGGACTTAATAAGTAAATTAATTAAGTTTTCTTTTAATAGTTTAGAAAGTTTTCAAGATATTTTTTTTTTCAAAGAAAAGTAGAGATATAGGACCGAATCTGCGGCGCAGTATTCGTCCTAATTCTAGAGAATTAAGGTTTCATCGCGAAATCGAATTATCTACATTAGAAAGCATAGAAGAAGAAATGGCGACCGAACAACAATCTGTAGCTTATTCAAACGATATGACGGAAAGGATTTGGAAATCTTTAAGACTAGTTCCTGAGTTTGATGGAAATTCAAACATTTTAATTAGATTTTTGAACATTTGCGACCAACTGATTTTAACATATGTTAATCCAGCTCCGGGAAATGAACTAAATAATTACGCTTTGATTAATGGAATTTTAAGTAAAATAACCGATCCTGCTGCTAAAACATTAGCAACAAATGGCATCCCCCAGGACTGGAATGGCATAAGAAATGCGCTAATTAACAGCTTTTCGGATCACATAGACGAGTCCGCCCTATACACCGATTTATCTATGTTAACTCAAGGTTCTGATACACCGCAAATATTTTACGAGTGAGTTCAAAATTTACTTAGTATAATTATGACTTATGTAGAATTACACGAACAAATTAAAACAACAGTTGAGGCTAAACGTGAACTTTACAAAAAATTAGCTCTTCAAACATATACCAGAGGCCTAGCCGAGCCTTTAGGCTCACGTGTCAGGTCCATGCACCCCGACTCGCTAGAAAAGACCTTGGATTTCGCCCAGGAAGAATTAAACGTCTTATACTTACAATCGAAAGCCAGTAACCCGCTAATATCTAAGAAATCGATTAACAATGCCCCGTTTAATTACTCACCTTTTAATTCGCATGACTCACTTATGCCTTCGAGACAATACAATTGTGGAATGCCTACACGTCAATTTAAAGCTTTTAAATACCCTTTCATGCAACAAGCCACTTTCCCTAATAATTTTGTACCGAAAAATATGTCTTCTAATAACAGCTTTAGGCCTACCCCCGCACACAATAATTTTACATATCAGAAGAACCCCTAAATAAATTCATAAGACAGTTAATCATAAAAGTTAATACTAACCCTTGTCATGCTAGACCAAAAACGACAGTACCATTTGAGACATACAGAAAATCGATAGTTCAAATTTCGGAAAACAACCTAGAAGAAGATATTATATCTGTCGTAAAAAATCACATTGATCCCAAATTGCGCACAGCAATCCTCGTACAGCCTCTTAATAAAATGTATTCATTCTACAAAAAACCTTTAAAAATGCCGCAGCAAACCTGGTCCTTGTCAAAAAAAAAATCAAGATATTTGTGATTTTCTTAACCAACAAGATTTAATATCAAAGTACCATGAAGGAAAAAGAAATTTTAAATAATATCTCTTCAAATGAAAGAAAATTAGATAAAGCAATAATTTCAATAAGTAATACACCTGTAACTGAAATAGAACAGATGTATCAATTTACGCTGATTTCCCAATTATTTAGCATACTTACGGAAAATATTCTGGAACTCTCATCTGAAATAACTAGATTAGGTAATATTTTAGCTTTTAGTCGCACAAACGTAATGCACCATTCTATACTATATATAAGTGATTTTAAAAATGTTTTAACACAGCTTAAAAATCTATATAAAATTAAAATTAAAAATCCAATGCGTTACTAAACTTAGATGTTAGGTTTTATTACGATCTAATTACCTTAGGATCATATTTTATTGATAAGAAAATCGTAATTGTCTTGAAGTTTCCTATAATGTCTCTAGAAACATATGACCTTTATAGACTCTGTCCTGTTCCTAATAAAAACTCAGAAATTATCCTTCCACCATTCCCATACATGGCATCCAATTCCCAGGAATTTGCGTACATGGAGGCTGAATGCCCGAAGATCGACACCTGGTACATATGCAAGCAGCAGTTTAACCATCAAACCCGAACACGCAGTGACTGCGTCTTCAGTCTCATTTATCATCAGAATACAGGACAGTGCCATCCTACATCCATATCACTCCTGAAGGAAGCACTACTAGAACTGGACAGTCAACATTATATTTTATCATTACCTAACAAAATCAAAGTAAAAATATCATGCGGACAAGAAAAATATCATCTGTTAAAAGGAAGCTACTTCGCAACGATTCCCCGAAATTGCAGCATTCACACACCAGAATTCACAATTGTTAATACTGATGACAAATTTCGTGGGCAAGCTGTTGAAATAATAACATTCCCACATTCGACTCCGATGTCAGCAAATTCGAAGAAAAACTTACCACATTATAATTTCACAACAATTGATTTGAACAAATTATACAATATTCAACATCAATTACTCATGGACCCACCTGTTAGAATTAACACCGTGGATTTATCCAGCTTATATCACACCACGATACCTACATACGTCATCATACTGTTAAGTGCACTTGCACTCATTAATGTGGCTTACTACCTGAGACGGCGTAAGATCCAACAGCGAGTTAAATCTACACAGACTCAAGAGATGGAAATGGCATCAGCAGGTTCTACACCATCCACCGAAGAAAGAAAAGCCGCAACATTTGCTTTCAATCTTCGCAAATAGTTGCTCATCTAGGAGGGAAGGTGTTACGAGTACAAGACTCGTCTACGTCACTCATACGTCACGCGTACATTATGTGTTTCCCAAGTGCAGGTGGCTTGATTGAGCAATCGTGTTGAAAAGTGCTTATTAGACAGATTTAGTTCATGTAAAACCTTCGGACACTTTTGGGAGTTGCTTGAGCTTCAATCGTGGAAGCATCTTGACGTATAGTTTATAAGACCGGATCATCGGGATCAATTAGTATAAGTAATTTTGTAAAACATTTAAATAAATAAAGTTATAATTTAAAGTTTAGTTTTTAAAACCCTACCTGACGGCTCAATTCCGTAATTATCTTGACAACAAAATAATATCTGAAATTGGTATGTTTACCAATTTAAGAAAAGTAAAAATTGTTTTCATAGAAAAGATATCACACAAAAAAGACGTCTACTCTCCCTTAAAAGTCTGTCTTTGCTGTCGGGTCCTTATTAGTTTGTAAAATGTTCAAAGGAACTGTCCTCCGTCTCTATTTAAGAGCAACACTCGAATTTAGATTTCCTCTGAGAAGGAGTTACCTTACAGGAGACTCTTCAGCCTGATAAAGCATTTTAGTAATATCGTGTTCTTGCTTACCAGTATTATTATTTTTTGTAGTAAAATGTAAGTATCTTTAAAATCTATTAATTTTATAATTTCGTGGAGGCTTTTCTAGATTACACCTATGACTGCAATTTTATAACTATTATTAATACTTATATTATTGAACAGCCGCTATAAGCGACTTCTTTGGCTATTAGGCGTAACAGCAAATTGTCAAGAGGGTTTAACTGCTAGCAATTCTAACATCCTTTGGATTCAAAGAGCCTAAAATATGATCCGTTGAACTATTAGCGAAGCGCCATAGTATATCACTAATAATGAAATCCACGAACACCTATAAATATCAACAGTCAAGGATGAAATAGCAATTGCAACTCAGAAATACCGGGCTAGGCTGGAGAATCACCTAAACATACTAACAACATAACTCATGACGGAGGAATAACAATTGACTCAAGAGGAAAGACGTCCTATAACGAGAAATAAGAAGATGTCCTTATTGAAGGACACACTCTTACACCCCAATGATTCCCTAACACATTTGCTTATAGTGGCACTGATTACAAATAATAATAAAAGTTAATAATTATAATAATATTCTTTATTGTTATACACCGTACAAGAGACATAAGTAAATTATATTCATTACACAAATAACATCACTTTCAATTAATATATTAAAAAGTAAGCAAGAGTATTTTAACGACGACTTATATTACTATATCTGTTTAAGTAAAATGCAACCGTTACTGACTGATCTATCAACGCACGGCTTTTCAGCTGAACAGACTGCGCTATTTGGCACACATATAGCAATTACGGTGTAGGTGTGCTCTAAGGCATGATTTTCCAAAATTTACTCTTATTCCACGCCTCATTCAAAAGCCTCCGCCAAAGAATTCTGAACCCATCGGTCCTGCACTGCCCGTATCCAGTGGCTTCCCAAGAGCTTCACCAGATCGTCGGTCTACCTTGTGGGACACCCAGCAACGCTGCGTCTCCCGGAACGCGGCTGCCACTCGAGAGCCTTTCCGCCCCAACGACCGTCAGTCCTCCATGCAAATGTGCCCTGCCCACTGCCACTTAAGGTTCGCAATTGTTTGGGCTATGTCGACGACCTTAGATCTCCTGAGGATCTCATAATTTCGGATCCGATCGCGCAATGAAACCCCAAGCATAGGTGTCTCCATTACCCTTTGGGTGAATTTGAGCCGTCTTGTTGCCCATTGTGAGCAGCCACGTCTCGGTTCCATACGTCATCATTGTCATCATTACACGTATTTGAGACTTTCGTCTTGAGAGACTACGGTAGATGGGCCAAGAATTCATCCAGCATTGTGCCCAGGTTTTCTAGTGTCCCAGCCATGACTACGATATCATAAGCAAAACAAAGGGGCGTCATGTACTCGCCGTTTATGTTAACGCTAAGTCCTTTCCAGTCCAAAAGCATCGAGGGCTTTTCCACAGTCCACAAACGCTAAGAATAGTGGCAGGTTATACTGTTCGGGCTTCTGTTTACCTGACGCAGCGTATGTATGTAGTCTGCGTTCATAGTGGATGTTTCGGCTGTCTCCCACCACGCTGGTCCAATGCGGGTGGATTGGGAGCGCCAGAGCCTCGTTGGTGGTTAGCAGAGTGCACCGCGCGCAGGTGAGGTTGGCATGGATCCCGTGAGGTGATATTCGTAGCATTTAATTTATTTATATACGTATGCCGCAACGGGAATACCTGCAAACGTTTTTCATCTCTTTTGTGGGCTATATATCCAAGTATTAAATATATCACACCAGTTATAATTTGTATTTTTTAAGCATGTAACTGTTTGATGTTTAAATCTAAAGAAAATAAAACTAGATTTTTTTTCTAATTATATTTTCTATATCACACTATTTTTAGGACAAAAATATCGGATAAATTTTAATTTCATTTTCCACATCTATTTATAATATTTATATTATATAAGAGTAAAAAATATAATTGAATTTAGTAAAATATGATAATAATAATTTATTCATAAAAAAATACTAATGGCCCGCCCTCGCTTCGTTTCGGTGTAGACTATAGGTATATATTTTGTTCTAATATATTTTATCCTAAGATACTCACAAATAATGTGACTTTCTATTGGTAAAGTAATTTTCAAAATTGGTTCTGTAGAACCAGACATTTCTCCCTAAAACTTCACAAATTCAAAAAGAATACCTCGTTATTGTATTATTTTATTATTATTACATTATGTTAAAAGTGTAGCAAACAAGCATATATCCCGACTGATGGTTAGCGTCGACCTTAGCTTAAAGATGCTTGCGATACAAAAATATCACTCGTGCCATTGCCTACCTCGACCCAATCCCCTACCCCGTGTAGCTCTGGAACTTTACTCACCGACTTAAATATAACATCACAAAAAGGTATCCTTATTTTACTGTGGTCTTGTGTAAGGCGAATGTTACTTCCCCAGATAGGCGCTACGTTCTACCTCTCTTCTTGGTTCACAGTCACGTGCGGACTATTGAATAGTCAACATGACGCAGAGCTCCGTGAATAATGCGAAAAAAATACGTAGTATGTAAAGTATCATTTTTCGACAGGTATCTAATCAATGTTGGTGAATTTAACGTATTTCAAGCAAATTTTGTTCTAATACATACTTACTATAAACTGATTGAATATGAAATATTTGTGATGTTCAAATGCATGGTCGGTTATACGTCGTCATATAGCCGTCTCTTTTTCTCGCGCTCTGTTCCTGCTATATTGCTAACAACGCATTCAGAATTGCACGTAGAGTCAAATAAATAAGATCTTTCTTCCGCATATAGCAATAAGTCATAAAATTTTACAAGCTTGCATTCGAACTGTCATAACTCTTTGACGCATGCGTTTTTATTTAGACCTTACATAGTATGCATAAAAGGTGACTTTCAATGTTTAAATAATGTCTTATACTGTTTTTGACAGCGCGATCATCTTACGGAGCTCCGTGGATCGTAAAATGTACCTTTTGGACAGGCTTCAGGCAAGATTTTGTTCGTGTTGGTGTATCTAGGGTATTTAATATCGTTGGTAAATACACATAATGTAAATAGTAAACGTACTACACCGTCATACAAAAATATTGAAACGAACTTCTTAGCAATCTATGCTTCACCGCTTAATATCAGAGAGGCCATACGTTCGTCTGCCACCCTATTTTGCAAACATATGAGAGGTAATAGAAGACGAATTATTTCAATTACAAAGACGAAGCTTATTTAAAATAAAAATTAATTTTGGTAATTTCCTAATAGCTATCTGTAATTAGCAATTTGAATTAATAAAATTTTATCATCATTTTGATAACAACATTAAGATACTGGCCTAACCATATAAAGTGAAAACCCAGATAATGTCCTAATTTATCTATAGTATCTGGGTTTTCATATTATTGATCGAATAAAAAAACGTTTTAAAGATTTTTAAATTTCGTTTTTCTTTTTTAAATATAGAAAGTTACATTAACAGATTTTTATTTTAATCAATGTGTACAATCCGAGAATTAAGCGACTTCCCAAACTTATTTTTGGCTAATTAATATTATCTCCATTATGGTCTGCAATAAATGAATTGAATTGAATTGAATTTTTTTCGGAACTATCATAGCATCTATATATATAAAACTCAAAGGTGACTGACTGACATAGTGATCTGTCAACGCACAGCCCAAACCACTGGACGGATCGGGCTGAAATTTGGCATGCAGGCAGATGTTATGACGCGGACGTAGGCAACCGCTAAGAAAGGATTTTGATCAATTCTACCCCGAAGCGAAGCGAGGGCGGGCCACTAGTTGTAGTATATTTATGCTTACCGCCAAGAAACGATTGATTGAAGTTTTATTATATGAGTGCAAAGCGATAGGTAATAATATTGATAAGAATTTAATTCAAATAAGTACTAGGTATTTTATCAATTCCATGAGGCTCCGATAAACTCATTTACTATAGTGACAATGCCATAGAATCTTGTAAATTGTATGGCTGCAGTCTTCTGTAAAGTGAGGTTTCATCCAAGCTGCCACTCCGTTTTGTGCGGAAAAATTGCCTTCCTTGTGTTAGAGTTTTATTTAACATGCCGAATTTGATATCATTCTTCGAACCCTAAAAGCTAAAATTAAGTAGGAGAACCTGCTATAAAAATAATTTTGAAATTTTAAAATAACATTTCTGAATTAGGCACAATGTAAAGAAGGACATTGCCTTAGGGCGTGAGTCACACTTCGTCTGTCGAAGATCAGGAAAAGATCGGGGTGGCCGCGTGCCGTTAGAACGACAAAGGCTGTTAATGCTGTTAAAGCCAGAATTCGTCGAAACCCCATTAGCAAGCAAAAAATCTTATCGTGAGAAATGGGGATGCCCACTAGGCCTCTCTGAATCTCGGTGCTTATCAGGACATGCCCTAAATCAATCTTTACAATTTAAAGAAAGTGGATCTATCAAACCGTCTTCTGTCGCGATACGCAAGTGAAAAGCACAGAAATATCCTCTTTACCGATGAAAAAAAAAATATGATTGAAGAACACTACAATAAACAAAATGATAAAGTGTACGCTCCCAGTTCTAAAGAAGCTGCTCAAGTGGTTGGAAAGGTACAACGTGGTCATCATCCTGCGTCAGTGATGGTTTGGTGGGGCGTGTCTTATCAAGTAGTCACAAAACTACATTTCATTTCACACAAACTTCAGCCAAAGTGTATCAAGATACAGTCTTGTATCATGTAGTGAAACCTTTCAGCAATACACTTTTTAAAAATATACCGTGGACTTTCCAGCAGGATTCTGCACCTGGTCACAAGGCACGAACTACCCAAGCCCGACTTGAAACCAACTTACCGGACTTTATGAGAGCTGAAGACTGGCCCTCATCTAGCCCAGACCTCAACCCTTTAGACTTCAAATTATGGTCAGTTTTAGAGGACATAGCCTGCTCCAAATGTCACAGCGACATTGAGTCTCCTAAAAAAATTTTGGAGCAAGCAATGTCGAAATTTCCCTTGGAAACAGTGCGTAAATCCAAAGTTTCGTGTCCAAACAGATTAAAGCCCTGTATAACGCCAAAGATGGCCATTTCGAATAGAATATTATTTAATTTTTTCTGCGACTTTAGTAAATATGTAGGTATAAATTTTCATTTTCATTTGTAACTGAACTTATGACTGGACTAGGTATATTGCTTCCGGAAACCATCTTATAGCAACCAATGCCAAATGTGGCGAATAATATTTTTTTGCCTTAAGCTTCGCTTTCAAAGTCATAGTCATACAAAGTCGTTTAATAGTTTTGTAGAAGTTAGCCACACGCCCTGATTACTTTTCTGCACAGAGAAGTTAGCTACTGCTCTATTCATGTTGTTTTTTCACTGCCATCACAACATCTAAGATAGCAAATTAAAAAAAATAAAATTAGATACCTAATATTTTTTTGAAATTGAACTTACCGTGACCGCGGCCGCACCGAACAACTTCGCGATCGCCAACGACTGGATTATAGTAATCTAAATTATGAAAATATATCAGAAATGATAGTGTATCTCCCATCTGTACTTATTAATCGCGATTCGGCAGTTTATCAGCTCGATATCGATAGCGCTGCGTTAATTTAGTACAAATTAGTTCGTAGTGTCTTTCAAATCCATCCAAACGACCTTTAAATTAATAAATAGCTCTTGATGTTTTTCCTGAACTCAGAACTAGGTCTCCCACTATAGATTTTTGAACCGATGGCCATAGTTTTGATTTACGTCACCACAATTATTTTAAGTTCATCTTTAGCATGTCCCGTTAAATTTTTAATAGTTTTTAAAAACTTCAACATGCCTCGGTGGTTCAGTGGTAGAATGCTCGCCAGCAGGCGGCGCTTCGATTCTCAGCCAAGGAAGATGTTTTTATTTCATTTTCCACTTTTTACAAGCCAGGGTAACAATATCAACACTTATACCCCCTTATAATTAAACAAAGAATAAGCTTGGATTTGTTATTTAAACCAGTATTTTTTCGATTCGCATAGATGGTTTGCCTTTAAAAGCATTGTTGATTTCTAGGGATGCCACAGAAAGGTTTTGGTCAGCTTTCTCGTTGCCGAGACCATTCAGGGATAATCGTATTCCCTGAATGGTCTGTACCCCTAGCACGAACCATTATCGAATTCGAATAGTTTGCAAACCGAAATGTCTATGTCAAATTTTGTATGGAAACTTGAACAGCAGCGGAACAAAGTACGTAACGAGAACTAAAAATCAGTACACATTTGACAATGACATTTCGACATCAGAGTAAGCGAATGCTCGCTCGCTCAGTCATGTACCTGTGCGACTATACAAGCTTTTGTTCAGAACATTTGCTCTGACCATTTGTTTGTTTAGCTATCATATTGGAAACAGTTGTTTTGTGTATTCTATTTGCATAAAAAGCAATTCACCGTCATCAAACAGTCTGCTAAAAGTCTTAGCCAACTTACAAGACACTGCTGGAACACCGCTGCCACCTATCACCACCCTAAACTGGAGCGACTGCTCGCAGTCCACGCGGCGACAGCTAGCAGACACCCACCTGTCCACGCGTCGACAACTAGCTATCAGCAAATTACTTGGTAGTAATGCGAGAATGGCTCTACTAATGGTGCACGGACACTCCGCAGACCGCTAGCTTGCAACGCGTGGTAAGCCAGGCATCAACTACCGAGCAGCCCGACAGTGGTAAACTCGCTGACAGCGATCTGTCTGCTAATAAATGTTCCCATGCAAAGTATATCTAAAGAGCAATGCTTGAAGCCAATTATCATGTGAATTATATTCTTTTTGCCAGGTGGAAGAGAAGTCACACTTGAATGGATCTTCTATTCTTTCCCATGGACAGAGTTAGTGTAGAAAAACGAGCCATGACCTGGCGGTCCTATTGCGGATTGATCCAATCGGGACCATGGGTTTAACGCACCTTCTGAAACTCGGAGGAGCAAGGACAAGAATATTAGGTACATACAGTCTCAGATAACAGATTTTTTATGTAAGGTTATAAAACAAACATAACCTAACTCTAAAGCAATAGAGGGAGGTAAGGTAAATAAAATTAACATATATCCAAACTAAAGCGTTTATTTACAAAAATTATCTTAAATTTATCAAATTATGTAAAGAAGAATAATGTTTCATTCCATTTATTAATTCGAACACCTAATTTTTTATGTAATGACAAAATATTAATCTACTAACATCATTACTTTACATTTTACTTTGAGAATAATTTCTTAAAATTAACTAGATAAATTCAAAAATTATTTCGTTAGTTTTGCGAATAATAGTATAAATTTGGCTAAATACTTATGAACACAAAACATTGCATACAGTTTCCTTTATCGAAAATAAATTAAATTATAAATAGGTAAATTTTCTAATAATCTCTTATATTTAAAAACTTACACTTAATATTCTTTAATACAATAAAATTAGTCCCGTGATATAATGGTTAGATAGCATACTAAGAAAATCTATATATGTATATAAAAATGAATCGTCGAAAAGTATGTATGCGCATCACTTCCGAAAGACGGAAAAAAATTAACGAATGCAATTAACACCGAGGAGATGCAGCTAATGGTTGTCGCCTGACCATTCTCCACCAGCGACATAATGAACATGATCTCTTCTTGTAGTTAAAGTTGCATCATTGCAATGACATTAATGTTCGTCGTAAGACTGAACTAAATTAACGAATGCAATTAACACCGAGGAGATGCAGCTAATGGTTGTCGCCTGACCATTCTCCACCAGCGACATAATGAACATGATCTCTTCTTGTAGTTAAAGTTGCATCATTGCAATGACATTAATGTTCGTCGTAAGACTGAACTAAATTAACGAATGCAATTAACACCGAGGAGATGCAGCTAATGGTTGTCGCCTGACCATTCTCCACCAGCGACATAATGAATATGATCTCTTCTTGTAGTTAAAGTTGCATCTTTGCAATGACATTAATGTTCGTCGTAAGACTGAACTAAATTAACGAATGCAATTAACACCGAGGAGATGCAGCTAATGGTTGTCGCCTGACCATTCTCCACCAGCGACATAATGAACATGATCTCTTCTTGTAGTTAAAGTTGCATCATTGCAATGACATTAATGTTCGTCGTAAGACTGAACTAAATTAACGAATGCAATTAACACCGAGGAGATGCAGCTAATGGTGGTCGCCTAACCATTCTCCACCAGCGACATAATGAATATGATCTCTTCTTGTAGTTAAAGTTGCATCTTTGCAATGACATTAATGTTCGTCGTAAGACTGAACTAAATTAACGAATGCAATTAACACCGAGGAGATGCAGCTAATGGTGGTCGCCTGACCATTCTCCACCAGCGACATAATGAACATGATCTCTTCTTGTAGTTAAAGTTGCATCTTTGCAATGACATTAATGTTCGTCGTAAGACTGAACTAAATTAACGAATGCAATTAACACCGAGGAGATGCAGCTAATGGTTGTCGCCTGACCATTCTCCACCAGCGACATAATGAACATGATCTCTTCTTGTAGTTAAAGTTGCATCATTGCAATGACATTAATGTTCGTCGTAAGACTGAACTAAATTAACGAATGCAATTAACACCGAGGAGATGCAGCTAATGGTGATCGCCTGACCATCCTCCACCAGCGACATTATGAACATCTCTTCTTGTAGTTAAAGTTGCATCATTGCAATGACATTAATGTTCGTCGTTACGGTGGGTGGGTGGGCCAGATCTATTAATTGCTTCGCGACTTATTATTCTCAAAAGGAAACAGCAGAACATGACCACTGTTCATGAGAAATCTGACATTGAGGTAGCAGTAATTTCATCTGGAATAACGGCCATATTGTTTAAATAAGTTGTAGACAGATAGATTAAGGTGTTCCGGGAGCGAAATGATTTTACTGTCTAAAGATTTCCGCCAAATGGTTATTCTAAGATCGGCTACTGTCAATGAAATAAGGTTTGCCTCTATCAATCAATTTGTAGCTCTTTGTAATGAATTTTTTGTTGGCATTAATATGAGAGTTCGATCGCTGAACTATCAATCTACGGAAGATTCCTCCAAACCATTGCTATGAGTAATTGAAATGAATTTATTTCGTTAAGTGTGTACGCATGGGTTTATTTAGCTACCTTGAAAAATTATAATCAAAGTACGTTACGTATTCCGATAAAATTAGTGACTCATTGGAATTACACTTTTGTGATTTTGTAAATTAAAATTATTACATTGTGAATTGTTGATCGAAATGTGATTATAACTGATAGAGCTTAGGCCGTTTTTTGCACCAATGATTGTTTTCTTTTTATGACCTTCTCATCATCATCAGCCTATTAATGTCCCCATTGCTGGACTATCTTCTTCCCTATGGATAGAATAGGGAGATTGGGCCATGACCACCGGGCCCAGTGCGGATTGGCGGGTGCTACCGACTGCAGATGCAGTCGGGACCAACGGCTTAACGTGCCTTCCGAAGCACGGAGGAACTCGAGATAGAACATTATTGGTCACCCATCCAATGACCGACCACTGCGAAAGTTGCTTAACTTCAACGATCGCAGCTGAACGCGCTAACCCCGACATGCCTGCCTTATCAAACTATATTAATATAAATTGAATGTGAATTATAACATAACAAACTTATGTTATTGAGTTATTGAACATAAAGATCGTCTACATAAAAATAAATATGTTCTTATATCATCAAGTTTAGCTTGTCATGCGACTACTTTCATCATTTTACCATTTTACTTAGGTGCATTGCATATCCTATGTCAAAATTTCACAATAATTTCATACTAATGTACCTAATTTACGTGGAAATAAATCATGGCCTCAGTTCCACATAAAAGTCGTTTGTTTTCTCTAATGCCGCTATTTTCTATGTAAGCTTTTAGTATGTAAGTAGGTATATCTATATTTTCTCGGAATCCTTCTATATTTTGTTAATACATTCAAACATATAAATATTGACCAAATGAGTCCAATAAAAATTAAAGTTAAGACTTGAATACAAAAAAGATGAATCCTTAAAGTTTTACTTACACTATTATAATATAAAGTTGATCCTTCATTAAGATTAAATCTTTGATTTATCATCCAGCGTTTTGATAAAAAAAATCATAGAAAATTTATTAGCAAACACCCATTTACTTAATAATAAAATTTATTTATAAATAACATGTTAGTGTACACAAAAGAGTTTAAATTACTATTCTTAACTTCTTAACTTCGATTTGTATAAAGTATTTTCAAAAGCCTTAGTAAAATACTTTTTTATCTGCACTTGATTTTGTGTGAGTTTAAATTATTTTGTGCCTAAATTGTACTAGTCTAGATTACAAGTAATAGAAAAGTAGAAAAGTGCAGCATTTTTACAAAGCTCGCTTAGATTATATCAATTTGAAGTTTGAAGAAATCATTAATGAATAAAGCGAATGGTTTTTGATGATGTTAAATTATCTGCAATCTCGGCAAGCCTTAGTTATATCATAAACGGCAATCTTGCTGAAACTCAGTCCATCGCTAGGTAAAGTTAATCCCAAACAAAATGTTGAAGGATCTAATGTGAATATAACGTTAAAAAAATCATACAGTCATATTGTACAAACTAAATCCAACCACAAAAGAAATGACAAAAATAATGATATTATTTCTATTCAGATACTTAAAACAGTAACCACTTAATTAATTTAGGATTCCGCAACTGAAACGAGAAAGCGACTAGCTGATGACTATTTTCAAACTCCTGAAATGCACAAAAGGTATATTGATACCTTGTTGGTAACTAGGTAGAAAAACATTAATAAAATTAATCGCCGACTGCTCACCCGGCCTTTTTGTAAGACACAGATAACGCAAGATGATGAGTCGAATTCTACTGAAAATCTCAATTTCACTAAAACCACTATTTCGCCTTAGTTACTTGTGACAGTTTTGAATGAGACTGTTCTGAAAAACTTTAGAGTAACCAAATTATAAAACAAAACTGGCATCAACAATTTTGGCGATGAATTCATTCATTACACTGTTGTGTATGATTATACTTTCTCTCAATATATCTCTCAATGTTTGTTGATTTAATAAGAGTTATTTAAAGTGATATGTTTGAATAGCTGTTTATTTATTTATTTATTTATTTATTCTTTATTACCATAAAAACAGTAAATGGCGGACTTAATGCCATAGGCATTCTCTACCAGTCAACCAGTAAAGGTGTAGGAGATGCAATGTAATGGCGATAGAATATGAGATACTTAGTGTGGATCATAAAAAATATCTACTATACCTAACTATTCTATAACAACAATAAATATAAAATACATATTATACCTACACATATACTGATACACATATATATTCATAAATATATATACTTATAAATAAATACATAAATAAACATACATACACTAAATTAGTAAAAAAATAAATAAAAATAGATATGATGATATTATAGATGACTACAGATTAAGAGGAAAATTAGGTTGACAGATAGTGAGCACGCACTAGTTTTTTGAAATGTAACTTATTACGTGCACTGCGAATATTCAGTGGCAAAGCATTCCACAGACGTATAGCTGTGATGGCAAAAGATTTGGAAACGAACCCAGAATGGTGAAAAATAGTTTTGAGGGTAAGGTGCCTGCAAGAGCGAAGATCACGTGGTCTGGAGGGACCCAGAAATTGAAACCTAGATTTCAAGTATTCTGGGGCACGTGGATCGTATAGAACACTGAAAAGCATGCATAAAATTCTGAGATTTCTACGGTCACGTATGGACAGCCAATTGAGTTTATTTCTATAGTGGGAGATATGGTCGTACTTACGTAAACCGAAGATAAAGCGAATACCGCTGTTGAGCAAACGATCCATCTTAGAAAGAAGGTTTTGATTGGTGTCAGAATAGCAGACGTCAGCATAGTCAAGGATAGGCAGAACGAGAGCCTGTACCAGCGAAACCTTTGTACTGGAAGGGAGAAAGAATTTTAACCTGTACAGAGCCCTAAGTGTATTAATTACTTTACGGCATACTTCTTCAACTTGATTCTCCCAGCTAAGAGTACAGTCAATGAGTAGGCCAAGATTCTTGACGCATGGTTGAAATTTAATTACAGTACCATTGTATAGTAATGGATTCAGTGAACCTAAATCCAGAAAGGCCAACTGCCGGGAACTACCTATTATAATTGCCTGACATTTTGATGGATTAACAGAGATACCATAACAGTTGGACCATTCCGAAATCCTCTGAAGGTCATTATTCAGGCATATGAGGGCCTCATCTAAACTATTTTTATCTGCATGAACATAAAGTTGGAGATCGTCTGCATACAGATGGTAAGAGGAATGAATCATAGTAGTAAGGAAATTAATAAATAAAGAAAAAAGAAGAGGAGAGAGAATACCGCCCTGTGGAACACCAGCAGTGAGAGCGCACCAGTCCGAGATGGTTTGGTCTACCCGTACAGCCTGCTGGCGTCCACGAAGATAAGATGAAAACCAGGTCCCTACTGAAGAAGAAACTCCTGCTTGTGAAAGAATTGCCAGGAGAATATCATAATTGACCATATTGAATGCGTTGGAGAAGTCTATTAGGACCATAACAGTCAACTGCGAATTCTCCATACCGCTACGAATGTCGTCAAGGACATTGATAAGGGCAGTGGTAGTACTGTGACCTGGACGGAACCCAGATTGCAGTGGGCTGAGAATGTTGTGGCGAAAGATAAAAGAGGTGAGTTGGCTGTGCACAGCAGCTTCTAAAACCTTGGAGAGAAAAGGAAGAATAGATATGGGCCGATAGTGGCTCAGAGATGACGGACTATTAATTTTAGGAAGAGGCGTAGTAAGTGCTTTCCTCCAGATAGAAGGAAAGGTACATGATGAAAGGGAAAAATTAAGAATAAAGGTGATACTTGGAAGTATACATTCAAGTATAGGGATAATCATAGTCCTGCTGATATCGTCACATCCCACTGCCTTAGATCTTATGGAAAGGACAATCTTACGGACCTCTTCTTCAGTTAAGGGACGAAAACTAAATAATTCACTAGAAAAAGGAGCCATGGAAGTTATAGAGGAAACAGTAGAGAGCATAACTGAAGTAGAGAGAGAAGAAACTGAAGAGAAATGTTTGTTAAGCTCATCCAATGAAAAAGAAGAGGTTTTTGAGAAAGTTTTACCAAAACCTAGAGTACGAAGAAACTTCCATGTATCGGCTAGATTTGAATTTGAAATATTCTGATGGATGTATTGGCGTTTAGCGGCTCTCACCATCTGATTGCAACGATTCCTTGCAGTTTTAAATGCACGCCAGTTGTCATCAGTACGGCAACGTTTGTACGATCGGAAGCACTTGTTCCGTTTCCTCATTGCCATACGAACACCCGCAGTAATCCATGGCGCTGGTGGTCGTTTTAATTTAACGCACTTTTTAGGGGCGTGACGGTCGTAAAGGTCTAAAATGGCTTGGTTGAAGTAGGTGATCATGCTATCGACGGACGTTGCTTCACGAATAGGATACCAGTTAACAGCGCAGGCATCACTTCTCAACTTCTCCACATCCAGTCTGGCAAAGTTTCGCATTTGTACAATAAGTGGCTTTGGCTTGGGAGGTTTAGCCTTATAAGCAAGAAAAACGAGGTCGTGTCTGGAAAAGCCAGATGCGGGAAGCTGTCCGTGCTTGTGGACACGTTCAGGTGAAGATACTAAGATGTGATCAATCCATGAGTCTGATGTGGTGTGATTGTGATGAGTTGGATCAAGACGTAAAATAGAGAAATTTACAGACTCAATGAGAGATCGAAAGTTGCGAGAGTGTGTAGTGTCCTTCAGGAGGTCGGTGTTGAAATCACCCATTATGACATGATGAGAGTAGTCTGTTGCAACAGAATTAAGAAGTGAATCAAAGTCAGTAAGGAAATTTATAGAAGGGGGGCAGTAAACAACTCCCAGGGCAATTTTGATACCTTTGACAGTGACTTCAAGGAGAAGATATTCCATAGAGTCGAGACGAAAGGAGGAAGAACATATAAGTTTGAAAGGTAAGACATTTGACAAATATATGGCAACCCCACCGCCACCTTTGCCAATACGATCGTTTCGAATAAGGTTATACCCTGGGAGGTTGTATGAATTAGAATTTAGACATGGCTTAAGCCAACTTTCTGACACCAGGACGGCATGAACCGTATCCGAAGAGAATGCGTGAAGGAGGTCAGCATAGTGCCGTGGAATGCTTTGTGCATTAATATGACAAATCTTAAAAGCATCACAGTAGTCACGGAATTCACATTTAAGAGCAGTGCTAATATCATACGAGTCTTCGCTTGAATTATCAAGAGAGTTATATGAAGTGTTATCATTAGCGGAAAAATATACCTCTGAATCCGACATTTCTATCATCTATGAACCAAAATAAATATATAAATAAATATACAAAATATATACTAAATTACAATAATTATACTTACACGAAATTAAAATAGAACCTAGCATACATATAAAAATCGCTAGCAAGTAACTGCATCTTAAATTTCCACACATCCCACTGGTAAACTGTTTACAATATAATTAAAATCTAATTCAGTAACAAATAGAACAGACAGTACATGACTCGATAGTAAATACATATATAATAAAATAAAGGAAAAAAACTGAAAGCATAGTTAGAACCAATAAAAAAAAAAGTTTAAACTAACATAAATAGACCGTATGAACTTAAATTCCTTTGCCTTCCTAGACGAGGAAAAGTTTTTAAAATAAAAATGACATAAGGCCATCAAATGTCAGTGTCATAACTACAAACAAAAATTAATCAACATTACATTACCATTGGAAGTGAAATAAAATCGAGTCATGCCTACATTTACGTACGGCGATTGGCATCAGGCTACTTGGAGTTTTTGTTGACTCGTTTCGACCTCGTCTGTATCGCTTTGGAGGACTGAGTTGGGTCCTCGGACGCTGCTGTGGACACCGCCGGAACCACGGACGAGTCCTCCGACAACACGGTAGCTACGGGAGACGGCTTTGGGAATCTCGTAGTGAGCATGTTCAGTTCGTCCATCGAAAGAATGCGTACTTTGTTACCATCCGGAGTAGAGATGCAAATATTACCGCTCGAGGTCCACACACTTTTCATGCCGAAATGCTCCCTCGCTGCTCTGAATGCAGACTGTCGGCTTCTGGTCAAGAACTCTTGCAGAACCAAATCGGAACCTTTTAGCCTGGTCTTGTTTTTCCATATGAGAGATCTAATGTGTTGACCAGTGAATTGAATGACAACTGGGCGATTGCGCCCCTCCTTGTACCGGCCCAGTCTGTAACATGCTTTGATGCTTTCACCAGTAATCTCACAGAGTCCAAGATGTTTCTGAAGCAAGGAGACAGCATTGTTTGCCAATTCAGCATCAGATCCCTCCGGTAGTCCACTAAGGAGAAGGCACTTTTGCCGATGCCTGGTCTCGATCGCATCCACAGATTTGATGACTTCAGTGATCTGCTGCCGCAAGAGTTGCAGTATGTTGTGAACAACATCTTTGAAGGTGTTAAACTCTTCCTGGATCTTTAGCAAATTGTCCCCGTCTTTCTTGCAAAAAGAGGATTTAAGCTGAGCTTCCAAGTCGCCCATCCTGTTCATCAGTATTGACTCCAGGGATTTCTGTGTCTCCAGTACTGCAGCAACACTGGCCATGACTTCAGAGAGTGAATAACGTTGATCAACAAGAAACAATATTGTGTTATAGTGAGAAATATAAGTGATGGTAGGGATGTGAGGGTGGCTGCTTAAATAAGCATTCAAGAGAGTTGCCCACAAAATATGTTGTTATTTGTAAGTTACTCTTTAAATTTTTAATAAGATTTCACTTTAAACTTTGATGTAAATATTTTTTTAGCAAATTAAAATTTCTTAGGGTTCAAAACAATGTTATTTATTTTTCGCCTACCGCCAAAAAAAAAAAAAAAAAAAGCTGTTGTCATAATAACAAACTTTAAACGTGAGTTACATCAACATACCTTAACTGTTCAGTAAGAAATGGGTTGCATCATTTGGTGAGAGTCGAAATGAGATCATAATTCAAGCAAGGGCGGTTGACGCCCGTGGTCTATGTAAATAGCAGATTTCTGCCAATGTCAAAAAACCCTTGTCTGTAGAAGTGGCGGATTTCTGCCACGCAATATTATAATACAATATTTAAATATAGTATAGATAAATAGATATGGATCAGAAAATATTAAAATATAACAGAAGATTTTGACGAACATTTTGCTCACACAGACCACAGGTAGTAAAATTTTAATTTAACTGGCTCTGTGGTGCAACACAATTTTCGTTTGAATAGCTCTCGTCATTTGTTTCTCATTTTGTTTCAGATTTAATTAACTTTTATAGATCGTCGATAATGAGATGAGACAGATGCAAACAGTAAATTATGACTCGAATTGTGACTTGTTGAATCCAATTTACGTAACTAAGGCAAAAATATTGCAGACAATTTTTTAGATATTGAGAGATATGGTAATTTTTTAACATTTGGTGGTTTCCAAAATTACATGGTCTTAGCAACCGGAAAATTACATTTTTTACTCTAAGCCTGATTTCGAGGTGCAGCTTTGACACAATGTTTGGCATACTACTTAGATAATAAGTAAAAAACTAATGGTATGCTAAAATAAGGTTAACGTTTTAAGCGAATAACAGTGACCAAACTGAATTTAGTATGATAAGATATTATTACTGAGCCAATGTATTCATTTCCTCATTTTTTTTATTAACGCCTAAAGCTTTCGCTCTCTTTCTTGTGACTAACACTTATTGAAGGTGAAAAGGGATAGACTCGTTATACGGAAGCACATTTCGAATCATGCGAATTCTTTAAATTTTTCTAGTTCTCGACAATTCTAGCTCACGCCACTTTTTCATTGTTGAAAAGGGATAGATTGTTGAATACTGAAGCACATCAACTGCAATTAGACACTGTTTATTTAACCGACGCCCGAACTTCTTCAAAGCTTTTCCAAAAGCTTACAGCTTTCTTTCAATCTGGGACTCTTCAGGGCTGAAAAGGATAGACTTATGCGGATCTTTCTTATCTTTTTACTGTTCTAGTTCGTGTTGTTTCTGTCTCTGTCGAGTTCTCGTCACCAAGTTCTGGTGCTGTTGTCAGCGGCAAGAAGCCAATCTACAATGGTTTGATAGTTGTTTTCCATCCACTGAATGTTGGCGGCTGTTCGTTCTAGAACTTGCTGCACTGGTCTCCCTAGCTCCGAGCATGATTCCGCTATGAACCTCTTGAGCTGTTGGGCAAATAAAAACAGTAATTATTTTATTAGAGTAATTAGTGGGATTGGGAAAACGAACTACATTTTTTATACTTATAGTAATTAGCTGACAAAAAATAACAAAATTTTCATCCCCACCATTTCGATTAGTGGCTATCCACAACCTTGCGATTTTGTCAAACAACGACAAAACTGTGAAATACATTGTCACCAGCAGTGTTTCCGGACTAATACGTCCCAAAATCCTTCAAAATCACAGCGTACTCTTTCCTTAAAGGTTTAAACCGTATTTGTGATACTCCTGGTGTTGCAGGTGTCCATGGGCGACGGTGATCACTTACCATCAGGTGAACTGTCAGCTCGTATGCCTATATAATATAAAAAAAAAATAAGAGGCTGAATAGGTGGGTGGAAAGTATGAGAAACCAATTTTTCCACCCAAGTCACGGAGTCCACTAAATATTATATAATAATATCATCATAAACCCATTAATGCCCCCAGTGCTGGGGCACAAGCCTTCTCTATGGATGGAAAAGGAAGATTGGGCCGTTACCCACCACGCGGGCCCAGCGCGGATAGGTGGGTACTGCCGACTGCAGAAGCAGCCGGGACCAACCAAACACGGAGGAGCTAGAGATAGTAAAATTTTGGTTATCCATCCGATAACCGACCACTGCAATAGCTTAATTTCAACAATTGCAGCCGAACGTGCAGACCACTAGCGCCATCGATCTCCTCTATTATAATACTTAATAATATCTTATCTCACCTCTTCCAGTTCATGGGGTTGATTTAACCTTCGAGTCACCACCTTTAAAATCGTGTTCAGTGTTGATATGGAGCCGACACTGTAAAAGTAAGAAGAAACTTGTAAATATGTTATCGAAATTGTCTATTTGCCATTAAAATTTACTTTGATCAGATAAACCGAAAAATACAGCAAATAGAAATCACCTCGTTACATGAAAAGGGATTACTTGTTAATAGGAAAAATACTGTGTTTTTGTGTTGATTGGTATTCAATTTAGGCAATAGGCTGTTCAACAGTATGAAAAATAATGTACCAATTGTTGGCATCTGTATTAAGAATATTAGCAGCGATTTTACTGTTCTATAGTAACAAATATTTAATAACTTTTCTATAAAATCATTAAATAGAATTGATATTTTTGCACCATGGTCACGTGACTGAAAACGCCTGGGATTGGCCAAGGCTAAAATGACGTCACACGCTAGTATACTTCCAGCCAAAGTGACATTACATTGTATCGTTTGACGTTTCAATGACAGTCGTGTGACGTCACACACTAGTGAGACGCCATTATTTCCAGAGAAACGTTTTCGCGGCCAATTGATAATTGAATTTTTAATTTTGTTTCTTTTTACTGAATTATAATATCCACTTTTTACGGACTCCATAAACATTAATAAATAACGTGAGATCTTTTTCTAAAACTTGTCAAATCCCTATTGCATCCAGAACTTGTAGTGGAATTTATAAATTCAGATAATGCCCTGTTAAAAGGTTCTAATCATCTCCATGAAATATATTGATCTCTTATTCCTGCAAACCGGATAATTATGTTAGTTTTATATTTATTTAAATATGATGCAAGAATTAATTATTCATTATTATCGATTATAATCATTCGAGTTAAGGATGTATGATAATCTAGCCTGTGGTCAATTGCTTTTTTTTACTGGTACTGGTACTGGTACTGAGGTACAAGGTTTAGTTTTTTAAAAAACCCTCTTGTTTTCTATTCTGTGTTGAGCTGTGTTAGGAGAAAATCATTATACCTTTTCTTGTCGAAATACAAAGGGATTATAACAGTTTATAATTATTGAAATCCTATTAAATTGTTTATCGACCCACAAACAATAAATCACTCTAATTTTATTTTTCTTATATTAGTATATGATTTGATTTTCTGATCCTGATTTAGGAAGGTAGTTAAAGTTGATCTTAGATTTTATTTTTTCGCAAACATAAATCCCATCAGCGCTTCAAAATATCCCCTATATTTTGTTCTTCTTCTTCTTCTTTTTTTATGGCTTAACAGGGATTTACCCATAATTCCGCCAATTTCACGTAGATAGTCACAAAACGACAGGAGGATATTTTGTTACCCTTTGTATATATAACTATAAACTAATTGGGTAAATTGAAATAAAAATACCATGTTCTGTCATCCACCACCTTCAAAGAATGGGGGCCTAGTATATCAACCCAAACTTTCAATCTAAAGAAAATATAACTAGAAAAAATTCCACGCGGACCAGGCAGCAGACGGGACTCGAACCCGCACCCTTCGCAATCCGGGCGAATGCACTGACCAATTATGCTACCGCGGCCCTCACGGACCGCGTCGAAATTCTTTCTAGCTATTCTTAAGCTGCAAGGCAGCGCCATCTCTTCGCATTATAGGTAAACCCACAATGCGAAGGGTGCGGGTTCGAGTCCCGTCTGCTGCCTGGTCCGCGTGGAATTTTTTCTAGTTATATTTTCTTTAGATTTAAACATCAAGCAGTTACATGCTTTAAAAATAATAAAAATCCAAACTTTCAAGTTAGGTAAAACTTCCCCAAAAGCAGGAAATTTTTCCTATAGGTTTTATATTTCTCAACTTTGACTTCTATGAAAGTCAGATCAAAATCAAAGCCAGATTTCTGTAATGAAGTTCCTAAAATGGAGTTAAATGCTGTTAAATGAGCTTACTATTCTTTCATCCGCATCCAGTTGGCTCGGACGAAGTTCAGGGCAATCGGTTGACCTATTGCTGAGCCGGCAACCGAAGAGAACACCCTCACAGTGTCCTGCTTACGAATACCGCTGTCATTCCTCAATGACAGTTCTAAGTATCTGAAAACAACAATTATTACGTGACATCCTTTGATTATTTTTACGCCTAAATAAACCACTGAAAGAAAACGGCTGATGTTGCGCCGACAAAAGCAGAAAATACATGCATCTGCAATTGGGATAGAATTCCCAGTCTTCATAATGTGTGTCCATTAAAACGCGTGATCCCAAAGAGAAATGAAAGTATTCATTTATCTATCTACATTAATCCTTGCTATGAATTATGGCATAGATATAAAAGCGCCCTTGGAAAAGGACAAAGGCTACATTTTATAGTAAAAAAAAATCATCATCATCATCAGCCTATTAATGTCCCCACTGCTGGGGCACAAGCCTTCCCTATGGATCTCGGATGGGAGGAGCTCGATGGCGCAAGTGGTTAGCGCGATCAGCTGCGATCGTTGAAGTTAAGCAACTTTCGCAGTGGTCGGTCATTGGATGGGTGACCAAAAATTTATTATCTCGAGTTCCTCCTTGCTTCGGAAGGTACTTTAAGCCGTTGGTCCCGGCTGCATCTGCAGTCGTTAGCACCCACCAATTCGCACTGGACCAGCGTGGTGCGTCATGTCCCAATCTCCCTATTCCAAAAAAATATATAAAAAATATTACTCGTCAGAAATGTGTTAAAATCTAGAAGACAACTTCTAACACAAGTTATTACATTTTGGGCATTAAACTGTTAAAATTATTTATAAATGTAAAGTCAATTTTACTAGAAAAAAATCCACTCGGTCCAAGTTTGTTTAGGTAGTGCGTCTAGCCTGATAGCGGAAGCCGCAGGTTCGAATCCTGATTGAAACCTGGATCAAATGAATTTTTGTCTAGCGAAAAATTTCTGTAGATCCATTCCATGATGGCTTAAACATATAATAAAAAACTAAAACTAATACGCTAACTAATAAGCTAAAACATAATAATAAACTCGTTCGCAAAAATAAAGAGTCGCCTTTCAGTTCAGTTTTAAATAACTTTGAAACTGTGGCGGTGACATCTACACCCCCCACTTATGTAATTAGGATATATAAAGCTAGTTATTTTAATGAAAAAGAACCTAAAAGAAAGATTTTATTGTTCATAAAAGAAACCACAGTACGATTGAAATCACACATATAAATATTATAAAGGTGAAAGTTTGTGAGTGTGTATGTTTCTTACTTCTTCACGTCTAAACGGCTGGAGCGATTTCAATAAAATTTGGTATGGAGTTAGCTGACTCCCTGGATTAACACATAGGCTACGTTTTACTGCGGGAACACATCTTATTCCCATGGGAAAAACACAATTTATTTTCCCTAGTAAACCGCGGCTATCACCACGGGGCACAGCTAGTAACTAAATTCACATGCAAGGAAATTTATCTTGGCAATTACTTGAGGATACCAGCATACCTGTACAGGAGATATGGTGCCCTAGTGCAACCGAGTACAGTCAGCACACAACAATTTATCTTGGCAATTTCTTGAGGATACCAGCATACCTGGTAGAGGAGAAGGAGCTCGATGGCACAAGTGGTTAGCGCTTTCGGCTGCGATCGTTGAATTTAAGCAACTTTCGCAGTGGTCGGTTATTGGATCACCCATCCAATCCCACCAAAAATCACTATCTCGAGCTCCTCCGTGCTTCGGAAGGCACGTTAAGCCGTTGGTCCCGGCTGCATCTGCAGTCGTTAGCACCCACCAATCCGCATTGAGCCCGCGTGGTGGGTCATGGCCCAAATCTCCCTATTCCATCCATAGGGAAGGCCTGTGCCCCAGCAGTGGGGACATTAATAGGCTGATGATGATGATGATGATGACCAGCATACCTGTACAGAAGATATGGTGCCCTGGTGCAACCGAGTACAGTCAGCAGTAGTTCCCTCTCCGCGGGTGCGCTAGCGATACGGAACCGCTCCCAGGCGAACCGCCATTCTCGCTCGCCGCCTGCCTGTATACCCACACAGTACACCGTACTACGAATGTCCGGGTGTATCCTGAAAACAATGCATTAGTGTCAGATTTCCAAAGTCCCAACTGTTGGGACTTGTCCCTAGGACTAATCGTTTTTCATTTTCTAAATATTTCTTATTTAATCAGTCTTCTCACTAGGAGGAATATTTTGGATAACACATTTTTATTTAAAGTTGTCAGAAAATATGTAGTTGATTGCCCACAATTTCTCAGTAAGATAAATATTAGAGTTCCCCGTAAACCACCACGCTATCCTGTACTAGCGATGTAACGAATATTCGCATCCGTATTACATTCGCGAATATTCGCATTCACATTCGCATTCGCAAAATCTCTGCAAATATGAATATTAGAAAAAAACAATTTGAAGAAGTAGTAGTTCCGCCTTTCCTTGAATATTCATTGTTACACAGCTTGCATTTAGCTCGTTCAGCATCGCAAATTGTGAAATAAGTTCATGTTTCACTAGAATTCGATTTACTCATGTTAATAAATCACTATTCAAACTCTAACCTCAAAATTTACTTGTTTTGTTTACGGAAAGACCGGTGCGAGCGGAATGACACTTCAGTCGGATGAGTTCATATCAACTCGGTTATTCGAATGAGACTGCCACCATGTCATAGACAATTGGCGCCAATTTAAAAAAAACTAAATATTCGCATTCGCGAATGTCGGTACCACATTCGCATCCGCATTCGCATTCGCGAATGTTCAAAAAATGACATTCGTTACATCATTATCCTGTACCAACATTCAGCAAACCAATCGCTCGCACAAACATATTAACACATTCTGCATCATATCGCTTGCCCGAAGCTTACAACAAACTGAGTGAGAGTGTTGATATCTTCCATGACTCTTTTCTACGATTTAGGACTAAAGTTTCTGAGTTATTAAGGGATGCGTAGGCAAACTTTATTTTTATTTTTGTTGTTAAATTTGTTATATCGATTAATTATATATATTCGTTTTCTATTGTCTATAGTTTCAAAGCCTCTAATAGTTCATAAACTTCATTATTTACATGTGGTTTCAGTTTGTGTTTATGTTTGTTTAATTAATTAAAATTCGGTCCGTTCGTACTGTCTCTTAACCATGATGTGGCTACCTTCAATAGAATTTTGCATTTTGTATGTATCACTATAATGTTTAAAAATAAGATTTAATGTAACTTTCCCTGGTGGTCCTAATAAATAAATAAATAAATTATAGTCAATTATGGCGCGATTATACTTGGTCGCTAGCCCGAATATGAGTGCCGATGGAGTTCAGGTAAACAACTCAGTGTAAATGATCGGAGTTAAGTACGCCCGTTTTCGGGTAGATTGCCTTTTGTTTACCCGACACCGTCTTCCAGCCCATAATCCAGTGTAAACATAGCTTCGGGTGTCTGGATTCGAGTATTTTATTTTTTATTTATTTAATCTTTAATGCCTTTACACTGCATATGGCGGACTTAATGCCAGCATAGCATTCTCTACCAGTCAACCGGAAAGAACGTGCAGAGTCAATAAAACGGCAGACAATGATAGCAAAGAGCAAACATCAAACAATGAAAAAACAAAATTAAATAGTGTTTAATACTTACACATATACAAACATAAAAACATAATTATACATACATACACACACATATATACATAATATACCTATAATATAGTGTCCGATTTCAGTATCCTGATTCAACTTAAGCACTATGCAATAAATTCAAATAATGTTCCCGCAAGTAATGTCTTTCGTGCACCCGAATATGTTTTTTTTTTATATATTAAGGTAGGCGAATGACTCTACCCCACCTGATGTTAAGTGGTAATAAAGTCCAAACGCGAAGATAGCTGGTACAGCAATTATAAACTGCTACACCAATCATCCTCACCTTGCCGGCCTGCAAAAATGCTTCTTCACGCCTCTCTTAAAGAACCCCAGATTATAGGAAGGAGGGAACACTTGCGTGGGTAAAGAATGAGGAAGTGTAGGTGGCAGTGCATTGCAATCACTAATTCGGGAGTTAGCCGTAATGAGTTTTGCCAACAAATCAGCTTTCTCTTGCGGCTCATGAGCTAGTGACCCATCTTGACATCGCGCGTCCAAGCGCAATATGCCGCCTGCTTATGAGAAACAGCATCACCACAGTCGCGATTGAACCAGCGGTTACGTGTGCTCTTACTGATGAGATCAGAATGTGGAATGTAATACTCCATTCCCATTAAGATCTCCTCAGTAATAGCAACGGCGCTGGTCGATAGGTCCTTTTCACTGAAGCAGCGCTGCTTCCAAGGGATGGACGCAAAGTAGTCGCGCATACAATCCCAATCTGCCGACCCATAGTGCCAGACCCTGCGTTTGACCACCAATGGTCGAGGAGTTTTGGCCTGTGGCACCTTGGCAGATATCAGGCAATGATCTGATGAACCCAGTGGGGCTCAAACCACAACCTGATACTCCTGCGGATGAGTCGTAAGCAGAAGGTCTAGCAAAGAAGGCGCTTGACTTGCTATATCTGGGATCCTGATAAAGACCAAATGTAATTGCGCCATAGCTGAATTATTTTTATGCAAGTGGAATTATTTGCCCTCGCACGTGTTCCCTCCTTCCTACAATCTGGGATCCTTTAAGAGAGGCGTGAAGAGGCATTTTTGCAAGCCGGCAAGATGAGAATGGTTGATGGGGCAGTTAATAACTGCTGTGCCAGCTATCTTCCCATCTGGACTTTTTCACCAGTTAACATCAGGTGGGATAGAGTCATTTGCCTACCTAGCTATATAAAAAAAAACTATTAAAAATACTAACGTAACAGTTTCTGTACAACTGGAATAATATCCACTTGTCTTAGACTTTTCCAGGTGCATTGTATCACGACACATTGTACGTAGTAACTGATGGTGGAATTTTGCTGGCAAACAAATGAAGAAGCCGCTCTGGTGTAGTGGTGGTTGCCATTAAGCCTCCACAAACAAGTGATTTTCTTATGCGACGACCTCTGTGCCCAAGTGGTATATACCACGGCAAACTTCTTGAATAACGACAATAGACATGGAAGCCTGCGCAGTATCAATTTTACATAGAAAAACGTCTACTGCACAAGTTTAGTAGTCTGAGGTTTTACTCAAGAGCCGCTACCTATATGGGTTTCATGGTGTCGCTTACTCGCGAGGTCCGGGTTTGAATCCCGGTGACTCAAATGTCAGTATGATGAAGACGAGCATTTTTACCTGAGTCATGGATGCTGATATGTATTTCTACATATGTGTATAATATAGGTACATAATATCCATCAGCATATTTATTCTAATTGCTACCCTAGTATTCCATAACACAAGCATTACTTTGGGGCCAGGCCAATTGGTGTGAGTGTTGGAAATATATATTTATCCTCTAAATTACTCTACGGGCCTGCGCTGCGTTAAGTGGGAGCACGGAGCTTAAAGTACACCGTACATTCTAACTTTTAAAAACTACTGAGAATCTATTGAGAATATTTAGCCCTTTCGTAGCTAAGTATTAGAATGTGCATAAAAATAGATAAGAATATTATTTAAATACACATGTACTTAAAGTGCTGACTTTTTCATGCTTAATCACAAACGATTTAAAATGAAGTTAACCAAATTAACTTTCGAACCGTTATCGTTTCAGTTGCTTGGAATCAGACAGATAAACGAAGTGTAATTAATTAAGCGTGCCATATCCGATGACATATAAAAATAAAGATTGACAGAAATGTTAAGCCTTGCGAAAAGAGGTTATTGTAAAGTCAAAAGGTCATCGATACAATTGTTGCGCATCCTGAGAGTCAGCGCCAGGCCAGGCGTTCAGATGTAGCAAGTGGCAGACAATAAGCTAAAAGAGTCCTGTTTTCCTAAAAAAGATTATCACAAAAAGAAGTTGCTGCCTATAAAAGTTCGGCCTCACTCGTTGCAAGTATCTGGGTTGGGTAAAGCATCTTATTGGTGTACATGCTCACAGCTTGCCTCAGAAAGTCAAAGTGTTCCAGAAGGCACGTCATAGACCAAAAGAGTCCTGATTTTCTAAAAAATGTTATCACAAAAGCGGGTACATATGAAAGTTCGAACTTACCCGTTTCAAGCGTCAGGGTTAGGCGTCAGCATCTAATTGGTGTACATCCTCACAGCTTGCCTTAGGTAGTCGAGACATTCCAAGTGGCAGGCCGAGGATCAAAAAAGCCCTGATTTTCTAAAATGGTTTCAGGGTTAGGCGTCAGTATCTAATTAGTGTACATCCTCACAGCTTGCCTCAGGTAGTCGAGATATTCCAAGTGACAGGCCGTGGATCAAAAAAGCCCTGATTTTATAAAATAGTTATCACAAAAATGGGTTCTTACAAAAACTTGAGACTCACGCGTTGTAAGCGCCAGGGTAAGGCTTCAGCAACCAATTAGTGTATCTATTTCTTCACAGCTTGCCCAAGACAGTGAAGGTGGTCCAGACGGCAGGTAATGGGCCAATAGAGTCCTGATTTCCTAAAAAAGGATATTACAAAAAGAGATACCTATGAAAGTTCGAACTTACTCGCTGTAAGGTTGGGCGTCAGCATCCAATCGGTGTACATCCTAACAGCTTGCCTCAGGCAGTCAAGGTGTTCCAGACGGCAAGTCATTGGCCAAAAGATTCCTGATTTCCTAAAAAAGTTATCACAAAAAGTGGTACCTATAAAAGTGCGGTCAAACTCGTTGTAAGCATCTGGGTTGGGCGTCAGCATCCAATTGTTGTACAACCTGACAGCTTGGCCTCAGGAGGTCAAGGTGTTCCAGACGGCAAGTCATTGGCCAAAAGATTCCTGATTTCCTAAAAAAGTTTATCACAAAAAGAGGTTGCTACGCATAAAGTTCCAACTTACTCGTTGTAAGCGTCAGGGTTGGGCGTCAGCATCCAATTGGTGTACATCCTGACAGCTTGCCCCAGACAGTCGAGATGTTCCAGATGACAGGCTGTGGACAGTAAGTCGGCGCGCTGTTGAGCTCGTACCACGTTCTCATTCGCTGGTACCTCCCATCCCAGGTCTTTTACAGCTCCATCGAGAAGGCGTAAGACGTATCGCTAGGAATAAGATGTTTATATTAATTAACTAGCTTCTACTCGCGATTTCGTCTCCGTGACGTTTTGTAACACCTCTGTTCACCTACATGAAAAAGCAATAAATATGATTATGATGACTTAGTTTGCGCTACTTTGTTTCGTAATAACCTTCTACAAAGTATCAGAATACATAAAAATATGATGGATGAAATCTGCAAAGTCATTCTCAAGATATTGCGTGATCAAGGTAAATAGGGGTTGTGACTTTATAGTAAGTAACGCGTAGCGTACAGTGCAGCTAACCTACAGTTTAACGTGAAAAGATCTCTTCAGACAAAGCTTTTCATATATTTTTTATAGACTTTACGTAGGCAAGAGGTAAGTACGTTTAACCATTAACTATACATAAAGTCATCATTTCCTTACGAACTCAAATTCCTCCGTGCTTTGAAATTCACAATTTCAATCACGACGAAATCTTAAGGCCTACCCACCACCATTCCTGTTGAGATCATTCCCAATTTTAGTCTTTTATCACTAAACGATTCTGTCCATATGGTCGATGTAGAGCAGAAGATTTTGTGTGCGAGAATGGAGTCTGCAATAGAAGGCCACCGACATAAGTATAAGTTTAATGATCATCATCATCAGCCTGTTAATGACCCCACTGCTGGGGCACAGGCCTCCCCTATGGATGGAATACGGAGATTGGGCCATGACCCACCACGCGGGCCTAGTGTGGATTTTTGGGTGAAAACGACTGCAGATGCAGCCGGGACCAACGGCTGAACGTGCTTTCCGAAGCACAAAGGAGGTCGAGACCTCTGTATATGTGTGTTTTCAAGAAATCGCCATCGCGTTGCAGTCACTTTAGTAGTGCGGCCGCGGCCTTTATGATCAATGTTATTACTGATGATAATGATCAATAGGGAACAATTATATTTTTAAATTTTACCGAAAACCTGTTAATAGTTTCTCCATTTTTTTGAGGTCATAACCAAGTCCTCATCAATCAACAAGTCATAATCCAGCAAAGTACTTAAATTAAAATTAAATATGTTTATAACAGATAAGTACATTTATATTAAAATCGTAAACCTTATCATTCATTGGATAATATATTATGCACTAGTGGCCCGCCCTCGCTTCGCTTCGGTGTAGAGCTATTCGATTTTTTCTCACCTTTTAAACCTTCCCTAGACCTTCATGAACATTTCAAGACCAAGATAAGATAAATCCGTTCAGCCGTTCTCGAGTTTTAGTGAGACTAACGAACAGTAGTTGATTTTTATATTATGCATTTAATCGCTTCGCTTCGGTGTAGAGCTGAAGTGTAGACTACAGTTTTTGTTCTCAGGCTTGTATTATACACAATGACATTCATCTATGATTCTTCTTATACCTACATGCAAAGTCTCACCCCGATAGGTTTAAAATTGACTAAGTTTCATACAAACTTTCATTCTCTATTTTATCCCCTTGGGGGTAGAATTGATCAAAATCCTTTCTTAGCGGATGCCTACGGCATAACATCTACCTGCATGCCAAATTTCAGCCCGAACCGTCTAGTGGTTTGGGCTGTGCGTCGATAGATCACTATGTCAGTCAGTCACCTTTGAGTTTTATATATATAGATTACGGCAATGCACTGTTCCATACAGCCACAAATCAAGTTTTCCAAAATTAACAAATTTCTATTAGAAAATTGTATTGTTTGGCTTAAGATGTTGGCACAACATTGTTTACAGTAAAAGCAGGACGCAGAACTCGATCGAAAACCTAATTAAACTAAAAAATTAACCAAGTTTAGGCACATAGCTTTATTAGTAAAAAATATATATGATAACAAAGTAAAATATTTCATATCATTTCACTCCATCATAAGTAATAAAGCGTAACGGTTTCACAGTCTGAATAATAATACATGACTATAAATAAAATATTAGTACGGCTCATTTTTATTATCTTTCCACGTATGAGTTCACATTGGTGATAACATTAATTTGTGATATAAATTAGATTATCGTATCGATAGACTTATCATAAGAATTCCGTAAATTGTGTCGTCCAAAATCCGTAAATCTACTTGACTGTTAATATTGAATATGCACGATTTTTAAATATTTTAATTAAGTAGTTTAGATCCATTTAATAAATTATAAGTAAATTATATTTTATTTTGAAAAAAAAATGTAAAAAGTGACTAGAAAATGTAAATAAAAAATAGACACCTTGTGCGGGTATTTTCAACTCACGCTCTTTTGGGAAATTTAATGTGACGTCATAGTCCATATCACCAAAGCAAATAAGTCGACGATTCCAAATAGTAAGCTCCTTTCGACAGCATTCTATCAAAGCTTTTCCCACATTTCTTCATATGAGGCTGTACTACATGTATAGTGCAAGTAGTAAGAAGGAAATAAGAACCTTTTAATCCATATAGCAAGCTCCTTTCGACAGCTTTTAAGTATTCCAGCACAATCAAGCATCATCATGACTCAGGTAACTAGTAAAGTCTAGAGCAGTGCTATAGTCCAGCTTCAAATGTTTAATAATATTTAGATACTAATAACTACCTACCTTATATTCCAAATAGTAAGCTCCTTTCGACAGCATTGTGTCTATATATCCCAGGACCATCAATCCAGCTTTCCAAGGCACGTAGCTCCTTTCGTGAGTCAGATAACTGGTGATGTCTAAAGCAGTTCTGTAGTCTAATCTGCCAGTTAATGCCAGATTCATGGCGTCGTCCACAATCTGCGCCCGGTTGATGGGGTGGATCTCTTGGAACCTGTGTGGATCGTTCAAGACTTCGACTAACAGCCGCCAGTTTCTCTCATCGTAGTTTATGCGGTAGAAACCTGAGAGAGGCAGGAGATATCTATTTAGTTGATGAAACCAGCAAGAAAGTGACTTAGATATATCGATATAATTATCGCGAGAAAAGGCCACCTAAGGCTGTACTTTTAAAATAGATAATCGATGTATCATGAACTTCGTCGGGCTGCATCTTTGTCTACTGCATTTTATAGACATCAATGACAATTACGATATATCGAAAGCCAACATTTCAATTTCAGGCAGTGTTATGAACATTTAACACCAGGCAAACACAGAAGGAGCTCGCGAGGAGAAGGAGAAGGAGGAGCTCGATGGCGCCAGTGGTTAGCGCGTTCGGCTGCGATCGTTGAATTTAAGCAACTTTCGCAGTGGTCGGTCATTGGATGGGTGACCAAAAATTACTATCTCGAGCTCCTCCGTGCTTCGGAAGGCACGTTAAGCCGTTGGTCCCGGCTGCATCTGCAGTCGTTAGCACCCACCAATCCGCACTGGGCCCGCGTGGTGGGTCATGGCCCAATCTCTCTATTCCATCCATAGGGAAGGCCTGTGCCCCAGCAGTGGGGACAATAATAAGGCTGATGATGATGATGAAACACAGAAACTGAAGCAAGATGTCGCTCAACTGTGCGTATGTGATGTTTCGCTCTAACAACAGAAATTGCCTAGTGTTAAATGTTCAAAATGAAATTTTATCTAGTACGAATAGGAGTAAGGATTTGATCTCTTAAATTGGAGCGCCCGTCTAGGGAAGTAACCTCCACCTTGCAGAAGATGACAGTAAAATATTATTACCTTTTGCTGGTGATTTGTTTCTGACGGTGCGTTGGGTTTTAAGGGCTTTAAAGGATAGGCGATTGAATTAGAATAGGTAGCTCGAGTCCCAATCGTCTATAGGCTATCCTAGCTTCCACCTTGCAGAAGATCATATTAAACTATCACTACCTTTTGGTGGTGGTTTTAAGGGCTTTAAAGGATAAGGGATTGAGTCAGAGTAGGCAGCGCGAGTCCCAATCGTCTATAGGCTATCCTAGCTTCCACCTTGCAGAAGATCACATTAAACTATCACTACCTTTTGGTGGTGGTTTTAATGGCATTAAAGGATAAGGGATTGAGTCAGAGTAGGTAGCGCGAGTCCCAAGCGTCTATAGGCTATCCTAGCTTCCACCTTGCAGAAGATCACATTAAACTATTACTACCTTTTGGTGGTGGTTTAAAGGGCTTTAAAGGGTAGGGGATTGGGCAAGAGTAGGCAGCGCGACTCACAATCGTCTATAGGCTATCCTAGCTTCCACCTTGCAGAAGATCACAGTAACCTATCACTACCTTTTGCTGGTGATTTGTTTCTAACGATGAGTTGGGTTTTAAGGGCTTTAAAGGATAGGGGACTGAGTCAGAGTAGGTAGCGCGAGTCCCAAGCGTCTATAGGCTATCCTAGCTTCCACCTTGCAAATGATCACAATAAACTATCACTACCTTTTGATGGTGGTTTAAAGGGCTTTAAAGGATAGGGGATTGAGTCAGAGTAGGTAGCGCGAGTCCCAATCGTCTATAAACTATCCTAGCTTCCACCTTGCAGAAGATCATAGTAACCTATCACTACCTTTTGCTGGTGATTTGCTTCTAACGATGAGTTGGGTTTTAAGGGCTTTAAAGGATAGGGGATTGAGTCAGAGTAGGCAGCGCGAGTCCCAAGCGGTTATAGGCTATCCTAGCTTCTACCTTGCAGAAGATCACAGTAAACTATCACTACCTTTTGCTGGTGATTTGTTTCAGACGGTGAGTTGGGTTTTAAGGGCTTTAAAGGGTAGGGGGTTGAGTCAGAGTAGGCAGCGCGAGTCCCAAGCGGTTATAGGCTATCCTAGCTTCTACCTTGCAGAAGATCACAGTAAACTATCACTACCTTTTGCTGGTGATTTGTTTCAGACGGTAAGTCAGGTTTTAAGGGCTTTAAAGGGTGGGGGGATTGAGTCAGAGTAGGCAGCTCGAGTCCCAATCGTCTATAGGCTATGGTGGTCGCTTACCATCTGGCTGGCTAAATGCTTATTTCCATAAAAACGATTTTTCTTATAGGTATCAGAGTGCTTACCTGTCTGTTGTATATTCGCTATGAACCACTCGTTTTTGGCAGCGGTAATGTTGTTCACCTCGATGCCTCTCTCGCCTCGCAGCCACAACTTCGGTCTGGTGGACTTGAAGTCCTTTTCTGATGCTGTAGTATAGGATACCGGGATCCACCAGACGGGGGAGGTCTCGTTGGTAGATGTATTATTTATGAGGACGAAACGCTCCTGGATATGAAATGAAAATTGTAAGTGTCGACGTATTTGGGATTATTACATAGACATATGGAATGGATTGAGGGTCACTCGCATGGAATTGACAACTCTCTAATGGCGCGTTTACACTAGGTCGTTAGTCCAAATACGACAATACGCCAATGAAATTCGGGTAAAGTGTAAATAAACATAGCCGAATACGCCCGTATTCGGGTAGTTTTCGTTTTGGTCCCTGTCGTTTGTCTTGCAGCTCTTCCAGCTCCAGTCTCCACTGTGAATATTGTTTCGGATGCCTGAATTCGATTATATCTTTCGTGTACCCGAATACAGGCTGACGACCAATCATTGAGCCATACGAAAATACACCAACATGTTCCATGTAAATATCTTTCCTAGATTAACTAAGCCAGAAACAGACCCCAGTATTTATCAAATTCAGTTATTTAAAACTGACATTAGCGGACTTATGGAGCAAACAACCCAGTGGGAACAAAGAGCAGAAAATTTTCTAAAGCTAAAATAAAACTATACTACTGGCGTCATCTATCTTCAAATGAAGTCAACTCAGGAGCAGTAATTGATTAATCATTGCTAATCAATAGATAATGTGTATTAGTCACAATTATTAAATCCGATGCTCAATTAAATAGTATTATCTACAATTTGTTTTCTTTCACTTATACCTCAGAAACATCGACATACAAAAACAAAAAGTTTATGGGTATTTTCAAAACAAGCTCATAATTAAATCATAATTGAAGGCAGATTTAGTGTATTCGTATATTTCAAGAAACCCCTTCATTTGAAATGCATATTATGGGAGTGCCGTCTGCCGTGCCTGGGTCGTCTGCCATATTGGATTCAGAATGACGTGATGAATTGTCATAAAAAGAAACGTGTATATAAAATTTCATTTCAGTCGGTTAAGGACAATAAAGCATATTAATATATTTGGTTAAGGATGACTACAATGCAGTTTCAAGGTTTGACCTGAAGTAGGACGATCTATACTTAATGGGTAAAGTTAGCTCAAGTTGTCAATGAACTAAAACCTGCACATTTTAACTAGCTTAACAGCTGCCATAAAGTTTGAACCGCACTACAGAAACGTAAATCACAAGTTCAGTAAAAGCTTTTAAAACCAGACCTGTTTGAAGGAGATCAATCCTGTGTCATAGTTCCTCTTGATCGTGAGCACTGGGAATCCCGTCTGCAGAGTCCATGAGTCCATGATAACGGCGACGTCAGCATCCAAAGCGCCCCTCTGATGAGCAGCGTTTGTGAGCGCACTCCACAAATCTCTCTGCTCGGCGTCACCGAACTTCTTGGCGTTCAAGTAGTCAGTTATGCCAGCATTGAACACGTCGTCAGTCAGAAAGTGGTTCATCATACGGAGGATCGCTGATCCTATTGAAATAATTGTGAAATTTCATTACGTTTATAATATAAAGTAGTAGGATCAAATGCGCTACAATCATGTAAGTTCCGTGAAGAATATAGACGTAAACTTTGCAGCAAGATAGGAAATTCTGAATCATACGAAGATCATGCAAATGTTTCAAAGTTATAAGAGTAATATGCTGGCGAGAAACTGCTGTATAATTTGGTAAATCTGAAGGTACAGTACAAACTGGATTATAATAGGAATGATAACGGGGTAAAGTAAATAAAATTCTATTTAGTCCGTCAGTAAGATTATCAAAAAATAATGAACACCTATTTTTTTTTGTAAATCAACCATTAAAATACAAAGATAAAGTGCGTCAAAGTTTGGGAGTTACGGCTCTTTACCAAAGGTCCGAGGTAAAAATTGTACCAAAGCGTGAAATCATGCGCCATTTCAAATCAAAATATCTCTGTAATGTTTTGATTACATAAAAAAAAAGAAAATAGGTCTCCAATACTTTTTGTTAACCTACCTGATAGACGAAGAAAAAAAAGTTAGTCATCATCCCTTTTATTATTTAAGGAAAATAAACAAAACGAAAGTTGGCGCCATCCCATGTAAGAGGCACATCAGGTAGTGTTTAGTAAACAAGCTTCTTGGATAACGCCAGTTTCCTGAAGAGTGGGTATGAATAATTTAAGTGTTGCATCTATCAGGGTTGCATTGCATTTCCCTTTTCTTTCAAAGGAAGTGAAATATAGCCATTTGCCTATCAGATTAACCTACCTTTGCCGTATGATATCTTGTCGAATATAGCTCCAATCTCCTCAGGGTTCCCGACCTCCACGGAGATCTGGTGCGAGGAAGTAAGCGCATCCAGCTTGAACACACTCTGCACCTCATTTAGAACGAACACTTCCATAGACTCCCAGGTTTCTTCCACCTGGGCAAGAACAGAATGAAAGAAACATGATTTCTTCTTCTCACGGTCACTCGTTGCATGAATGAAAGCTTTAAGTCTGAAATCATCTCAATGTATACTAGAAAAGAAATTTAAATAAATACTTATTTTATTAAATTTTCCTGAAGAAAAGAAGAAGACTAGGTAATTATACCAACAGTCCTGTCTGAAGTTTCCTAAAACAAGATTTTTTATACAATCTCAACTTAGTGTTAAGAGGAATCCAGTAGCTACTAAATACGTAGATGGCGCGATAGAAAAATAATTCCGGTCCAGCCCACGAGTACCTTCCTTACATATTAGTTTACATGATGGCAGCGTAGCCATTCATTATTAAAACCACAGGTTCAATATTGTCGTGGTTTTAGTCTGCATAGTGTATATGTCTAGTATAGTCGTTCTTTCCTTAAGAAAATATACCATGGGAATCCATAATACGAGTATGTAATTTAGTTAGGTACCTACTTTCGAAATTAAAAAATTCAATCAAAAGTCACAGGTTGAATTAAATCAGGTTTATAAAAATCCATTGTACAGAATGCAATCAACGTAAAATATTAAGGTTTACTAACTCAAATACCGCACCAAGATCCATAAACACGAAACTAGCCAAATTAAGGAGTAAAATATAGCACTAAAAATATTTCAAAATATACATTAGCATCATGAGCCTATTAATGTCCTCACTGCTGGGGCACAGGCTTTTCCTATGGAGAGAAACCAGCATCGATCATCGGCGTCGAGCGAGATTCGGAATGATGGGTAAATAGACATTGTACTTGGAATCAAAGCAGCGTTAAAAGATACTAATGAATCTTAAAAGCCAAAAAATTTTACTCACAGCGTCCACAGCTACGTACTCCACGTAGCTGGCGAATCCCTCGTTCAGCCAGATGTCGGACCACCAGGCGGGGGTCACCAGGTTACCAAACCACTGGTGGGCAATCTCGTGTGCGACCACAGCTGCCACGCGCGCCTTAGCCGTGGTCGGGTACACTCCACTGTCGTACAACATTGCTAATTCCCTGCAAAAGACGAGACTCTCTCGTACAGTATTGCTAGTTCCCTGCAAAAGGCGGGACTTTAGTATTATAACAAATCCCTCAATCAGCCACATGTCGGACCACCATACGGGGATCTCCAGATTGCCGTACTACTAATTGGCAATCTCGTGTGCGATCACAGCGGCCACGCGCCTTAGCATCCCCCCGTGGGGAGACGCCATCCGACTGGAATACCTCCAGAGGCACTCGCCAATTCTCGGCTTGAGATCCCCTTAGGATCTCGCCGTCCCCAAACCCGGTGACGCTGTAAAGGTCATCTGCGACCAACAGCATACAATACGAGTGTATGTTACACTCAAAAAAAAAAAGAAAAAAAAGCTCCTTAGCCGTGGTCAGGTACATTCCACTGTCGTACAACATTGCTAGTTCCCTGTAAAAGATGATACTCTTTCGTACAGTATTGCCAATTCCCTGCAACAGGCGGGACTTTAGTAATATAACAAATCCCTCGTTCAGCCACATGGCGGACCACCAGGCGGGGGTCACCAGGTTGCTGTACTACTGATGGCCGATCGCGTACGCGACCTCAGCGGCCACGCGCGCCTTAGCCGTGGTCGGATATACTCCACTGTCGTAAAACAATGCTAGTTCTCTGCAAAATACGATCCACGGCTCCGCGGGGTTGGACTCCACTTAAAGTTAACATCAGGTTGGATGAGGTTTTTTGTTACGCCTCGTATAAATACAATAAAATATTTTAATACAAATGACTAGCAGTAATAAAGCTAACACAAAGTAGGTACTTAGTACACTCCACAGTCGAACAGAATTGCTAGTTTCCTGCAAACGCAAGACCTAACTAACAATCTTCTCTGACCAACAACCAAAGCATAGCGCCTTTGTTTTGTAGGCTTTCGATACAAATTGTATTGGTCATTTCACAGAAATAAAGAGCTGAGATGGACCTGAGACAGGATAGGGTACAACACACTGTCGTACATCATTGTTAATTCCCTGTAAAAGGTGAGCCTTTAGTTACAATATTCTCTGACCGACAGCCAATACAAGGCATAGTTATTTACTTCGGGGACTTTCAACACAATTTAAATTAGTCATATCAACAAAATTATTGACTTCTCCCGACAACTTAAGCCGTAAATTTATAAGATCATCCCGTTATTCGATCAAGGAGTTCAAATAAAAAAATCCGAATCTTCTTTGTTTTGGAATTCTTTAAACTTTTTTCATAGGTACGAAAAGGAGTCTACGTTTATTCATAGTTAATAATAACAACTAATCTATAAAATAAGCTCATAATTATGTGGCAGTATCTGCCGCATCAGAAGAGCGAATCTAATTTAAAACTCGGCTTTAATAATAACTAAAGAATAACTTTTTCTATTCCTACACGAACAAAGAAATTTGGTGACTCATTTCTTTGTCGTACTATTCGCAAGTGGAATTCTTTGCCCGCGCACGTGTCCCGCCTTCCTGCAATCTGGGGTCCTTTGAGAAAGGCGTGAAGAAGCATTTCTGCAGGCCGACAATGTGAGGATGGTTGGTGTGGATGTTTATAACTACTGTTCCAGCTATCTTCGCGTCTGGACTTTATCATCACTTAACATCAGGTGGGGTAAACTAATTTGCCTATCTAGCTATAAAAACAACTGCATTTGCCGTATCTCCGTCTATATATTTTTTTAATTAACGTAAATGTCACTAAGTTTGAGTGTATATCTCTCCATCATTCACTGTTGCGTGTGTGAAGCAATCACGAGTGGCTGTCGATTGAGTCACCCTTGATCGAGGGGTGATGGATGGCCTCGTAGTGTCTCCGGCTAATGAAGTGTCTCCCTTGGTGTCGGCCGATCGATGGAGCGTCCCTATTCCGACCCGAGCGGCTAATAAACCGTGATTACTCTGTGTTCGTTTGTTATTAACACCCACTTTGGAGAGGTAACTAATAAAGGGATTCTCAAATAGTCTAAGAGCGTGCCAGGAGCGCTTCCCCTAACAATACTAAAGCACACTCGTGCAAGACAGTCAATGATTCTCATGCCGGTCCAGAAACAAACAGCAACTACTTAAATATTTATTTATTTATTCTTAATGCACTAATCTACAATGGCAGACTTTATGCCGTAGACATTCTCTACCTGTCAACCATAGGGTTTTGTGGAGGTTAATAGTGGTAGGTAAATTTGAGGTCGATATAACATTGAAAGTAATATAAATATTATTTAAATATATATATCTAGTTTTATATATGCAACTAAATATATGTATATTGCCCCCGTATTGTAAAATACGTTGTCTTGTGTTTTTTTGCTAAAAGGAAGACAAGGACAGTTGGTTAAAACAACTCAAAGATTCGTTTAGTTCCTAATGTGGCGTCTAAAAAATCATGATTATTGTTCTTGCTGGCTTACGCCTAACTGACAGCAAGCAACTGTGTCGTTGCGAATAAGTTTGTACTCGTACAAGCCCAGTAAAGTCATTTAAGCTTAGTCATATGATTGAGATTTATACTAAAGAATATTAAGATTGATCTCTGACGATTGATATTATTATAATATATACCGGAGTAACCTTGCAAGGACTTTTGTGCAATCTCAAATAATTTTCACATTTGCTGAAAATTAAATTTTCTTGGCTGTCGCAAACATAGAACCGCTTGTTTGTCGCAACTAAGAAAATCTCTTATTCTACGAATGTCGAATGGAAAACATATTATCGGAATATGCCGGTGAAAACGTTGTTTGTTTTCGATCAAAGTTTGACCCTGAGCAAGTTCGAGGCTTCGCCGCATCCACGTGAAAATGACACAATTTATATTAAGCGATCGCTTCAATTTGTTCTCAAAAGCTGTCGAGAAAGACGAATGAGATAATTTTAAAAAAATATTCTTTTTAGGTCTAGTATTAAATTCGGTATTGTGTAAAGTTTGTTGTATGTTGAAAATATGACTAACAAGCATCCACCTGATTGCCAGCAACTTCCATGGCAATACCAGAGTAACTCTCCCTAACTCCATCCTTATCCAATCATATAATATGGTGCTTTGGAGCTTTCGCTGAATTCTTTGGCATCAATGATTCTTTAGTTGGTTTTGTATGTTGCAAAGAGTGGCAAACAGCTCGATGCTTTGGATAGGTTACAGCGGCGCGCGCTCAGCATCATAGGCGATGAGGAGGTGACTAAACACCTTGAGCCTCTTCAATTACGCCGTGACGTGGCGTCACTAAGCGCGTTCTATCGTCTGTACCACGGCGAGTGTTCTGAGGAATTATTCTCTCTTATCCCACCTTCTCCTTTCCTTCAGAGGACCACACGCGCTGGCCTACGTTGTCATCGTCTAACTGTGGCCACAATTCCAACGCGTGCAAAGAAATTTGGTGACTCATTTCTTTGTCGCACTATCCGTAAATGGAATGCTCTGCCCGATCACGTGTTCCCTCCCTTTTACAACCTGAGATCCTTTAAAAGAGGCGTGAAGAAGCAACATGCAGGCCGGCAGGATGAGGATGGCTGGTGTGGTAGGTAGAACTGCTGTATCAGCTATCTTCACGTCTGGACTTCACCTTCACTTAATATCAGGTGGGGTGGAGTCTTTTGTCGGACCTATCTATAAAAAAAAATCAATCATATGGCCCGCCTGATGGTAAGCGGTTATCATAACTTATAGACGCTTCCGATACAAAAAATATCGTCGCTCTGATGCTTACCCTGATCCAATCCTCTACCCCGTGGAGCCTTGGAGAAACACAGCACCACCAAAATCTGGTGTTTATTTTACTGTGACCTGTAAGGTGGAAGTTACTTCCGCAGATAGGCGCTCTAATCGTCCTACATCTCTTATTCGAAATCAAAAAATCCTTTTCAAGCTTTGTCATAAATACCTGAAGGTTAGCAGACCCCAGTTCTCCATTGCACCCGCCTTAAAGTCGGGCAGAGCGATCATGTCTATCTTCGGTAGGGGAAACTTGATCTTGTAGTATTCCTCCAGGAACTTCAGTATCTTCGGACCTATGTTCAGAGCGTATTTGGCAGACGAGAGGGCTTCCTTCCTCGCCCAAACGGTGAAGTTTTGGTCGCTGATGCTACCGAAATCTGTCACAGCGAATGCGACCAAGTACGTAGACATCGGCAAAGATTCGGCGTAATGATCCCATATGTAATCTTCAAGAGTTGCGCTGCAAATATAAAGTGTTCAAGTTACTAAAAGGAATCCTTTAAAAGAGAAGTGAAGAAGCAACATGCAGGCCGGCAGGGTGAGGATGGCTGGTGTGGCAGGTAGAACTGCTGTATCAGCTATCTTCGCATCTGGACTTCACCTCCACTTAACATCAGGTGGGGTGGAGTCATTTGTCGGAATTATCTTTATAAAAAAAAAATATTGAACAGGTATTCCTTATAACATAATTTTACTTCAGTAATTAACTGCTACACTATCATATCCAAAGAAAATTTACTAGAAAAATATTAATCAGAAAGTACCAATTCGGAATCAGAAACCCTAACATATGTGTAAAATTTCTAAAAAGTACTACTTACATCTTCTATCAATTTAACTGGTAGCGTGTGAAAATCTATTGAAATTCACTGAACTTTCCAATAAGAAAGTGATGCGGTCGGTAATAAAATAATGGTGAAAGGAGATACAACTAACGACATAATTGGTCAATGCATTCGCCCGGATTGCGAAGGGTGCGGGTTCGAGTCCCGTCTGCTGCCTGGTCCGCGTGGATTTTTTTCTAGTTATATTTTCTTTAGATTTAAACATGAAGCAGTTACATGCTTTAAAAAAAATATAACTATAATTGCTATTTCTTCTTTCAAATGTTTAATACTTGTAAAAGTATTCATTTGACATTGTGTGTTACCTATAATGCGAAGAGATGGCGCTGCCTTGCAGCTTAAGAATGGCTAGAAGAATTTAGACACGGTCCATGAAGGCCGTGGTAGCATAATTGGTCAGTGCATTCGCCCGGATTGCGAAGGATGCGGGTTCGAGTCCCGTCTGCTGCCTGGTCCGCGTGGATTTTTTTCTAGTTATATTTTCTTTAGATTTAAACATCAAGCAGTTACATGCTTTAAAAAAATAAAAATAATAACCAGATACAACTTACTGTTTTTCTCTGCCGATAGCATTCATATTCGACACAGAGCTCATGTTGGCTGGTCTGGCTATACTTATAGTGAATCTAGCCTTCAAAGCGGGTTCGTCCCAGCACGGGAACGCTCTGCGGGCATCCGTCGCCTGGAACTGGGTTACAGCTATCCATCTGAAAATTTAATGACGTGTTCAACTTTCATTGTAGGCACATACTTAAGCTGCACTGCAACGAGCGGAGCGCTCGAAAAACTAAACGATTTTAAAAATGCAAGTGTTGCTAGCCGGTTGTGGTTTAAAGACCCAGTCATCACTTTTTAGAACTTAAAAAAAAAAGTTCTTATTCTAATTCCCTCATTCCCGCATTAAAAACTTTTTTGAATTGGGTTTTTTTCTTTTCATATCATTTGCTTTTGTTAGTTATTAATTTCGTAATTGCGCGATTATACTTGGTCGCTAGCCCGAATTCGAGTTCCAATGGAATTCGGGTAAAGGCAGGCAGGACCGTCACAGCCCCCTCTTGTAGATTTGTCCTACAAAGGGGGGCGGCGGAGAGTTGCTTGGACGGGTACGCCCAAGAAGCCCTCCGCAGCGGACGGGGGGCGGTACGGTGGGCACTAGGCCGCGTACTCAGCCCCACGCTCGGGCCATTATGCGCACGTCTGCGGGGTCCCCGCAATACCTTGGAAGACCCCTGCCGTGGAGCCCGGGCGAGGCCGGGAGGCTGCTGGGTGCGGAGTCGTGGTAGATTCCCTAAACGGGGACCCCGTGGCTTCGCATTAAGCAGTGTAAAAGGTATTCGCATGACTTTTTAAGCGGATTATGCCGTAAAAGGCCCGTTAGAGTTGCGGTGTCCTCGGTGGGCAGTCACTGGGGGGTTCGTAAGACTTGCGGGAGCCAGGTGTGAGGTCCGTTCGGCGGTGTGCCTCTTAAAGGCGCCGTCGTCTATAAACAGCATTTTTTACCGGGGTTAAAAAAAAGGCAGGACTGTGACAGCGAGCGGATGGCGCCTGTATTCGCCAGTTGCTTATAGACCAGCGATAAAAATAATCACTCGCTTCCCGCTACTGAAACTAGAAACGACTTGGCGCGATTTTTAACTTCTATCTCTACTCGCTTCTCGTTCATCGTCGGTGGTGGGACAAGTGCCTAACTATATGCGGTTAATGACGGTCGCATCACAATACATATACGAAAATTTATTACTTGTAAGAAAAAATATAAATTTGTTTCTTAAAAACAGTGATGTTCACACACTTAATACATGCTTCACAAAATCAATAATTCATTTAAAGGTGTTTGTGTTCGCTTATGCAATAAAGTCCCAAGCAATATTCAAGAGTTAACCATAAATAAATTCAAAGATAGTATAAAAAAAACACTTATTAAATAAGCTTATTACAAAGTGTCTGATCCTATTACAGACAAAAATGCTTAGGTTTGAACTGTTCCAATCATTCCAACAGGTTTTCAATATTAAATGAATCATGATTTTTTGACGTTATAACAACATAATGATTTGTAAATGTTGTTACATGATACTTTTAATTTTGTGGAGTATTTTCGCTTGTTTTTCTCCGCAGCTAAAAAATATGTCCTATAAATAAATAATAATAATAAATATTTCCAACACTCACACCAATTAGCCTAGCCCCAAAGTAAGCACTGTAAGGCTTCTGTTATGGGATACTAGGGTAATAGATAGAATACACATACAGTACATATATAAGTATATTTATATAGAAATACATATTAAATATCCATGACTGGAGTACAAATGCTCGAACCCGGGACCTCTCGAGTCGGTGACACCATGAAACCCGGCGTACAAACCACTCGACCACGGAGGTCGTCAATAAAGAGTGGTAGGAAAAAAAATTTTTGGACGATTCAAAAGAGTTGTACTATACATCCAATTTGAATAAAGATATATTGATTACAGATATTTCTTTAATATAAACACGAAAACAGTGACTCTCAGACATATAAACCAAAAAGGCCAAACTTTGACCACTACTCTGAATTAATCAACAAGTTTATTGAAAATTGACATTCCAATAAACTGTTTCTAGATCGTTTCTATACAATCATATTTGAAGCACGCACATTACGACTATGTTTTATTGATTTCTATCTATCCCCATCAAAACCACAACGGTTAATATTTCATCGTCACTCCACAGGGGTGATAAACTTTCACCATTCAATATGAAACCCTGTGACGAATGTGGCACATTGTTATGGTTTTGATTTAGTTGGGACCAAAACTTTACTGTTTATAGCCCCTTCAAATAAAGCCCGTTAAACAATATAGTAAAAAAAAATCTTTTTGGAACGAACTATGATGTTTTATATTTAACTAGCGGCCCGCCCTCGCTTCGCTTCGGTGTAGAGCTGAAGTGTAGACTACAGTTTTTGTTCTCAGACTTGTATTATACACAATGACATTCATCTATGATTCTTCTTATACCTGCATGCAAAGTCTCAGCCCGATCGGTTTAAAATTGACAAAGTTTTATACAAACTTTCATTCCCTATTTTGTCCCCTTGGGGGTAGAATTGATCAAAATCCTTTCTTAGTGGATGCCTACGTCATAACGCGCCCGCGGCCAACTTCATGGTGTTACTATTGTGTTACAGTGATGCGCGCGCATCTCGAAATTTCACTCACATGATTTTTTCATAACGCGCCCGCGGCTAACTTCATTATGATACTTATGTGTTACAGTGATGCGCGCGCATCTTAAAATTTCACTCTCATATTTTTTTCATAACGCGGCTAAAGAAGTATAACTTCAAAATGCTTTATTACTCTGAAAACTTGATCGAATCCTTTTTTGATCGTGCGTAAGCAATCGCGGCACCCAACGGGCCGATAACTTTTTCATATTTAATTTCTCACTTAGGATATGATGAACCCGTTCTTTTGAGATACCTGTAGTGTTAGCTATTTCAGATAACTTGAATCGTCGATCTGCTTAAACCATATCATGTACTTTCACGACTATTTCCGGAGTCGTGACGCTTTTTGGACGTCCGGCATGGCATAAGAAGGAGCACATTCACCCAAAACATTCTTTAACTCGTCATAGATATCTTTCCCCTACATGCCCTGCATATAAAGAAACTTCATCACAGCTCTTTGTTCAATTTCATCCATTTTGAAAACAGTTGACGAAATATATTTTCAAATGACAAAAAATCAATAAAATTTTTGCGCCACCAAATTCAAATTTAGAACACAGGTGGCCAGAGATACGAATTTAAAAATGACATATATTTTTAAAATTTTAACTTTTTAAATAGCAAAGGCTAGTTACTTATCATCCCGCCTTCGTAGATCAGTCAGTCAGAAACGGTTGCCTTTTATTTGAACAGATAACTAGTTACGTAAAAATCGACACCTGCAAGAAAATACATCGTAACTCTGTTTATGGTGATTTGAAATAACAAATATATTTATCTTAATTAATTATCTGATATTTATCTTATTATTTTATTCTTATTTATTATTCTACCTCGGACAAAGAATTAGTCTAGTCATTCAAAGGGGTAACGCTGCCAGTATCTTCGGATCCTTGTCTAAAGGGAAATCTTTTAATAATATATTTTAGTTATTAATTTTATTTTTTAAGGTTTTAGTTTTATTGTTCTAGTACATATTTATAGAGTAATTATATAATTAAATTGTTATCTTAGAATATTTTCATTTAAGAAATAAAACTAGTTTTTGGCTGCGAAAAGTAAACTAGTAAGTAAATAAAACTAGTTTTTGGCTGTTTAAAAGGCTGCGAAACGTTCCTTCCTTTTCAGGTCTGCATCGTCTAGGCTGCGAATCGTCAGAATAAATTCTGACGATGCAGACCTGAAAAGGCTGCGAAACGTCATAAATAAATAAAGTTTCGTGCATTAACCCGTAAAAACTAGTTTTATTTAATGAGTGATGTGCGTGAAAACCTAAGAAACAAATATCATTTAAGAAAGATTGAATACCCTCATTTCTACGCTATTTTATCTTAATTGGCTAGAAGAAAACTAGTTTTTTGCACATATGCCGGAATCCGTACCTAATCCTTTCTACTTAAAATGTTGCCCACACATTTTACTGGAATAATAAATATATTTGTAAAATAATTATACAATAAATTTCTTCTCGGATTTCCTCTTCATCAAAGATAAATATGTTTCATACCTAGTTACAAAAACAGTATGCGTTCGTAGTTACAATGGCCTTTATTAATAAATACGTGATAGAATATCATTGTAACTTCCGAAATTGGTGTCTCAATACTAAAAAACATAAAATTAACTTATTTTGCATATTTGCAATAATTGACACCGCCACGGCACTTGGCCTAATTAGGTCATTAGCCACGGTGTACAGCAAAAATTTAAATGAGTGTAGATTTTGACGCCTATACGGATGCACTCATTACATTAATAACATTTTTATAGTATTTGTAAGAACATTTGTGAACAAGCAATAAACACGTAATTTTCGGTAACAATTTTATCATTCCAACATCCACTAAGCTCAGGCACTAACACAAATAAATAAGCACTTCCGTAGTTATCAATTTGCAAGATTGTTTGGCATTAAAACTTTATACCAATTTGCAAGACTGTTTGGCATTAAAACTTTATACCAATTTGCAAGATTGTTTGGCATTAAAACTTTATACGAATTTGCAAGATTGTTTGGCATTAAAACTTTATACCAATTTGCAAAACTGTTTGGCATTAAAACTTCATGGAAATCGACAAGTCTTTCTTTTTCTTTTTTCACGCTCTCCTTTGAAGTCACCGAATAAAATGAGTTAAGATGCTACTTACAGGTGTCGACATAATACTTGTAGATATAAAATTATAAAGTCAAGTGAATATGGTTCAATAAAGAATAATAATAAATAAATAAATATTTCCAACACACTAATTAGCCTAGCCAAAGTAAGCACTGTTAGGCTTGTGTTATGGGATGCTAGGGTAACGGATAGAATACATATATTGTACATATATAAGCATATTTATATAGAAATTCATATTAAACATCCATGACTGGAGTACAAATGCTCGTATTCATCACACAAACATCTGCCCCCACCGGGATTCGAACCCGGGACCTCTCGAGTCGGCGACACCATGAAACCCGGCGTACATACCACTCGGCCACGG